ACATAAAGAAAACCTACAAAGTTAAGAGTGACTTACCCTAATTTTCTTGTTTGGTGCGATTACTTGTGGAGGGATTAGTGAGGAAAGTTCACACAACGGCCTTGTGAGAGCAGAGTATATTGGATGTTCAATAGCCCTGAGAAAATTTCCAAACAATTCTTGGTGATACCCTTCATAAAGAACTAAAAAGATGGGGAAATGATTTTGATCACAGATCTCATAACCAACTTATACCTAACTTTTATAGCCAAAAGGCACAGACTCTGATCATAAATTCACTGTTTTATAGCCAAAAAGAATAATGACCTGACGGAAATGTATAATGCATACCACTAGAAAGAAAATTTTATGCATACCATATATTGGAATCTTTAACACAAGTCAATATATCAAGGTTTGGAGCACGAGGGTGGCACCAAGATGCCACGCTGTGGCAAGCCAATTTTGGAACAGGTTTAATACGCCGCAACTCCTGAAAGAGAAAAGCGGACAAAATATATAATTAATTAAAATGAAACTTGTAAGATTAATAGAAAATCAATTGCTTTTCAAAAAATTGAAAGCCTTTTCTGAAATTTTGGAACACCTTAAAAGAAACTGTGTCCCATATAGCTAATGTCTTGTCTGCACCAATTGAAATAAGCTGCGGAGCAGCTCCAATCACTCTAGAAAGCTCAACAGCCACAACCCCACCATCATGTGCCTGTCATAAAATAAATGTCCATAATCAAATCTCCATCAGTTCTACTAGGTCAACCAGAGAAAACATGCATGCTTAACTGATTACATTGCCTTAAAATCACAATATTGGACATCTTAGATCCGTTTGAGACACAACATTGTGTCACATTGTCCTTATACAAATCATAATATAGTGACGACATCCATCAGGCTAGATTCCAGGCATATAACTTACATAGCATAACCAAAATATGGAATAAATTAATTCATCAGTAATCTAATCTAATAATGGTCAAAGAAAAATCAGGGAAAATATGATACAATAAGGAGATAATTGCCTTTAAACTTAGCTTGGGAACGAGTTCTCGTGAATCTTGGCTATGATCTGCACTCCAAACTACGAGCAAACCATCACTACCCCCCGAAACAAGAAGCGCCTGCAATAAATTTAAGTATAGAAAAAAGAGAATGTAACAGAAAAAAACAGTTAAAAGACTGTATACATGTGCATATAGAGTACTTAAGTCTATAAAAGATGAACACTCATATCTGCACATCCCATAATCTCAACATCCTAAACCCAGATTTTTTTCACACCATGCTTCTGATTGAGTGAAGAAGTTACTTCCACAAAAGTGCCATCAGAATGAACATGAAGAATAAGAGATATAACATTTTATGAGCTTCAGAGGTACAATCAAATATTATACATCAAGCCCACTATAGTACTTGAACACTCAGAATCAGACCAAAAAAGGAAGAAAAAAATGGTTCAACAGAAAGCTAGCATAAACATATATAAGAAGGTAACTTGATTTCATCTTTTAGAACTAAAAATGTACCTCACCAGAAGAAGCCACAAATGTCATCAAACAAGAAATGGATCCTTTATGCCCTCCTGTGTATCTTCTTACAAGCTGCATGAAACAAGTATATCACATAAAGCAATGGATACTCATAGCCAGCGTGATAGACAATTTGGGGAAAAAGCAAACCTTCCATGTCATCATTGAAAGTACTCTGATAACACCATCTGATCCACCAAAAGCAACAAGAGGAACATCACCAACAGCAGATCTAGAAAGGAATTCCATACTGAAAGAGCCATGGGGGGGGACAACAAACACAGAGCACAAAATATGTCAAAAACAAAAACGAAAATTACAGGTATGTTAATGTTCTTTTATATTTGTATGTAGCAATACTACATTACTACAAAATTACCAGAATCAGTGTAAAGGAATTATAAACGCCATTTCTTCAAGTGTGTAACAAATATACACAAACATAATAAAAAATAGTGATAACTTGCCAGAGAAGCGATTTGTTGTCGAGCTCCTGTTTTGGTACATCACGGCCACGCATTGTTACCAAGTCCAAAAATATGGCTTTATTTTCACAACAAATGACAAGAAAATGTCTTCCTTTAGTTGATGGAGCAGGAGAACTAAAAGCTGATGCAACATGATTGACAGCTGATGGAGACTCAGCAGCTGTAGAGCGGTTACGCCAAAGTTGCCAAAAGCGCACGTCATCATCATAGAAGTTCACCTGCTTAACACTTTTTAGAAACCATATTCCCTCAGTGTTTGTTCAGGTTTCAATAAAGAGAAGTAGACAAAATAATGCAATTGCAGTGGTCTATTACCTCCCTCCACGTATGGCTTCAGTGGGTTTCCCTTTAGGCTCTATCAACCACATACAAACACAACAATTAAGATGATATATATAAATATTACATATATATATATATATATCACACCAAAAATGTATTCAGAAGAATAATCTTTGATGTAACAGTGGAAGTTTAGAACTCTTAAATAACTACTGAACCACACTATGTTGCATGAATTTCAACTAAAGATAAGAAACAGAAGATTGGCAACACAGTAGCACTCAAAGTCACTTGAAAATCTGTGCATGGATTTTCATTCGAAATGTTGTGCCAGATGTAGTACCTCAATTACCTCAGAGGAATTAAGGTAAGAGCAGCTAATTATAACACTGTTGAAATTTCGAAACTAGAAACCATTGAAACTAAACTGGAGAAGCTTATTATAACATCCAATTTTTAAGTTGAATCGTACATTACTACATTATTCTTATACTATAGAGAACCAGTAAATGGTTACCGTTATGCTTGAGCTTTTAGGTACAAGAGCAGCTAATAGTAATAGAGTTAAATCCAATGCAATTCTCAAAGCGTTTCTACAAAAGCTTTTAGATACTCGTAAGCTAGATTACTAGAATTATGTCTCAGAAATTCAGAAGCTAAATTGACCATAACTAGAATTGAATTTCATGAGCCTCGTAGCAAGTCAAAGCAATTTTAGGATTCAGTACCTGATTCGCCTTCGGCGAGCTTCTCCAACTTGGCGCCAACCAAACGCCGCTGATCGACGCCACCAGCTTTAAGCTCGTAGATCACCTAATTCGAATCCACAGCAGAATTGAGCAATGAACACGAACTCACGAACTCACGAACTGAAGAAAACGAAGAAATGACGAGAGAGAGAGAGAGAGAGAGGTACCTGGCGATGTTCCCAGTTCCAAACAGAAACGTGATCTGAGGCATCAGCAGTGACCAGCCATGGATGCGTGGGATGCAGCTGAATCTTGACGATCTTATCGTTCGTCGGCCTGAACGCTCTTAACCGCAACATTGATTGGGGTTTCGATTGAAATGCGAAACGGATCGATAAACAACGAACTTGCTCGAGTTTCAGATCCAACAGCACATTATGTTAAGCCCTAAACAATGAGAGATAAAACAGAGATGGTTTGGTGCCTCCAAAATGCCAAATGCGAGCCACCGTCTCTTTCTCTCTCTTTAGGCTTCTGATGAGATCGGCCCTTTTTTTTCCCTCAACAATATGCAGGAAATTTTCTAAATTTCTGCAAAAGCTATTACAGAAGAAATTTACAATTTTAATTATATTATTATTATAGTTTAAATTGGTTTTAGTCGACTTTGTCTGTCGTGTTGCTAATTTCTAAGTTAATTCATTTCCCCCTATGGGCTGCTTTTGAGTGCAACAATAATGAATGAGCCCCCTTGGAAACTTAGTGCCCATTTGTAACGATTTTGGACAATGTTTTCAAAAATATAAATAAAAAACGAGAAAACGGATATACATTTTCAAGATTCAATAATTACTTTGGTTAATTGTTGGTCTGATAGCTTATTTGGAAAACGTTTTTAGAAAATAAAAACAGTTAAAACATGTCTGGTACTATGATTTGAGAATGGTAAAAACAAAGAATATGTAACTTTCATTTAAATGAATTATGGAATTAATATACGAGCTATTTTTCAAAGGAATTTTTATTAATGTCTCATCTAAAAAAAATAAAATAATGTAGAAAATTTGGAAAAAGTTCAATTATGATTACAAAAGTTGAGTGCAATCCACGCATTTTGAGATTTATTTTCTGACCATTGAGGTGATGGGAATTTGAATTTAAGATCTCTTTTACCATTGGGAAGAGAATACTACAATACCAAAATCTAGCAGTGTGACGGGCACCATGAAAAATTACTTGGTTCAATGGTTTGTTACGAAGGACACGTGGGAATTAATTAGTATTTTTTGGTAGACTCTGAATGAATTAGTCATGTACTGCTAACTGCCTCATTGAGTCATTGCTGTTTATCTCTCTTTTCTGTTTTCCATACAAGGATCAGAAAAGGAGTGTCACCATGGAACATTTATCATGTCAATGTTTCAGTGACTATCAATCTTTCTTAGAATTCTATTAGATTAGATATTTTTTCAGGTACTTTTCTCTCTTTCTCTCACACATTGTTATGCGCATTCAGAGGTCAAGCAATTTGTGATCCCATTTTGGAATTGAATTGAATTGTCATCACCTTCAGTTTCCTGGATTGTTTTCTGCTGGGGTTTCTCAATTAAAAAGAATGCTTTTCAGAAACCCAAACCATTGCAAGAATGAATCTTCAGTTTTCTTTTTTTATTGGTCTCTGCAACCAATTGAAACTTTGAGTGTCTGAATCCAAATTTCTTGTAAATTCTGTTTCTTCACTGTTATTTGCAGATACCCAAAAGAAAACTTAACATTATTGCTTCCTAATAAGTGCAATGTGCACCTTGTCTCTCTATAAATCTCTTCTGTTTTCAAATGATACGTTTGCTTTACAGGATCAGGTTTCACATGCGAACCTCACTATACATTTCTATTTATAATTAGTTTGCAATTTGGAACCTTGGATTAGAGTATAACTGAGAAATTTTAATGCAAATTTTTGGTTCTACTGGTTGAAAGGGCTTTCCTTGTGGCTGAAGTTACAAGAAACCGGAATGCCGGCTTCGAGAAGGTTCTGATCTATCTTTATATGAACTTCCACAGAAATTATAACGTTTTTGTTATCTCAATTTGAGTTAAGATGGATGCTCTATTGCTTCATGGAGCTATTAGTTTGTTTTTCATCTCTTTGTGCTTAAAACCTTCACCTATTAAACTGCAGCATGGATGAGAATCTAGGATTCCAGTCTGGACCTTCCAGACCAGGGCTGAATCCCCCATCAGTTCAATTTGAGAATGGATTTTGTGAAGCTAGCTCAGGACTCATCCGAGGTGGATTGGGTGCATATGGAAAGAGAATTTGTGGGTCAAGTTCTCAGTATGTGCAAAGCAATGTAAGTTTCATCAAACCGTGCACTGATTTTGGAACCGAAATTCGAAACTACAAACTGATTCCACATCTACAAAAATGGATGATAACCAGTTGTGGTATGATGTTTAAGACAAATGATATGATAAAATGTTTTCTGTGATGTTATTTTGTTTCTTTACTATTTATTCCCAAATGAGCAGATATGCAAGTACTTCTCAGATCCTCAATACTACTTCCAAGTGAACGCTCACTATGTCAGGAACAAACTGAAGATAATTTTGTTTCCATTTCTGCACAGAGTATGTAGAAATTGAACTCAAGGCTGGTATCATAAACAAGTTTGAATTCATAACCAAGTTGTAGGAACATGTGTTTAACTTCTAAATCTCCTTTTGTTTAGGGGCATTGGACGAGGAGAACGGAGCCAGTTGGAGGCAGGCTTTCTTATAACCCTCCAATCACTGACATACATGCTCCAGATTTATACATTCCATTCATGACATTTGCAACATACTTGGTTCTTGCTGGCATCTCACTAGGCCTCTCTGGGAAGTAAGTCTAGAGCATCCCAAAAATCCAATATTTTAGCATGAAATATGTTTCGACATTTTTTATTCCTGTGCCGTGCCAGATTTAGCCCGGAAGCCATAAATTGGCAGTTTGTGAAGGGGATGGTAGGCTGGCTGCTTCAAGTGATGCTGCTCAAGGCATCGTTGTCTTCACTCGGGGGCGGAGAGGCACCTTTGCTGGACATGATAGCATATTCCGGTTACACTTTCACAGGGCTGTGTGTGGCTGTTCTAGGGCAAATCACATTGAGCTATGCATACTACTTGATAATCATATGGACATCCATGTGCTCAGGCATCTTCCTGTTAAAGACAATCAAGATAACTTTGTATGCTGAGCTCCATAGTTATGATGCAAACATGCATCACTATCTCTTGCTTGGTATCGCATTTTCACAGTTCCCGTTGATTATCTGGCTCAGCAACCCTACCGGCAATTGGCTTTCCTGAATCTGCTGTTTCGATGCAAATATGCCCCGTTGCTCAGATCTTTTGTAGTAGCAGCATACTGTCCCACTTGAATGAACATTTTGTTGTGCATGGCTAGGACTTGAATTCTTTTAAACCTGTTTTCAGGAGTTTTTAAATGTAACCCAGTACTAATCTAATCTATAGTGTTGCTCCAGAATTAGATTAGTGATTTAGTTATACAACTTCGTTGTATTTCATAACTTAGTTGATTGCATTACTCTTCTTGTGTTGGTTCCTAGTTAAAATTTGTGATTAAATTGGAGTACACCGATTACAAAATTTACATTAAAATAAATTTCCCTAAAAAATGCCATTAGGCACTCTTCTACATGTTATTTTATTACTGATCCCATTGTTAACCGCATATCTCACAAAGAATGTTGAATAAAACTAATTATGTTGTACGTGGTATGGTTAATTGTCGATTTATCCCCTGAACTTGTACGCTACTTTCAATTTACACCCTCAACTTTTGTTATGGAAAATTAAGTATACGAACTAATTTTTATTGTCAATTCCACCCTCCACCCAAAACCTATCCCCCCTTTGTCCCCTTCCACCGTCGTGTACTTAATTTTTCTATAAAAAAAATTGAGGGTGCAAATTCAAAGTAGTGTACGATGTGGAATATATAGGCATTTTAAAGTAGATTTCACTTATATAATTACCCTTATGTTTATTGAGGAGAAGGGAGTCGAACAAAAAAGCTCGAGTGCAGAGTTGTATTTTTATTTATTTTTAATTATTGTAAATCTATTGATAAGAAAAAAGAGTAGCTGTTGGACCCTGGGCCGCGTTTCCTGAACATGAGTTTCTCAACGACCGCGGTTACAGGGAACTCAATATTCCCGCGAAATTCAAATTCAAGACCCAAGAATTCTCAAAACCGGAAAGAAGTCATCTCTCTGTTACAGAAATGCAAACACGTTTATCAGATTCAACCAATACATGCCAAAATCATAAGAAATGCCCAAGGCCAAGACCCATTTGTGATCTTCGAGCTTCTTCGGCTTTGCTCCAACCTCAACTCCATCGACTACGCCAACAAGATTTTCCAGCAAACTAAAACCCCAAACGTCTACCTCTACACTGCCCTCATTGATGGGTTTGTGTCGTCTGGTTGTTACCTTGATGCAATTCGCCTTTACTGTCAAATGGTGAATGAGTTTATTTTGCCGGATAACTATGCCATCACCTCTGTGTTGAAAGCTTGTGGCTTTGGGTTGGCTTTGGAGGAGGGCAGAGAAGTCCATACCCAGGTTTTAAAGCTTGGGTTGTCAACGAATAGATCAGTAAGGATGAAGCTTATGGGTCTTTATGGGAAGTGCGGTGAATTTGAACGTGCACGGCAGGTTTTCGATGAAATGCCTGAAGGGGATGTTGTTGCTTCATCGATTATGATTACTTCTTATGTTGATTATGGATTGGTTGAGGAGGCAAATGGTGTTTTTAATCGGGTTAGAACAAAGGATACGGTTTGTTGGACTGCAATGATCGATGGGCTGGTTAGGAATGGAGAGATGAATAGGGCTTTGGAGGTGTTTAGGGAGATGCAGAGGAATAATGTGAGGCCTAATGAAGTTACCGTTGTTTGTGTTCTATCTGCTTGTTCACAGTTGGGAGCGTTGGAGCTGGGGCGATGGGTTCACTCTTACATGGACAAGTATGGCATTGAATTCAATTACATTGTAGGTGGTGCTCTGATTAATATGCATTCGAGGTGTGGTGATATTGATGAGGCAGTAGAAGTGTTTGGTAAGATGCAAGAGAGAGATGTCAGTAGTTATAATTCCATGATTGAGGGGCTTGCTATGCATGGGAAGAGCAATGAAGCAGTTGAAATGTTCTGGACAATGATAAAACAAGGGCTTAGGCCAAATAGCATTACTTTTGTTAAAGTATTAAATGCATGTAGCCATGGAGGTTTGTTGGAGTTGGGATTTGAGATATTTCATTCCATGACTACTCGTCACGGCATTCAACCACAGATAGAACACTACGGATGCATGGTTGATCTTCTAGGTCGCTCCGGTCAGCTTGAAGAGGCATATAGTTTCATTACAAAAATGAAAATGGCACCAGATCATATCATGTTGGGAGCTTTGCTAAGTGCTTGTAAAATCCATGGAAATCTCGAATTAGGAGAAAGGGTAGCCAAAATCTTGGTAAATTGTGGCGATGCTGATTCGGGAACTTATGTTTTGCTATCAAATGTATACTCTTCGTCGGGGAGGTGGAAAGAGGCTGCACAAGTGAGAGCAGAGATGAAGGAAAGTGGAACTCCAAAGGAGCCTGGTTGTAGTTTGATTGAAGTGAACAATGAGATCCATGAGTTCCTTTTGGGAGACCTCAGGCACCCGAAAAAAGAAGAAATCTACAAAAAGTTAAAAGAGCTAAAAGATGAACTAAAATCTGAAGGGTACTTGCCTGCAACAGAGGTGGTTTTGCATGACATCGAGGACAGGCAAAAGGAACGGGCTCTGTCAATACATAGTGAGAGGCTTGCCATATGCTACGGGCTAATCTCTACAAAACCATGTACCACTTTGAGGATTGTGAAAAATTTAAGGGTTTGCAATGACTGCCACTCAATGATCAAGTTGATAGCTAAGATTACCAAGAGAAAGATTGTTGTGAGGGATCGCAACAGGTTCCACCATTTTGAGAATGGGGCTTGTTCTTGTGCTGATTATTGGTGAAGGAAAAAGCTTAACACTAACAGCAATATCAAGTAGATATCTTGTTTCGTTACCCTGGAGTTACAAGTTTTCATATATATATTTTTCTTTTTATGGATACTTGTTTTTGTACTTTGTTGATTGTGCAGAACATTTTAGGTTGGAACAACATTGGGCACCCCTGACAAATAAGAATGACAAATTATTTGGAACAGCATCATAATTTTGTAGCTAAACTCCAACTTCATCAGTGATTTACATGCCAAGCTTGACTTTGCGAACAAAAATAAATGAATCAAGCTTGAACAGCTCGAGAAACGATTCAACATGCTTCAAAATAGTCTCATTGGACCATACATTTCACAACTTGAAACAGTGTTTGGACAGCTCGTTGCATCAAAAATGGAAAACATTTCACAAGTACAGAAGACCATACATATAACCTCAAAGATTGATAATTTATCAAAATCTACAAAAACATTATACAACACACAACTTTTGAAGTTCAAAAACCAAATTAGCAGTAGAAAAATGTTTTTGTCTCCTCCAATATCCTGGCAAGCAAAAATAGGTTTTGAGATAAACCTAATAAATAGTTCCCAATAAGTTGAAATGAAAGATGAACCCAATAATTCATTAATTATTGGAGTTTCACAACTAGAAAATTTACTTTGCTTGCCCCCCTCCCTCTATCCTGGATGAACTATTTGGCTAGCATGCCTTTGGCTAGTTCAGAAATATAACATTTATGCTAATGTAAATATAAAAAATCACCTGAAGTAACAAAATCAAGCAAGGACATCACAACAGTCTTCATGACTCTTCTCTTGTTTTGTGTTTCTTTGACTTCTTGATCGAATTGTCACTAATGGCAGAATATGCTTCGCTCCTACTAGGCTCTTGCATAGCAGATTCTCTGTGTTTCTTTGACTTTTTGATTGAATGGTCACTAATGGCAGAATATGCTTCGCTCCTGCTAGGCTTTTGCGTAGCAGATTCTCTGTGTTTCTTTGACTTCTTGATATAATGGTCAACCATAGAATATGCTTCGGCACTGGTTCTACTAGGCTCTTGCATAACTGATTCTTCCTCGTTTCCTCTCCTCCTCTTATTACTCCTACAAATTCTTTTCACAGTTACAATGCAGAATCTTTTTTTTTTAAATCTTTTAAAAATGAACAATATTTTTTTTATGAAAACTCTTTCAAGTTATAAGGTCAGTGAAATACCCGTCCGTTAGTGAAACATTTTCCACATGTTTATCCAACCAGAGAATGCTCCCAGTGTGAGCTGGAAGCAAAGAACCAGAAATGCATAATGTTTCCTCATCCACACTGCAAAGATGAATCAATGTCATGAAAGTACATATACACACCAACAATCAAAAGAGGAAGTTGAGCCACATGTCATAAGTTGACAAAGGTTAGCACTAGACCTCAGAACTAGATATAAAATCATACGACATCTAGACAAGTGAAGCTTTGGAGTATTTTAGGTAGTACGTCTTGTCCTTTATGTTCACTAATGCTAGATGGACCATATTTTCAGACCACATTATGAGGCAGGTGGGATCAACTTTGGTAGTTGATCCATCACCTGCCGCATAATGTTGTTTGCTCGTGTGATCTAAAAATGCAGTCGCTTTTAGCATTAGTGCCACCAAATATCAATTCTCTTATAAATAATAAGAAGGTAATAGTAATCCAAGGTCACCTTTTGACTAATAAGCGTATCATGGTTCCAGCTTTTATTACATGTCGCTTGTGAGATCTGCTAACAAATAAGTCCTTGCCATGTTTCTATGAGAATATTGGTGCACCAGAAGTTAAAATGAATTAATACTGGCAATGTTAAGGATATGAACATTGAAATACAAAGATAAAAAACTCTTACAGTTTTATACTGAAATTCTTCGCGAATATCCTTGTCTGTTATAATAGCTGATGAAAAGCCAAGGATAATGACATGAATTGATTCTTGTCTGACTTTCACTACCTTTCCTTCTGAAGTGAGCACATTACGAAACAATCAGCAAAATCAACATTAATGAATACAAATGTGTGTGTATCACTCAATAACAAGATTTATTTTTGCCTAATCACATGATAAACCAATTTTGAACTTAATTGTACATAATATTATTCACAGAAGGAGTAAAAATTGTCCTTATGCTACTGCATCAGTTAATATAAAGGACAAGACATACTACCTAAAAGCATATCGGGCTTTGGAGAAAAAAGTAACAACTTTGCTTTTAGTCTGACATACAAATAAGGATGCATACTGGGAAGGATTTCTGGAACCTTGTCTATGTTGAATTCATACGCCAATACGACACCCTGAAATTTTTCATTGAACCTGTATGGGAAACCAGAGAAAGAAAATCAAATACATTGCACTCTCAAAGGCTCTTAACTATGATTATCATAATACATAAAACATGTGAAACAGAATATTATTCCAACAAGGGCCACAAACGGGACAGAAATGGAACAGCCCACTGATGAATTTGGAGGATTACAATTCAAAAAAAAATCTGAAAAATAGAAACTTCAATTCCTCAACTCTGAAAAATTAGCTCTCAAAATAACTTTTCTGTTGCAAGAAGGGGACCAAACAAACGCATAAACTGTGGGAACATTCAGAAAATTAAAATTACAACAAAATGGGCAAATATTTATGCTTCTCTTCGAAATTCCGAATAGCTTATAGCTATTCTGCAAACATATTCTCCAAAAGCTCATGTTTTTTTTTCTTCAGGAAATTTGACTCAACTGACTCAGCCAGCACAAAAAGCAAGAACCTTTATAAGCATTCATTAAGTGGGCAACATCGAAACCAATCATATAAATAAGATCAAGCTTACCAAACCCTAGAAATACAAAACTAAATAAATAAATAAAGGGTTACTGAGAACGTACCTTAAAAGCAGAGAGCTAAGCTCGCGTAGGACTGCTTTACGCACATTGTTACTCCTTGATGGATGTAGTTGGACTTGCAAGTTGACGTCTGAAACATTCAGCCCATCCATTACGCGCTCAAATCGAACCGGAGCTAGGGTTTTTCTTCTTCACTATGGCAGAGCTTAAAACCCTAGCATACTCTGTGAAACATTCTCAGGTTCTCTGTCCGAGGAACCTTGATTGGTTATTCGCCGTTCTTCAAAGTTTCAACCTTTATTTGGGTTGGGCCGTAAACGGGCCAAAACTTGCCTATCAGATACAAACTGGGCCATAACTCATAATTAGAATGTGGGTCCCACCCATATTAAATCAGAGCTGTAGAATTGTGTCTTATGACCCCGATAAGAAATTAATATCACAAAACGTCCCTAAAATTTACGAAACTATCGGATTGCATCCTTAATTTTTTTTTATGTTATTCGTGGTCCTCTTAGTATGTGTGATCACAAATGGTCCCTGCCATTAGGTTTCGTAAAAAACTCCGTTAGTTTGCTGACGTGGCATATATATATATATATATCACCAAAAAAAAATTTGAGGTTCCCACATTTATCACAAATGATCCCTGCGAAAATTTTTAATTTTTAATTTAAAATTCATAAAATTTTGGTTTTCTTTTTAAAATTATTTAAAAATATATATTGTATTTTAAATACAAGTGACACTATATTATTGAAGATGTGGACTCCACATACATGACACATCAACAAACTAATGGAGTTCTTAAAAAATAATTTAAAATTTATAAAACTTAAAAATGAAAAAACCAAGGGTTTATGGTTCATAAATAGTCCTCAAGGTTAAAATCTTCTATAAATGGTTTTTTATTTTTTAAATGTTATGAATTATAAATTATTTATAAAAAAAAAGGAGTTTCACTAAAACACCCAAAATGGGGGCTGAAATTATAAAAAAACTCAACACCCAAAACACTTTATAAACACACCCAAAACCCATCATTACACACACTCAAAACCCATTTATAAACACGCCCAAAAAATATACAATTGTTGATTTTGGGTGTGTTTCTATGTTTAAATAGTGCTTGGGTTTTTTTATAAATACATGTCTAGAATTGGGTTTATTTATAAATTTGTATAAAAAAATTCATTAGTTTCTTGTTGTAGCATATATGTGGAGCCAACTTCTTCAAAACTATAGTGTCACGTGTATTTAAATAAAATATATATTTTAAAAAAAATTAAAAAGAAAACCAAAATTTTATGAATTTTAAATTAAAAAATTAAAAAATTTCGCAGGGACCATTTGTGATAGGTGCATGAACCTCAGGTATGTTTTGTGATTTATATATACACGTCAGCAAACTAATAGAGTTTTTGACGTAACTTAACAGCATGGATCATTTGTGATTACACATATTAACCTTAAGAACAATGAATGACACACACAAAAAAAAAAACATTAATGATGCAATATGATAGTTTCATAAACCTTAGGAACGTTTTGTGATATTAAGCCTTGTGATTATGCAAATTGCAATGCATCAAAATCACGTTTTTCAAAAGCAATTTCACATAACTAAAGAACACACAGACACTCATATGTATGAATTGCTGGGCGAATGCAAATAGATGTGAAATTTGGAATACATGCATGGAAATCGTTTCTTCTGAATATAGTAATTTGGGGTAGCAATTGATTTTTCCAATGGTAGTATCGTTGTCAAGAGTTACTTGGTATGAGTAGCAAAACCTTGAGTATGGAATGTAAAGTTTGCTTGCTGCTATGCTCCTTGAATATGGAATGTAGCAAATGGGCGTTTCATTGATGTTTCAACTTCTGAATTTTATGCAACATTATACATTTATGTTTATAGCACAGATTCTGAAATGCGTGGGATGAGAGATATAAGAAAATTGGTGAGCTATATATGCAAAGCTTCACTGTGAGAATCAGCATTATTTGGAAAAAAGAGAGAGTCTAAAAGTGCTTTTTGACATTATTTGGAAAAAAGAGAGAGTCTAAAAGTGCTTATGAGTTATAAAAATACTTGGAAGTGTTTTCTAAACTAAAATTATAGTCATCCAAAGTGGAATTAAGCTTCACACGCAGGCCCTGCTGTCGATTCACCATTGAAAATAACTTGGTCTGTTGTTCAGTTGATCCCATCAAAATATCATTCAACGATCACTGTAATTGGTGCTACCTAGCGAAGCTACAAGTCAATCTTTGTCGCATGAAGCAAAGCGTCCTCCTGGCTTCTGTAAATTTAGATTATTTTTTTTGTGTTCCACCAGTGCATTAAGGCCTAATCCTTTGCAATATTTTCACCCAGAAAAAGGGTATGTGTTCTTATTTCCGGTCATTTTACTTTTGTGAACAATTTCTTGGTATATTAGATGAAATCCAACTAATAACCTATTTTGAAGTTCCTAACCATATTTCTCTAATGTTTTTGGTGAAATAGGCATATACAATGTTTCTATTACAACAAGAACAATGCCGATGTCATAGTAGAATGATGTTATTTTATCGATCTTTTGTCATAAGATTACAAACGAAAATTAACATGATTAATAATTCAGATTCAAAATTTAACAATATCCGTGAACATTTAACTTACTCCACACTACTAATAAAACATTTCTCCGAGCTTATAATCCCATTATAGGCAAGAATTTTGTCAATCACGTAGTCATGACTATTTCTTTCTTGAACGTCTGCATCAACTTTATAGGTTAAGGATATTGATGGTTTGAAAAAGAGAAGAAAAAATTGAAACAAACCCCACCCTTTCTCCGTGTCTTCCATCTCTCTCTCTCACCCACCCAAAATCTCCAAAAAAAACTTTAAAAAACCAACCCAAAAGGTACAACACAAACATACAAAATAAAGTTAACAAAAGCAAAGCATCTTCCGTTGGGCCCTTCCCTCATCTTTCCTTCTCTCTCCCAAGAACCAACATAAAACCCTGCAAGCAACAACAGAGCAACAAAATAAAAGGAAATTCATAAACCCAACAAGCAACGTTACAATTTCAAAGCCATGGAAGAGTATAGCACACAATCTCTCTCTCTCTCTCTCTCTCTCTCTCTCTCTCATTTCATATTCAAGCTTTCATCTGCAAATTAACCTCTAAGCTGAAAAATTGATCATCTTTTGTTGTTTCTTCTCTTAATTTCCAGATCTGATGGCTACCCAAAAGAGTGTTACACCCAAGACGGCCGGAGAGTGATGTCATCTTCATCCACCACAAGCGTCCACGTCACGGCTCTGGACGGCCTGGTCAACGTCAACTCACTATTCACCATCGCAGTCTTCGTGGGTCTGTCTCTGACAACACCGGGACAGAGAAGCCTCGAGGGCAAGACAGCCTGCGACGCCAGAATCGACGTAGCTAAGAAGCTCCTGGTCTTCGAGGTTGTCTCCTTCAGCTTCTTCCTCTTCTCTTCTCTGGTGGCGCAGGGCCTCAAGCTGGCAATCAACTTGCTCAACAGCAAGGATGTCGACGAGGCCTTCCGGGCCCACATCAATCTCAAAGTCTTGAGATTTGGGATGATGGGTTCGGCTTTCGGGTCGGTGATGGGCTGTGTGTTTTTGGTGCTGTCAATGGTGGATGTGATTCAGATTAGGTTGGGGATGTTGTCTTGTGGAAGCAAATCTGCCGTGCATTCTGTTGCGGCTCTTGTCGTTTTGGTTTCCACGGCTCTTTTGGTCTATATTTCCACTGTTGTTTATGCTTTTCTTCATTAGCTGAAGCCCAATTTTATATACATGTTTCTTATTCAGTATCATATTCAGTTGGTCTTTGTTTTGTCTCTTTTTGTTTACAAGAGACGGTTTTGACTGGCCTCTGTTTGAAACCTCTGTTTTGGTTGGAAGAGAAATCTGCAAAAGATGGTAACTTTTAGGTGCTTCTTTTGAGTTCTCAGTTGATTAATGTTGGTTGGATATCTGGGTTATGGTCAGTTTCTAGAATTGCTTTGTTAATGTTGGCTGGCAGAAGCTGCAATTTCACTCAAATTAGCTGCTGATGCAATGTTTGTCAGACACCATCGCATGATTTTCCTGCCCTTTTGTGGGTTTTGGTGTCTGTTTCTTTCTGTGTTCGTTTGTGCTTGGTTTTTCACTGTCTGTTCTGCCCTGCATTCTATTTTCAAGCCAGAAAAAAAAAGAAAAAAAGAAAAAGACTTAATCTCGGGAGAGTGGCATTATTAAGTTGGATTTCTGTTGCAGAAAGGAGGTTTTTTTGGGTTTACATATGATGATGGCTTTAGTTGCATTTGAGACCCTTATTTTTTGTTTCCTTAACGTTTCTACCAACATTGGACTCGAACCAGGGTCTCATGGCGTCCCCTGGCCAATAGTTTGCTTTGTCTCCACATAACTCGTGCTAGACTTGGGACTTGATGAGCCTCGTTAAAAAAAGAAGAGCATATTCTTTCTCATTTTCTATTTTCAAGTCCTTTCCCCGTCTCCCTTCTTTTGATCACATCAGTGATCAGAGCCAACTAGAGGGAAAAACACTTTCATTTACGGGAATAGCACTGTTTTGCTATACTCAGCCAATTACATTCCGTAATGTGTAATAAGAATTACACATGGTAAAACATGATTGGATGAGAATAACAAAACAGTTTTGTTACTCCGAAACATGGTTGAATAAGGATAGCAAAACATTACTAACATCGTGACGTGCAAGTTTCCTCAGCTAGATGAGCTCACCCTCTTAGCTTTCTGGAATAGAAGTGTATTGAAAGCCCCCAGGGCCCCCACCAAATGGTGATTGATAATAGCCATGAAAATATACTTCGGCAAGCACCAGCTGGTTTATTGAGACAGAAAAGAAAAACATGAGTAGGTGTAAATTGATCTCTCTGAAATTTTCCAACTCGGGCTTGTGTGGCTTTTGGATGGAAACTCAGTTATGGAGAGCTTACAAATGATACTGTTCCTCCGTTCCCGCCGTGTGTTTTCTGGGACCAAAGCATATGACTTGGAGAAAATTGGAAGAAGTCGTTACGCTTTAGAGGCACAAAACCTATAAGCAAAGAAACAAGTTGTTTACACGTAAATCCAAGAAGTACTAAACAAGGATTAGCAAAATGGGATTTGCAAGCTCAGATATTGCAACTTGATGGGTCCAGGCTGGCCAGCCCCTACATATCCGACACACAAGTTCCCCAGAATTATGAACAATACTTGATACAATCAAATGTTGTTCATAATTTTGGGGTCATATTAGAAATTAACACCTCCCTTCTGGTAGCGCATAATGATGGCATGGTGAAAACGAGTGAAAGTAACACGTTATACCAAATGAAACTGAAGAAAAACAAGAGGGATACACTAGTTTACAGAGTTAGAACATCTTGCTAATTATAGGTATGCTATTTTTACAACTACAGGCTAATTCATAAAAGAAAGAAAAGAAGAAACTACAGGGTTATTCAGTCTATGCTCAACCTAAAACTGAGATTTACAGTCCTGAATACAAGCAACAGCACGTGAAAGGAATTGTACAAAAATGGTCAGCTGAACAAATAGAACAGCCTTTAACTGTTTGAGGGTGCCACCCTCTTCGATTCAATTTCTTTCACGCTTTGGACTATACCCTCAATGTTTCTTGAGAGGTGATTTGAATGTTCTTCCATCTCTCTCAAAACCATATCAAGTTGTTCTTGATAGGCTGCAGATCTCTTCCGCTCTCGTTGTAACTCAGCCATCAACTCCCGAATTTTCACATCTTTTTCGTCCTGGAACATACCCACAAGAAGAAAAAATAAGAAAACAAACAGACAATGCATGGTAAACATTGATTGTCAGTGAAAATATTATGGTAACAGAATGCAAAGAACTCTTCCCATGCCGTCATAAACATACATCAAGTATCTGCTAGATGGCTTTACCAAGCAGTGATCAACTACATAAAGTGCTTGCTTTAACCATTAAAAACTAGAGCACAATACCAAAAGATACAATTATAAACTTGAACTGACCAGAATACACACACCTACTATAATAGATCACAGAAATGGATTAGAGAAGCAAATATGGCACATGAAGGGGCCTGTACAAATTCTAATAAAGGTTACTGCTAAAGTTGAGTGGGGAGATATTTCTTTATATATTTGTTTATAATTACTTGAGTAAATTTAAGTTTTAGATTGACTATCAAAATTGATTTTAACAATTTGGAGGTGAAGAAGCATGAGTTGTCTAGTATCTGAACTATAAACTTAGAACAATGAAACAATAGAAACTACAACATAGAGTAACCTTTTTAAGCAAGAGGCATCTGCTAACCTCGTCCAATTAACCAGAATTACTAATATCATGTAAGACACATAACAAAAGTAACTTCCCAACTTGTAAGAACTCCAAACCACTTCCAGGCAACAGACTGCAGCAAATCTCAGGTTCTTTAGATACTAGAACATCTGATGTACTTCCAAATCTATAGGGTAACATCACAGATACTAGATAATCCACTAACTTAAGCCACACAAATCACAATGCATTTCAAATGTCACCAAATAAACCTGTAAACTACAGTTCAGCAACTCACAAATGCAGATTAGATAAAATAAGGCGACATAGACAAATATAATTTGAACGAGAGAAATCTTATCGAGTACTCACTGGTGTTTGAGATAGAAGCACAGTGCGACGACCATTTGCAGGTGTAACCACCAGTGGATGGTTATGCTCCTTTACAAATCTTGTTACTATCCATTTTCCCGATTTTTCTTTCTTTACCACTATCATTGCTTTACACCCTTCTCTGGTGATTGCTCGAGGCTTCCTATTCTCACTTCTTTTGGGTCTTGTCTTACGAAATCCCTCTTTATTACACACAAGCCTACGCCAAACTACCTTACCATCACGCATGGATCTTCGGAAGGCATCAACACGCATGATGAACCCCAAGTGTGTTGCATATGCGTCATAGAACACTTTGGCAGCCTCTTCGGATTCGAACTCCATACCCACATATGGTTCCATATCTGAATTCCCCTCAGATGTAACTGCATCTTTTCCATTGGAACTCTCTATCACATCCTCATCCTTGCTCATAGAAGATTGTTCATCCACTGCCAAATAGACATCGTTCTAAGAGTCAATCTAAGGTTCAATTTTCGGGAACTCAAGCAAGACAGAGACTTTGAGGGTGAAAATGAACTCTCATACCAAAGCTAGTTAATGCATAATTAATCGTGTAAAGTCTCACATTATAATGTTACAGAAACGAGTGAACTAGTTTCTGAATTTTCAGGAACTACTTCAGCGGAAACTCATTTTACGAATGTAACGAGTCAAATGACATCTGTTGAATACCACAACTATATCTAATCCAACCACTTGAAACAGCAAACAAATTATTCCAAGGCAAGCTCGTTTATAAAGAATTCGACTTTATACACAAATAAGCTCAAAATCAATTGTCAAAGAAATTGAACTGAACATGTTTTGAATGCTGGGTACATAGTTTGGTTGTGTTTGGCTGCTCAGAAAACACAAGAGAATAGTCATATCAGAGTGGAAATGTGACAAGCAGCTAAAATTGGGGTTGCTGAATTTTAAGTTGCCCAACTTTTAACTCATCGTTTTAAATCGTTTCAAATCTAAGCTTTAAACCAAGTGCAGATTAATGAATGTTTAGACAAATTAAGAGTGAAAGAAAAGGACTAACTCACTTGTTTTAAGAGAGAGATCCTGACCCAGTAGTTTGCTTAGCTTCCACAATAGAGAGAGAGAGAGAGAGAGGAGAGAGAGAGAGAGAGAGAGAAGGTCGTTCCTTTTTCCCTGTTCTTTCTTAGGAGGTGGCGGTTGAAACGTTTCAGAGAGGTCTCGGAGCTCAAAGTCCAGAGGGGGTGTGGCAGGCGGATAGAGAATAATGATCCTCTACGGCGAAGAACAGCGTCCCTCTGTACGGATTATTGTTTTTCTTTTCTTAATTTTTTTAATTCTTTCTAATAATCTATATTATCTATATCCTTTGTGTTAGAAATATAAGTTAAATAGCCTTTCTCTTTGACAAAAATAGAAACCCCTCTTTTTTCAATTATCATATAATTAAATGGTAAACGTGAGTCAGGCTAGTTGATCAAAATAGGATATTTGTCTTGTTATCGAGTTTGTTTATATATTTGAGTGTAAAGAAAGAATACGAACTCACTGTTCCGACTAACTAACCTGATCTATTTTTGCTTTGCCGAACACTAAAAATAATTTAGAATATTGTTTTCTTAAAAAAAAATTAAATTAAAAAAAATACTGTGAGCCCAGCCCATTTCAGAACCTCCTAAAACAGTATAGCCCAGCCCTGACCACTTCAAAAAAGCTACAAGAGGTCTGGCACGGTGAAAAGGGACTTTAATTTACGCGACATCATAGTTGCGTGTGAGAAATTTTGAGGCCAAAACAAAAATAATAATAAATAAGAAAAAAGAAGAAAAGAAATCGATTTCACTACTCACTTACATTTGAGCAGTGTCTATCTCCGTCTCGATCAGTCCATGAAAGCCAGAAGAAGATCTTCAGCTTCCGATATCAGTCCGAAGCACTTCGACTATTTTTTAATTAAAGTAAGTTCCTTTCTTCTTTTGTCTCTCTCCCGCTCTACCAGCCTTTCAATTCCAATTTCTCCTTCAAATTTTTTTAATTTTTTTTAATGATTATAACCAATCTATATATTCTTACCTCTTTTTCCCTCCAAATGCTTCTAACTACTCGAAAATACTTGCAAAGTTGTTTAATTTTTCTGAGAAATATAGGTCATGCAATCCATTCCTTGACGAGAAAGTGTGGGAAAGTGGAAAAAACTTTGTTTTTAGATTCTCAGATCTCTGGTTATTTCATAGATAACATTCAACTGAGCATTCCAGAACTATTTGTGGAAATTGCAGCTTGTTGCTCAAATTTATGTTTTGGAATTTGTTTCTTTGTATTGTTTTGAGCTATTGGTCCAAGAATTTTTCTTGTGGATATTAAACATTGGGTTATTGGTCCAATTTCATGAAGGCTTTACCTTTTGAGTTAAACTAGTACTTCTCCTTTTAGTATGACGAAAATTCCCCATGAGAAAATGACCCAAGTATTAGAAAGTAATTTCATGATATTGTTTGAAAGTAATGTGGTGTGTAGATTTCTTTAGTTCAGTCGAGCTCTTTATGGAGTATTAAGTGTGTTAGATTCGTTTTAATAACAAATTACGTATATAATACACCCGTAAAGATGTTTATGGATTCTATTACATGATTTATGACAGTGGATTTGGAAAGGGAAGCAGGGGCAGTAGATGAGTCTGTTGAAATAGCCATAGTTGCTTCAGAAGGTCCAATTCCGGAACCTTATGTGGGTATGGAATTTGATTCTGAAGATGCCGCCAGGAAATACTATACTGATTATGCCAGACAGGTCGGATTTGTTGTTCGTGTTATGCAGCGTCGTCGATCAGGCATTGATGGGAGAACTCTTGCCCGTCGGCTTGGGTGTAACAAACAAGGGTTTTCTCCTAACCAGAAGGGGAAATTTGGACCTGAGAAAAAGCCTAGACCTAGTGCACGAGAGGGTTGCAATGCAACAATCTTGGTGAAGATGGAAAAATCTGGAAAATGGGTTGTTACAAGATTTGTAAAGGATCATAATCATCCTCTGGTTGTTACTGCCAGTGGTTTTAGCACAGCGGTGAGCTTATTTAAAATATTTAACTGCTTCAACAATCTTCTCCTTTATTCATCATATCTTATTGAATTTTCAAGATCATTGTTTTTTGCCTTTGATTTTTGCCCCTTCTTTGCTACATCAAAGCCTGGTTCCCTCATATTAAGGTGTATCATAAGTTGTTGAATGAACTATTGATTGAACAAGTTTCAAGCAGAAAAAGGAGAGTGAGTTTGGAAGATTTCTAGTGATGTTCACGAATAAACCTTAGAATTATGTGAAAGTGGCCTCATGACCAAGCAAGTATAGTTTAGGAAGCCGTTTACCAACTAAAGCCTTGAATTCAATTGTTGAAACCTAAAAGTGGGATGTCAAAACTTTGCGATTTTTTGTTTGGTTTCGCATATGATTATTAATTTTTAATAGGTGTGATATACTTTGAATTAGTTCAGTTTCCGCAGATGAGTTATTTGCTTATTGATAATTGCAGGGTGATAAGGATAGGAAAATTGAGGAACTTATGATGGAGTTGGAGCGTCAAGATCAACTATGCGCAGGTTATAGAGAAAAACTTCTCAGTTTTATGAATAATGTTGAAGCAGAAACGGAAGAACTGTCGGAAAAGATACAAGTTATAGTTGACAATGTGAGAAAAGTTGAATCTGAAGTGCAAAAACATTCTCGTCGTAGATAGCCTTGCAAGTTAACACTTAGGATTTATTTGCCACCTATTCGCATTCAGCTCTATCCAAGAATGTACAGTTTTTATTAGAATCAGTTTCTTTTATGACAGATAGGAAAGTCCTTTTTTCACAAATAGAAAATTCCCTTTTATCTTCGTTTGACCTCAAACTTTAATCGTTTCATTAGATTAAACGAAAGGTTCATGACTCTTTTATCGTAATTGCAGCGTCAGTATCATACTCTCAGTATCTGCAGTATTCAAAAATTCCTTTTTCACCACATGATTGTTAATATTACAGTGATGTTGAATTTGAAAGTAGGATTAATTTCTGTTCAATACTAATAGGCTTAAGGGTGTAAGTTCAGGGTGCTAAATTAAAATTAACACTAGAAAATATATCTTTTCGAATGGACATGGATTTCTGGATTGAAAAGAAAAGAAACAATTAGTAAATTAAAAATAAGTGTAGGAACAAAGCCAAAAGGGCCACCCTGGCCAGTGGGAGGACAAAGCAATTGTTTGCCTTGTGGGTATTCCATTCACTAAATTATTCATGTTCAATTCAAGACATTTTCTGAGATTGCTTGTGGTATAAATGGGCCAAGCTCACTCATCTATACAGTATGTTAATCTGTCAAAATACTCTCAAAAGGAGAAACATTAGTTGAATCCATCCTCATACCACTAATATGCACAGAGCCATACTTCTTTCTTCAATTGTCGTCCAGTTCATTTTGTGGAAGTCTTTCAACTTCAGTCTCAAATTCTCTCACATCATTAACAATTCCACTAACTTTCATGGATATCAGTTCTGTTTGCTCCTCAACATTATCCAGCAATGTAAGTAGTAGCCCATGATATAGTTCACATAACTGATCTTCACGCTCCAGCTCCATAGTGAGTTGCTCAATCTTCATATCCCTTTCATCCTAAGAATGTATATTTGAAAACAAAACAGATTCAGAGGTTAAAGGCAAATGCAGTTTCACAATCATGTACCTATGTGCACTTTTAGATCCTTTGTCAAACTCTATTTCCTAATAGCGGAAATAAAACTAAAGTCAAGAGATTCATCATCTTAGAAGTAAAACAGAAAGAAAAATACTCCTATTATGATCAATTATGATCCAATTCCCAGGACCCTCGAAAACTAGGTCTGTGAAACTCCATTGCATGGAAAAGTTTGCCTGTAAAATTTGCTTCTCCTGGAAGACCTCAGGGGCCTTGTTTCTAGAGCAGCTAGTGAATTACATTGACGGCAACCATGATACTTATAGCAGGGATGAGGAATCTAAAGCACCTAGCCTGATTAAAAAGTACATAAACCATGATTTTGATATTTTGAAATTTTCGTTTCAGCACCACAGTAAATAAGCAAAGTTCAATCAATCATGTTTCTCCTCCTGCTTTAGAAGTTCCATGAGAGTATGAGCGTAGAGTAACGAGAACTAACTCAAAACTTCACATAAAAGTTTACAGTAATGGTTACTTTTTCTTGAAAATAGATTAGATAAACTTACCATAGAAATCCCAGAAGATACTATAAGCGGATGAGTATGGTCCTTAACAACTCTTGTAACAACCCATTTTCCAGATTTATTAACTTTGACCAGCATCATTGCTTTACACCCTTCTCTTGTGCTAGGTCGTGGTCTCCGAACTGGCCGGACTTGATCTCTAGGTTTTACATAACGCCCTTGCTTATTGCAGGAGAGCCTACGAGAAAGAATTCTCCTGTCAACATCCGATCGCCGACACTGATCTATGCGCATGATGAACCCTACATGCCTTGCATATTCACTATAAAAATCCTTGGCAGCATCTTCAGAGTCAAATTCCATACCAACATATGGTTCTGCAACTGCATTCAAGTCCCTTTCGGCAGAAGTTTCAGGTGCTCCAGCTGTCACATTCAAATTCAGTATCACACATCACCACACTCTATTATATTCGACAAACATAATCTCTCTCTCTCTCTCTCTCTCTCAACATACTAGAAAATTGCATCTATTGATTTTCCTCCTACAGTGAAGACTTATATGCTTTTTTTTAATACCAAAATTCATTCTTCCTCATGAACCACACTGATGAAAACTAAACACTTGAAGTAGAAAAAAGTTTTTGAGAAGTCTGAAAGAATTTGTTTCATTGTTGTATTTGAAGTTCATATACATCAGGTGAGGTTGGAATCACTACTAAGGTTCCTAAATGTTGTAATCACAGAAATTGAAGCCAAGCTCGTGGCTAACATATTACAGACAATCGTTCCAGCACAATGTTTCTGATCTCTTTCTCTCTCTGAGCTTCAGGTCACTTAAAAAATGAGTCACACAAAGTCTCCTCTACACCCAATCAAATCATACACAGCAAGAAAAAAGGCTTTTTTTTTTTTTTTTTTTATTATAATCGAGTTAAAAAGTTCACATCTTTCGATTTTAAAGAGCTTTTGGTTTACTTTTGTTTGGGGGTTTCAGAAGTTTCTGTACACTCCAAGACCAAAAAAGGTAAAACCCAGAATAGATTTCTATATAACAAGATTGAAATTACTTTCAGAATTCTCTGCAACCAAACACAAACAAGGCAACATGAATTTTGGCCACTGGATGGAAGAAAAAACCAATACTAATTTACTTGACGGAAGAAAGCTAGCAGTGTACTTACCGAGTTTCGGGTCGGTACTTAGCAAATCAAGCCAAGGTCTTGGTCTTCCGTTCTCCATTTCACGTTTCACAAATGGGTTCAGCAAAGCTCACAGCTTCCACCTTCACTGCGCATCACCCACATCCAACAATATCAAAGAATTACTCAAAAGCCAACGTCGTATGGCATCCAACGACATCATTGTACTAGTCGTTTTGTAACCGTGGCGCTGTATTGGACTAACTTGTTCAGTCCAAGCCCAACTCTCATAAGTCGACACTACAATTCTACGCTAAAGGGTCTTAATTTCCGTTTGTTTCCACTTTCCATAGAAAATGAATGAGAAGTGGTAAAGATTGAATTTTGGTGCTTCTCACCCACCAGTTTGTTGAGAATCTTATGTCAGGTATGGATTTCTCTTGCAGATTACATTTTTCATGCATTCTTGGTTTCCAAATTGAGATCAGATTGGGGTGGAATTTTAAAAAAAGTTCCAATTTTTCCGGATGATTTTATCTGGTTTTTCATTTTTCTGATATACTTCGTGGGTGTATTTGTTTTCGTAATATAAGACTAGATTGGGTAGTTTTCTTAAAAAGAAACTACAAAATGGAGTAATTTTGGTGGCCTTGCTGCTTGCAGAGTTGTTGTGATGAATGTAGAGGTTGTGTGAATTATTCTGTTGTACAAGGAGCAATGGAAAGCAAGGCTAACAATATATCATTCAATTCGGATGAGAGCGAAAGGTGTTTGGAATTTGAAAGCTGTGATGAGCATTTATTGATTGATGATGATGAGCTTCCAAAGGACACTGATTTATGCTCATTTGAAGTTGATAAGATCATACAACAGCCTAATGCAAGCTTGCCTTTGATGGGCAATGCTGTAGAGCCATACATTGGAATGGGGTTCAAGTCTAGAGACGATGCTCGAGACTTTTATATTGCTTATGGCAGGCATTCTGGGTTTACAGTAAGGATTCATCACAACCGGCGTTCGAGGATGAATAACATGGTTATTGGCCAGGATTTTGTTTGTTCTAGAGAGGGTTTTCGGGATAAGAAATATGTTTGCAGGGAAGATAGAGTCCTTCCTCCACCACCTGTCACCAGAGAAGGCTGTGCTGCAATGCTGAGGGTAGCTTTAAGAGATGGGGAGAAGTGGGTTGTTACCAAGTTTGTAAAAGAACATAATCACACATTAATGGCTCCAAGTAAAGTTCCATGGCGAGGATTTGGGAAAAACTTAATTAGCGAGGTATGTTTCTAATCGTCTATGATGAGATAGAAGGTTTTGTGGCATTTATGAAGTTAAGTTGAATGGTGACAGATTCTGCAATATTTTCCTTTCTGACTAATGACCTAAATCTAAGGCAGTGCCTAAGCTTGAATTCAATAACATAGCTGCTGCGTGGAGAACAAAATAAAAGCCCAGAGTAACAATATGTTGTGTACAATATTTCAAAAGTAAGCAATTTTCTGTCATATCCAATTTCATAAAATAGTCAAAGTATAGAAGGAAATTTTTGAAATGCCATTTTACCTGGCTTTTATTAACTAGCTGCTGTGGATGGACCCGTATTTGTTTCATAGAAGTTGATGAGACAATGCTTCCCAGCCTAATGCATTGTGTTCCTTTTAATTTGATTTTGATCATGTATGTTTGCCTTTATTACTTGCAGGATGAGAAGGATCAGAAAATTAGGGATCTTACAATTGAACTTAGCAATGAGAGACAGCGCTGTAAACGCCGATGTGCAGCTTATCAGGAACAAATAAGTATGCTTTTGAAAGATATCCAAGAGCATAGTGATCACTTGTCAACAAGAGTTCAAGACATAGTAAGGAACATAAGAGAACTTGAGAATGAGCAATGTGTAGATTCATTACAATAATGCCATTTGTACATTTTTCCCTTTTGAGGCTTAATACAGATGCCACTAATTTTAACATTAATTTGTCTCAGCCAATTGGATATCGAGTTAGATAAACACCAGATGATGTTGATGTCCATTTTGTCAAGTATTTATGCTTCAGTGTATTTGAATTGTTTAGCATTTATGAGAGGTAACTCATTTTGTTTTTTGTTTTTTTTTTTTTTTTTTTTTTTTTTCTTTAAGATGCACCATTTTAGAAGCAAAAGGCCCTTCTTAAGGCTCCATTTTAGCACAAAAGAAATTCACCAAAGCAACCAAATATTACATTTAACTAGAAACTAACAAGTATCTGACAATCGAATGGTGATCATAAACAATTTACATGTGTCTCATCTTCTTTTTTTCTTTAAAAGTGAAGCAGCGCGCAGAAATATCCTATCAACCTCATCAAAATTTGGCAAGTCAGCATCTTCGTTCACTGATTTAGCCTTCTTTGAGTCCATGGATATTTGACGCAGGTGATCCTCAAAATCTTCAGGTTCTCCGTCACTTTCAACTGGAAACTTTTCAAACTCTTCCAAATACAACGGTCGCTCTGCCTTCTCCTCAGTCTCCTTGTCAGAGTCAGTCTCAAAAATATCTGATAAATCTTCGGAGTCTGAAGGCATTTCTGAATCCGTTACAAGGTCATCTTCAGAACATCCCTTGCTTCGACCGATTATTTCTTTCAGCTTATCTGAAGGCTCCAGCTTGAAATTTGAGGAGCTCCTGGAGTCTACACTATCAATGTCAGTTTCTTGGGTTTCTTCAATGGCATCTGTTTCAATTTCAGGTTTCCTTTTAGCCTGTGCTCGAAACAAATCAAGATCCTGTTCAAGTTTTGGAATATATTTCCTTACAGCCCGAAGGCCATCCTTATACTTCGATTTATCCAAAGCCTGTGTGGGGGAGCAGTGAACAGAAGGGAAAAAATTAGAACCAATAACATCTGTCAAAAGTCTAACCATATGGCATTCATGCACATCTCTGTATATTTTTTATGCCCTTTCTTTACTGATGAGGTCCTTTAAGCACCAAAAAATGGAGGCCTAATGCAACTGATCAACCATAGTTCACAAGGAAAAATTGTTTCCAAGGCATGAGGAAGCATTGTCGTACTTATCATGCATTGATTTAAAATGTTTTACAAAAGGAGCAAGTGTGGTAGTTAAAAAGCATGGAAAATTGATTTCAAATATGCAGTTAAAAAGCATAACCCATTAACAGGCAGTGTCAGAAATTCAGACGGTTAATTCTAAATTTCCATGCATAAAAGAAATAAATTTAAGAAACATAGAGCAGAGAAGAACCTTCTTCCTAGAGAGAGTGACCCTTGGTGACATAATCTCCGTCGGTGGCTGAGAATAGTTCTTCCCTCTGTACATAATTATTGTGTATTCTTCATGAATGCCGAGCACAATCCCTCCAGTTAATCTTGCCAGCTCAGAAGCAATCTCCTTAACCTCCTCAGGTGAGAATGTCTTGACCACCACTTGCAGAGTTTGATGTTTCTTCCAATGCAAGTGCATGTTCAGAATCACACCCTGGTATATTCCCCGTCTTCCAACGGGCACATAATTCTTGCACTTGATACCCATCTTCAAAAAGAAGAAGTGTTCCTCTGGTGTCAATATTTCTGGATCATGGTTTGTCTCTGATGTCTCCGAGGGCTCAATCTTCTTAAGAGCTTCAACAAGCCTTTCCTCTTTCCTTTGAGCCTGCAAAACAGCAACCACATACTATCATAACTCTCTAACGTAAGACTGCATTCTCTAACACTTGGTGTCCAATTGGGTTACTTATGCCATGCCATGGAAAATGGGTTGAAAGATATGCCAAAAACTACAAAAACAGTAATAAAAAGTGGCATTTACATCAAAACCCAATACAATTCTTAGCGTATAGAATTTTACCTTTCTCAACTTGTGGAGAATTTTTTCCTCCGCAGTCATTCTCTTATAATCCTTCTTCTTCTTCCACCTGAAGAACTTGAGCCACCTAACGACTGCTCTTTTCCCCTTGAGCTTTTTCCTCTTCACTGTAGCACTACCAGTGTCCTTAGCAACTGTGCCTTCTTTCGAATTTCCCAATGGCTCCGCAGCTTTGTGCTCAGCGTTAACACAAGGAGCTGAATGAACCCATCGATGGCCCTCCAATGGAAACCTTGTAATACCAACCAAGTCCCCAACAGCAGGCTTTTGAACAAACACCTTGCATACAACATCACCCAAGCTACTCCACTGTGAGGTCGTGATATGAAATGCTATTTATCTCAATGTATATTTCACAAAAAACTCCATACTTTATGAGATTTGAGAAAGACGGGTACCTGGGTTTCTCAATATTGAGCCGATTATGAGATTTGAGAAGACGCAGTGAACGGAAGACGCTCGTCCGCGTCAGTTTCTGCATTGGGCCTGAGCTGCACGCACTTCCCTGTTTTGGAGAATCCAAAAGAACACGACTTTAGGTCATTTCGAATTTGCCCCTTCAAAAAATCAGAGGGTTTGGAAGCTTTTTAGTAGTGATAAAATTGAATTGAATTGAATTGCTTCAAGTGCGTCTTCTTCAGGCTTATTTCTATTGAACCCCAGTTTGGGACGATGAAGAGGCAGCAGCGTAAGCGGGAAACGGTGACGTTTCGAAGTTGGCCTGGCTGTCTTGTTGTGATTACCAACCGTAACAGGGTTAATATTGTCAAAACAGGAAAAACTGTAATGCTAATGTTCCCCTCATTCATCTGGTTTCTTGGAAGAAAGGGAAAACGTCAACCTTTTTTTATTTATTATTTCCTCTTTCCTGAGTTTGGTTATGTACATAGACGTCTGATTTATAAAGATTAAAATGTTGATTTGCAATCCATTTGTCAATATCATTGTCGTCAACACTGATAAAATATCGATTGCACGTTAACAATTCGATCTTTAATAAAAAACCATACATGCATCATTCGATCACTATAACAACTATAGTGAGCATCATGAGATGAAGGATGAGGCATGAGATGGTCACCATTAACCCCACAATATTTCACCAGAATTGTATTCGACTTCATTTTGATTTTTCGGTTGGCTAAAGATGAGCTAACACCCCAAAAGACCAACATCACCTTTTAAAGATGAAAATTGATGAAAGAGTCACATTGGGGAAATTGTAAGCCAAAATCTAGGAGAAGAGAGATGATGTGCTTCCCAAAACCCATGTTGTTTTTGTCAAGTTAGAGTGTCAACTTCTCCATAACAACAAATAAGACCTTGAATGAATGTCTCAAAATGAGGGGCAGTGGAGAAGATCCCAAAAGCAGGGACTTCAAGTTCTTAGAACCACTCTATATTTGATTTGTGGCATGATTTTGTTGTTGCAAATGCAATAACTCTAAAGAGATTTCTTATCTGAATGCTTAGCTGTGATTGTTTAATGCAAACAAATGTTCTAAGCTTGATGCAATTTCAGTTTGTAAAATAAGATATTATCTCTGAAATAAAAAAAAACTAAAGATTTTCACAACGATAAATAAAAAATATATATATACAATGATATTACTTGTTCCCCCTTGAAGGCGTCCTACTATATATATTCTGATCATATCAAAGACATTACAAAGAAACTAACTAAAAATATGAAAATCACCAGAAGGAGAAAGAAAAAAAACTAGAAATGATGGTAAAAACCCACGAAGAAACGAAGGATTTTGGATTCTTTTAACATGAGATTTCACAAGAGTACACAAACTAATAGGCTGCTCTTATGAAATCAAGTTGAACCTAAAGCAGCAAATCCACCACGTTTCATCATCTGCTTAAACTCCTTGTAATTAACCCTCCCATCTCCATCAACATCCACCTTCTTTATCATTATCTTGCAATCCTCCAATGTCCTCCCCTGCTTCAGCCCCAAAGATGACAAAACTGACCTCAACTCATCCACTGTAATGAACCCATCTCCATTTTGATCAAACACGTTGAATGCTTCCCTCATGTCCTCCTCTTCATCCCTCTCGTCCATGATCGTCTGGTACAATGCCCCGAATTCGTCGATATCCACGAACCCATCTCCGTTCACGTCGATTTTTTCGATAATCTGGATCAAGTCCTTGTCAGGAATGTAGATCCCCAGGTTCTCTAAAGAGTCCCTGAGCTCCTTCTTGGTGATCTTCCCGTCTCCGTTTCGATCAAACATCTGGAAAACTCGTTTTACCTCTGCCCTGTTGTCCATCAAACACTCTCAGAAATTGAGAAACTAATTGCCAAAATGTATAATCTGATCAGCGGTTGAGCAATTGAGCAACAGCAACAAAACCCAGATGACCAAATGTGACGCTCTCAAGGAAAAGTTGAGGCTTTGATGAAGATTGTGGAGATTTGAAAGAAGGGTTGCAACGAGATATGGAAAACCCTGAAAGCGATATGGTTGAGAAAGTCGGCTATTACTAAACTGACAACGGGTGGTGGAAGTTGTTTGGAGTTGTTGAGGAAAATGGAGGTGAAAAAACGATAAGGGCCAAAAAGTTTATCTCAGGGAGAACCAGAAACCATCCAACACGTTTGAACGTTGGTTTTGTGGATTTTTTCCGTTGTTTGGTTGAAAAACGCGGGTTTGTACCCAAAAACATAACCGCTTCAAAGTAAACCCGCGTTTTTGCGGCATTGCGTGTATTGGATTGGTCACGCATTCTGATCTGACCGTTAAAAGTGGCGCCATATTTTCTCAAATTAGGAGTTGGCTTTTGGTCTTGAAGACCCAAGTTTGGGCAGTCCAAGTTTGGGTGGGCCCAAAATATTAGATCCGAGTGTTGGATAATTTTCTAGAACTTGCTTTTTCTTTTCGTTTCTGTTGCTTGATGTCTAAGACTCATGACTCAAAATAATTGTAAGAATTTAGACTCAATTTATGAGTGAGTAGTAACGTAGTGATTGGAGGATGTTCTTGTCACATTTTACTGATCACATTTCTAGCCACTTCTCGTCATTCATGATTTAAACCGCGTTTTGTTGACAAGATAATCTCACTAAGTACATCATTTTTGAACTTTCTGTCTACATTTATAACCATGTTTATAAATAAATTAACACCAGATTATAAAATACATATTTTATATAATTCCAATAAGAAAAAACGCATGATATAAGACTTGCCCTTATTATTTTTGGACCATATAGTTTGTCGGTTTTAACACTTGATCCTTATAGTTTCAATTTTGTCAATTTTGTACTCAATAGTTTCATTTTGAAGCAATTCAACCACTCGTTTCAATTTTTGTCAAATTCCTCCAAATTTCGTATAATAAAACACAATTTGAAGCTCTTCCCCTTCACTTTAGGCCCAATTTTGGGGCTTAGGGTTTCAACCTACATGGACTCCAATGGTAAGACCAGCAAATTACAAGGACTAAAGTAATCTCGAGCTCTTCCCATTCACTCTGATTGTGTAATCTATTTCAAGATTAAGATGTCTCTTGGTAATTTGCTTTGCTGTTTTATTGTGCTTGTTTTATGTTTTCACAACTCCAATTCAAAGACTGTCAAATGCCTCATCCCAAAATAGTTGCAATTCAGTCCCTTCATTTGGGTATGAAAAGCTTCAACTTCAACATTGGGTTCGCTAGCTCTAAACAAGAACAATTTTGAAAAACACCCAGTATTTGCACCATTGAATCTGAAAACTTGAAAAAAGAAAGACCCAAAAGCTGGAAATAGGTTGCAATGGCATGGAAAAATTCAGAATGTAATCCAACCATGTGCCCATAAGACCAATCAAAATGAAAAGATCAGACGGGCGAGTAGCTGGATATTCTAGTAAACTAGAATTCCATCAATATTGCAAACGAAGAAATTGCCTCAAAACATCGAAAGATTTGGGACAGAGTGCGTTTGCTTAACCCTAGCTAAATAATATTCTATTTTGCAAAACCTATCATACACAAAAACCAAAAGGGGACCAGAAATTAGAGGAAAAGGATGTGCCGGTAGTAAAAGGGCCTGAAGGATCAGGAGGAGGTCAAATTCAGGCGAGTGCTACCGACGAATTGAATTTTGCAAGATTTGTAATTCATTTGGCTGGGTCGTTTGAATCAACACCCAGTCAAGAAGCTGAACTTGCTTAGAAAAAAGATAAATTTCAAAAACAAAAACAGAAGAGTTACAGTCGGGATGGGAAGCGCCAGGAAGAAGAAGAAGCCGCACAGCCGGCGGTACCCTCAGATGATTGAGATGCCATTCATTCTCGTATTTATATAGAAAATTAGCAAACTAGGGTTTTGTGTGGTGCCCGGTAACTTTTTTATCTTTATTTTATATAAATCGTATAGCCGATCGGCTATACTATTTAAAATGCTTAAACTGTGTAGCCGACCGGCTATACTATTTTGTTTTTTTTTAAACCACAGTATAGACGCGCGACAATACTGTCTTTATTAATAAATAAATAAGTCACTAGTATAGCCGCGCGGCTATACTATTCATAAATATATAAAAAACAGGTATCCGTTAGCGATTAGGTGCCATGTGTCAAAATAGGTATAGCCGCGCGGCTATACTATTGACCAAAAAACAAAAAGGGGCCCGCTTGTCACAAACAGTATAGCCGAACGGCTATACTATTTTTTTTTAAAAACCATGGTATAGCCGTTCGGCTAGACTCTTTAAATATATAAATCAGGCTCTATATAATATTTTAATATAACTTATATAATACTTCAGCCTCTATATAATATGTTAAAGAGTATTCACGTATTAATAAATAGTTCAGCCTATATATAATATTTTAATTTAACTTATTTAATTTATTTAATATATGTTATTTTTATTCAATAATATGTGAAAATTATGTGTATAATACGATGAATTTTGTATCTATTATTGAAAATTTTGTATTTCTATTATGTCAATTGTTCATCCAATGTGCTTGCCAATTGGGTGAAGAGATTATTTTTCCAATTCTTATGGGGCGAGAAGAGATGGAGAGGTCTTTTTCTAACTCTAATCTGAACCGTAGATTGTAATTTGTACCCTATTAAACTTTTTGAGCTTTACTAGGTATCAGCTGCTGAAGAATTTTACATTGATCATTAAATTCTGAATCGAAAATTCTTTTAAGTTCTTTATCGATGATGATGATGATGATGACGATTCAGGAAGCAGAAGAATTCAGATGGCAAAAGAAGGGCACCTTACTCGTCACTCACTACTACCCTCTTCTGTCCCCGTTTCGTCAATGGCTACTGGAGAAGATACGAGGATCACATCCTTCGAGCACAAGATTCATCACTATTGACAATGCCGATTATCATGATCATGATAAATTCTCTTCAAGCCATCAACCACAAGCAGCTAGGGAAAAATGAATTCAGTGGTTCGAATGTCAAGTTTGCACCCATCCAAAAGATACAATTTCCATTGCTTTCACAAGTATTTCCAATTCAGCAGTCTCATAGCCGGAGCAATCATCCTCACACCCCATTGGCTATCTCATTTTCCTTTTTTTGCATGTAAAACTATTAAAATGATTTTAATGTATTACGATGGTCAGATTTCAAACAGAAGCCAAAATATGGGCATATAGCAGGCAAGGTATATGTGCTTGAAGGGCTCTAGTCACTTCATACAGAAGAAACCAAAATTCCAAAAGTCTGCATTTTTAAGCCAAAGCTCCAAATGTGAAGCACCTATCACGATCCTCTCATGGTATTCCTACTCCTCAAGGTAAGTATCCCTTATTCTTTCCAGCATGCTGTTTAGCAAGTATGCTACAGAACAGTATGTGGCACAACAGCATGCTGGAAAAGTGATCGGAGACATCTTTCGATATCTTCAATACCCAGAGGTTCTAAGAAATCATCAGAATAGAAGAAAGCATCTCAAGTGCAAAAACATGGGTTGGACCAAACCAACCGCATGTTATGGCACACATCTCTATAGTGTGCAAATCAGAAGAGTTAATAGGAATAAGAAGCTCCAAAAGATTGAGATCAACTCAGGCTTTGAGCACAAACCAATCTGTTAGTTTCTTACGCCAACTAATCTCAAGTTCACAATAGTCATTATGATTCATTACTAATTTACTACCACCAGCTCACAAAACAAACCCACCCATGAAAATGAATACTGAGCTATCATTCGAGTGTATCAAACTTTCCATCATTCTTACTCTAACTAATAACTGTTAAAAGTAAAACTCAAAATTCCAAACCTCCTTTGTTCAATTCTTGCATCATTTTCACTTTATGCTACATTCCATAAAATTCCACAATTTTCAGTGGTAACTAACACTCTTCACTCACATAAACTAAAACATGACGGTTGCTACAAAACAGAAGATCCACATTCAAGCTCCATACAAATCAAAATCTACAGTTTATTTCCTCAAGATACTCCTACTTCAGAAACACTACAAGCATTTTTTTATGTCCCCCATTCTAGAAAACCCCAAATCTGGAACTCAATTCTTTTCTTCATTTCTCCTACATTTTGTCAATTGTCACCAATAAAACCAACACAGAAAAAAACATGCAGATTGCAGCAGACATCACAATAAACAATTCAACATTCCAACATAATCAAATCATGAAATTGAGCAACAATTCTCTTAATTCTTACACAGAATCGAAAACATTTCATCACAACATAAAAAACTGGTTCCAAATTCCACCAGAGCCAGACAATCGCATTATTATATCCAAAAGCAGAATAAAGCCCGAGTATTTCAAGACCCTAATCTTATGGGATGTCCCAGGGTTTGGGCTCGGGAACAGCGACGACCATACCTTGAAGCTCAGGAGTGAGGACGACCTGGCATCCGAGCCTGGAGTGCTTGTTGAGAACCCTAGCCCTAGAGTTCCTCTTGAGCACGTACTCTTCGTCGTAGGACCGTGGCGGGAGCTTTTCGAACCATTCCTGCGCGATATTGACCTCGCATTCGGCCGAGCAGGCGTCGATATCCTCGAGCCGGTGGGAGGCCGGGTCGATCAGGCCACCTTGGGCTAGGGCCCGGAGCAGAGTGTGGCCCGATAGGCCCACCACCTCGCGCTTGCGCCCGTCGACGTCGATCGCGAAGAGCTTCACAATTCGATCGGAGACTTTGGCTGAGTGGGTGGGCGAGGATGGGGATGGGGATACAGAGGAGGCGGAGGATCTGGAGATGAAGGAGAGAGAAGGCAGGCGGTGGTGGATTTGGGAGTGACGAAGTCTCTGAAGGCTCGCCATCGCCATTTTGCTTGTTTCAGGTTTGGGGACGCTTTTGGCTGTCGACTGTGATGACCTGTTTGGTTGGAAAGAAAAATGCTTTATTGTAAAAACTAAAAAAAAAAGAAGGGAAAAATAGAAACTCCAACAAGAAAATAGAAAAACAGAAAAATTAAGCATGTTTTAATTCCTAATACCAAATATTTTTTTAATTAAAAAAATTAGAAATAACTGCTTTTTATGTAATCCAGTGGACTTTTTTCTTGTTTAATTCAGGAAGAAACAACGAGAGTTAGAATTTTTATTGCAAATGCAAGATTAAGTGTTTTACCATTGAAGTTACGAGTCACCAATTCAAAATCGACAATTTACTCACTAATAGTAACAATTGTCAAAATTTAACATTAATATAGTTGTTTGGAAGAAAAAGAGAAAATTAATAAACTAGACAGTGCATTGGAACTATTTAAACAGAATGTTTCTGAGTTAATTTGGATTTTGATGGAGTATCATTACTGAGTGAAAGCATGAATTTTCTGTAGCTCATGCATTGTATAAGAAGCAGGGACAGAATCACAAGTTTCATGTGGAACTCAACTTGAAAAGGCAAGTAAGAGAACCTCTGTGGAAGCAACGAATCAGATGCATTGGCTAAGAATCAAGGCAAAGCATAAGTCTTTCCCTTTCACATTAAACTACATCAACAAGTTAATTGTTCCAATTGTATTAATGAAACCCTGCCGTGTTAGTCAGCAGAAAGTCTCTAGATTTGATTTGAGAAGCCACTTTTTCCCATGCACAGGCAGTCAAAATGCAACATCAGCAGCAACACAGAGCACAGAGCAGGCAATCAACTATCAATGGTGAAATTGTCATTGTACAGAGTCATAAACAGCCAGGGTCTGGAAAATCAGCTTCTCTTCGATTATATAGTTGCGCAGAAGTCGATCCAAGTAAGTTCCAACATTTCATGAATAATTAATGAAATTAATGAGATTTGAGCAAACCCAAATCTTGTTTTTTGTTTGATATTGTATCCAGCAGAAACTGGCAAAGGCAAAATGAGCAGCCAAGCAAACCTCAAATGTAGAAAGACCAAAACAAGTAATGGTGAAAAAACCAGAACATATCATGTCAAGTTTTATGTTGAATCAAGCTTTGGAATTCCAGGAGCTTTCGTTATAAGAAACCCAGGGAAGCATAGATTCTTCCTCCAATCTGCATCTTTTGAAACTCACAGCAATCAGATTATCCAATTTGACTGCCACTCCTGGGTCTACCCGTCCCAGAAGACCAAAAACTTTGATCGAATCTTCTTCTCAAATACTGTAAGTTGCAGAGTGAACTTGCCTGATTTATTTTATACAAGCATTTGCAAATGCAATTAAGCAACTCAGCTGATCATGTTGTCATAGAAATATCTTCCAAATCAAACACCCCAAGGACTAATGAAACTGAGGAATAAAGAGCTTATTAGCTTGAGAGGAGATGGAAGTGGGGAGAGGAAAGAAGGGGATCGAATTTACGACTACGACTACTACAATGATCTTGGGAATCCTGACAAAGGTCCAGAACATGTGAGACCTGTCTTGGGTGGGTCTGAATTGCATCCATATCCTCGCAGAGGAAGAACAGGCCGCCCTCCTAGCAATGCAGGTATATACAACTTCTCATTTTTCTCATTTCATTTCTGCTGTGACAACAAATTGTACTGGCAACCTGGATTGAATAGTTTTTCCTTTCCAATACAATTTACAAGTTCTACACTTACCTGGCTTTCCCAACATGATCAATGCTAGATCCTTTAACCGAGAGCCGGCCATGTACCACTAACCTGGACATATATGTTCCTCTGGATGAGAGGTTCAGCCCCAAGAAACAATCTGAGTTCACATCAAATTCAATCCAGGCTGCTCTATGGTTCCTGATCCGTGAGGTAAAATTTGTGATGCAAAAAGATTCCAATCATTTTGAGTCATTTGATGAGATACATGACATGTTTTCTGACGACCAAAATCAAGTAACTGAGGGGTCACTCGAAGAGAAGCTGAAAGCTATGGTACCAAATGACCTTTTCAAAGATATTGCTCATGCAATCAAAACCCCATTGAAATTTCCAGTTCCTCAAATGATAGCAGGTGACAGAGTTGACTATCAGACTTCTGCAGCTTACATGATGGATAGCGCTTTATTTCTCTTTTACATTATTGTTTTCCACTTTCCAGAAAATGAATTTGCATGGAAGGATGATGAAGAGTTTGGGCGCCAAATGCTTGCAGGAATTAATCCAGCACGAATACGATCCTTGGAGGTATGTCCTACCGTTTTGAGCTGGATGCCTGAGCAGGCGCAGGGCAGTTAGGGCATTGTTATCACTCTGTAGTGTATCCCAGAGTGATTAACAACAAAACTGTTGTAACTATCTTAAGATCTTAGTTGTACCTTGAGTTAATTGCAGGTATTTCCACCACAAAGCAAAAATGGAATGGTGAGTTCGATAGAGCCATCACACATAGAGCACAACCTTGAAGGGATGACTCTTGCTCAGGTAAAAGAAAAATAGCAATGCACCAGCTGGTGATACTCTATGATCATCCTGCCTCCCAACAACATTGTATTTCTTGGAAAAAAATTTCATCCATTCTGATTGGCAATAAATTTCACAGGCAATGAATAATTGGAGGATATTCATCTTAGATCACCATGACTATCTCATACCCTTCTTAAGAAAAATCAACACAAAGGATGTATGTACTTACGCGTCCCGTACACTACTGTTCTTGAAGAGTGATGCCACACTAAAGCCAATAGCAATAGAACTTAGTTTTCCGGGATTAGCGGAAGGCCAAGAGATCAGTTGGGTATTTACTCCAGCAAGACAGGGCGAAGCAGCGGCACTGTGGCACTATGCCAAGGCTCATGTTGCAGTTAATGACACTGTGTATCATCAACTAGTCAGCCATTGGTGAGTTGAACAGTTCGATGAACCCAAAACAATGCAAGTTATCATTGTTCATTGCATTTCCTACTACCACAACACTTGCCTTGCAATGCATTTTTTAGGTTGCATACACATGCGGTGGTTGAACCGTTCATCATTGCTACGAGAAGGCAGCTAAGTGGGATGCACCCAATCCATTGGCTACTAGATCCTCATTTCAAGGACACCATGCACATAAATGCGCTGGCTCGTAGTATGCTCATTAACTCTGGAGGAATCCTGGAGAAGACATTGTTTTCTGCTGAACTCTCCATGGAATTATCTGCTGAGCTCTACAAAGAGTGGAGATTTGATGAGCAAGCCCTTCCTGCTGATCTACTTAAAAGGTATTTTATATTCCATCGTAACCCAATATTTTATTTTCACTAAGCAATATTGTTAGTTCTCTGGATGTTTTACAATAGAAATGGGGCATAATTGGGAAAAACCACAACAGGGACTTTTACCAAATTCTCATATTCTGATTTTCAGAGGTATGGCCATAGAAGACCCAGATCCAGATAACCCCACAGGGGTTCAGCTCCTCTTCCAGGACTATCCGTATGGCTCAGATGGACTTGAGATATGGAGCGCCATCCAGGCATGGGTTACAGATTTTTGCATGCTCTTCTACACAGATGACGAGTCTGTAAGATCTGATGAAGAAATCCAAGCATGGTGGTCGGAAATCCGAAATGTGGGTCATGGTGATAAGAGCAGTGAAACATGGTGGTACGACATGACATCACAAGAGGACCTAATCAAAGCTTTGACGACTCTTATATGGATTGCATCAGCCCTTCATGCTTCAGTAAACTTTGGGCAATATGCATATGCTGGCTATCCCCTAAATCGTCCCACACTGTGCCGAAAGTTCATTCCTGAGGAAGGAACATTTGAATATGCGGAGTTCCTGAAGGATCCAGACAAATACTACCTTAACATGTTGCCTGAAAGAATTGAGATGACCTTGGGTATAGCACTAGCAGAGGCCGTCTCAAGACACACTTCGGATGAAGTGTACTTGGGTCAGAGGTCATCGTCGTTGTGGATAAATAATGAAGAGGTTAGCCATAAGTTTGAAAAGTTCAATCAAGAACTTCGAAATATAGAGAAAAGAATTAAGGAAAAGAATACCAATCCCGAGCTTAACAACAGAAGGGGCCGTGCTGAGATTCCGTACATGCTTTTGTACCCTGATACATCCAATGTTGAATCCAGAGGGGGCATCACAGGGAAGGGGATTCCTAACAGCATATCCATTTGACATATTTGAAGCAGTGGAAAAGATATGCAACTTTACAAGCATGTGAGGCATGACATAAATGTATTTTAAATAGTATGAGAGCCTGTAAATATGTTTCGGACATTTCTCAATTGCATATATGGCTAGATAAGGCAAAACAAGAATACATGATGGAAGATGATGGAAGCAACAACATATGGAGTGCAGAAAAATACAACTCATATGCAGGAACAATACAATTCATACCAACACTAAGAAACCAAGGTGCTCAGAGGCATGACCTTCGACCTTAGGCTTTCTGGAGTGCCCATGGGTACATTGTGAATTTATGACTAATATAGCCCATGAAATCATCAATAAAATCGATGTATTAATGTTGATTAGCACTGATTGTTTTATCATCAACATCGGCCATGAACAGCAAACGGTGCAGAATTAACCTTCTCAGGATTGCCTATCACCATATCCGCAAGCATTTCAGCAGTCCCTAGAGCCTGAAATTGGACCAAAATCATGGTTGATTCTTCCTTTACTTGACATACAAGTAACTATTAACAATTTATTATTCACTGTCCACTGACGTTTAGCCCAGCAATAGCATGCACAAATTTTGTAAGAAGCAAGAACTTGGGGAAAATCACTATATAATCAGAAGAGTAACAACATATGAGTACTACCATAGAAAGTCCTCCCCCTTCATGCCCAGTTGCGAGGAACACGTTTGCCAAACCTGGCACAGGTCCAATCACTGGCTTCCCATCAGGCACTGAGAGGGTACAGATTATGTCATTCATCAATTTCACACGAAATTAATAGACTTTTTAGTACTAGCATACATTTGAAATCCTTAGAATATGATGACCCAGATGTTGTTCACTTCCATTAGGTTCTGAAAGATATCAAAACTTACTGTAAGGTCGTAATCCTACTCTCACTTCTCTGCTCTTACTGAAATCTGATAGGGACTTTTCTCTTAATTTGGGAAAGAATTCCCCAGCTCGGTCCCATATACGACTAATGATGGATTCTTCCAATTCCGAGCAGAACCCAGCAAATTGGCGGCTGCTCCCTAGAGAGAGAGAGAGAGAAGAGGGAGGGGAGGGGGGGATGCCATAGAACAATATGATCATGCATAATTCTGAAGAGAGAGATCTCAAAAAATTAGTACTGTAAGTTTGGTTAGGAAACATTTCCAGGTCACTTTAGATACATTTATTAGTTAGTGTTGAACCACGATCCAGAATAAGCCTGAGATCTTTAGACTCATAGCTAACTGCAAGTTATAATTACAAAATTTCAAGTCTTTTCAAGAAAAGAAACAGTCATCTACGCTTTACCAAGAACAATATTCCCCGCTGTGTCCATAGTGGCTGTCATTGAAACAGACAAGGTTTGTCCATCATGATCAAGCAATCCAGAAGTTGATATGTTTGGAAGTGGAATTGCAGTTTGATGATCAACATATCCCACCTCCATCAGGCCATGATTGAGTTGAAAGGAATTAAAATTCTCAAGCACTAGAAGGTGACCCTGTCATGCAGATCAAATATTAGGAGGGTCTTAAAACAAAAGTTAGAGAAATTAAACCACCTTGTTCGGAAGGTTGGATAACATAAAACATGAATCATATGATGACTCTACTTCAGTTAATCAAAGCAAAAATCAGTGAAAGTAAAGCATCAGTTTAAGAAATGCAAGAGAAGTCTGTTCAAATTGTAGATTTAAACCTTTCGTGGTTTCACAGGGACATCCAGTACAACTTCTGATTCTCTAAGCAGGTCACACATCAAAGAGCCACTCCAACAACCAGCTGCAACTACAATGGCCTTCTTAGCGTACAAGATATTCCTAGAAGTCTTAATAGCCTCAACCTCCCCACTGCCACCAGATCTGAGAACATGAAGATTATAAGAGTATTAGCTTAACAATCTAGCCCACCTCTAAAATCCTGCATTCCTGTCCCTTGGTCTCTCAGTGAAACATCCAGCGCACCCAAAAGAGTATGATAGCAAACCTTAATAAACTTTTCACCGGATCATTATAAAACTCAGCATATCTACCCTTTGATGAATAACGCTTGTTACCCTACACTAAAAAAGTTCAATATCATTAATACACTAATATGATAGCGTCACTAAATTTGTTCAGTGTCATGCACAGTAACTTGCTAGAAAAGAATAAGGATCAGGCTCATTTTTGAACAAATGAAACACTGACGCATCATTTGATGAAAAACTTGGTGACCCTAGCAAGAACAGCAAACATAAAGCTAAATAGCTTTTTTTTCTTAAACGAGAAAAAAGAACCTTTTCAAGGAATTCAACTGCACGACGAGCATCCAATTGACAATCATCGGGCAGAAAGGCAGCTCCAGTATCTTTATCAACCATCAGTTCGGGTTCCTTTACAAGCAAGTCAATGGCAGACAAGTACTCTGCTCTTAACCCAGCTTCACATAGCAGCCTTACCCTTCCTTTTAACATGTCTGACTCCTCAGGGGTTCTACCAACAAGCAAGCTCCCTACAAAATCAGAGTAACACTTCAAAAACAATAAAACTAGAATCACCAAATTTGCTACTAAAAATTAACATAAAACATAAAAAGAATCAAAATCGAAAATTTTCAATAAATTTTAGGCAGTGTTGAAAATACCTGTTTTCTTCCAACCCAATAGTTGCAGAGGGTCCAAGCCTTGCTCACTCAAACTCTCAGTCAAGTCCTCCCAGAGTCTCTGGCTTCTGAGTCCGAAGTCCCAAAGGTCACTGCCAGGTGTTTTGTGTGCCATCCATATATAGCCTTGGCCTGAAAAAGGGTCAACATTTTCATCAGATTTGCTTTGACCCAGCATTTTCCAGGTGAGTGCTTTTTCCTGCACTTGAAGTTAATTGAATTTTCCCGCCTACCAAACACTCGATAAGGAGGAATTAATTACCAGCACCGGTGGCACCGGAGCAAGGGACAGACTTGTCAATTACGGCGACGGACAGGTCCGACCCGATTAGGAACTGCCGGGCTATCGTCAACCCGATTATTCCAGCTCCGATTATCAGCACATCGAATGTTTGATGGGAATGGGAAGCAGATATCGGTTCCGAATCGGAAGCGCAGGCGGGTTCGGGTCGGCCGGGTCGGGTTGTGGCGGTGTGCAACGAAAGCGATTTGGATGCGAATTTGGAGCCAAACAAGGTTGACTGGGAGGCGAAGCTGCATGACTTGAACTGGCATATTGCAGAGGAGACGACGTCGTTTGCTTGAGGGTTTGGGTGTGAGAGAAAGGTCGAAGCTGAAGCCATTGAAACTTTGCTGGCTTTCTCCAGGTATTATGGTACGAGGGAACAACTGTGAACTGTTACTGTGAGTGAGAGATTGAAATGTTTTCTATGAAAGGAAGCAGAGTATTCCCGCCAGACGACGCGTCGTTTCATTGGAAAAGTGAGTTGGTCCTTTTCTAGAAAGTCAACAGAAAACCGCCATTTAAAATGGACTCAAAATGTGTTTGGAATAGGAACGTGAGTTAGGGCACTGTTGCGGAAGTGAGTTAGGGCACTTAATCAGGGCTTATATCCGAGTTCGAATTCTCCTCTTTGTAATTTATAATATAATTTTGGTATAAAAGTTTGGATTGAAAAAAGGGTCAACCAAAACTCTTAACTTGAGATTCAAACAAAAATACCTTGTGATAATCATAAACAACAAAATCACACCACAGTCCATGTTAATCTTGCATCAATGCTGCTTGATAGCAACATATAAAGGCCAATTAACCAAGCATCGTTTAGAAAATGCGTTGTTTGATTTGATCGTAATCGAGACAAGTTGACACAAAGAATAATTACAAGAAGGAAGATGGATTTTCATGTCCACTATGACTGTTCCTCTCTTCTCATTGAGGCAACCACAATCTTTGTAACCTTGAGGTATGAAATGTTCAAATAGGCTTTTCCGATGGCAGCCACCAGGAGTTCCTCTTCCGTATCATCAAAATCGACCATGAACAGCAAACGGCGCAGAATCGACCTTTTGAGGATTGCCTAGCACCATATCCGCAAGCATTTCGGCGGTTCCTAGAGCCTGAAATCGAACCAAAAAGGATGGATAATCTTTCTTTACTTGACATACAAGTAATAACGGTTATAAGATTATCTGTAACAAGCAAGAAATATTGGGAAAAATATTTCTCAGTGTATAAATTTCTATATAATCAGCTGAATCACAATGTAATGAGTACTACCATAGTAAGTCCTTCCCCTTCATGCCCGGTTGCAAGGAACACGTTGGCCAAACCAGGCACAGGCCCGATCACTGGCTTCCCGTCAGGCACTGAGATAGTACAGGTTATATATCATTCATCAATTTCACAGGACATCACCAAATTTTTTTTTAGTTCTAGCATGAATTTGAAATCCTTAGAATATCCAACGATCCAGATTTTGTATATTTTCATTATGTTCTAAAAGATATCAGGACTTACCGTAAGGTCTTAATCCTACTCTCACTTCTCTGCTCGTACTGAAATCAGAGAGGGGCTTCTCTCTCAATTTGGGAAAGAACTCCCCCGCCCTCTCCCATATGCGGTTAACGATGGATTCTTCCACTTCAGTGCAGAAACCAGCAAACTGGCGGCTGCTCCCTGCAAAGCCATAACAAATAACTGCAAGTTATAATTACACAATTTCATGTTTTCTCAAGAAAGAAACGAGTCATCAAGGTAATGTTTTACCAAGAACAATGTTCCCCATTGTATCCATAGTGGCTGTCATTGATACAGACAAGGCTTGCCCATCATGATCATCAAGCAACCCGGAAGTTGATAAGCTTGGAAGCGGAACTGCAGTATGATGATGATCAATATATCCTGCCTCCATCAGACCATGATTGAGTTGAAAGGAATTAAAATTCTCCAGCACTAGAAGGTGACCCTGTCACACAGATCAAATGGCATATAAATGACACAAATTCAAAGCAACATAGATGACATTTATGCATCTGGAAAACCCAACTATGGTATTTTAACATCTATGCAAGAAGAAGTCTGTTTGAATTGTAGATTTAAACCTTTCGCGGTTTCACGGGGATGTCCAGGACAATTTCTGATTCTCTGAGCAGATCAGACATCAAAGAGCCACTCCAACAACCAGCTGCCACTACAATGGCCTTCTTGCTGTGCAAGATATTCCTAGAAGTCTTAATAGCCTTAAACTCCCCACTGCCACCAGACCTGAGCACACACATAAAGAGTTACAATAGTATTAGCTTAACAATCTAGCCCAGCGCACCCAAAAAAGTTCGATAGCAAACCTTAACAAACTTATCACTGGATCATTATAAAACTCTGCATATCTACCCTTTGATGAATAATGCCTGTTGCCCTACAAAAGTGGGAATGATTTATAGACCGATAACGATAAGGTCACTAAATTTGTTCATATAGCTAAATAGTTTTGGTTTTCTTTTATTAAAAACAAATGAACCTTTTCAAGAAATTCAGCAGCGCGACGGGCATTCAGTTGGCTATCATCAGGTAGAAAGGCAGCCCCAGTATCTTTATCAACCATGAGTTCAGGTTCCTTCACATGCAAGTCACTGGCAGACAAGTACTCTGCTCTTAACCCAGCTTCACATTGCTGCTTTACCATCCTTTTTAACTTGTCAGGACTCCTCCGGGGTTCTACCAACTAGCAAGCTTCCTATAAAACCAAACCAACACTATCAAAAAAAAAAAACTAATAAAGTCAAAAACAACAAAAATAATGCGTTAGTACACTCGTTAACAATAAGCGAAGTTAAAAGTCGGTCCGCATTTGAATAAATGAAACACTGTCACATAATTTTGCGAATTAATTTGATGTGAAAATACTTTTCATAAATGTTTTAGTACCTGTTTTTTTCCAACCCAATAATTGTAAAGGGTCCAAGCCTTGATCTTTCAAACTCTCAGCCAATTCCTCCCAGAGCTTCTGGCTTCTCAGAGCCAGCTCCCAACCCTCGCTGCCAACTGTTTTGGATGCCATCCATATATAGCCTTGGCCTAAAAACAAGGTCCACATTTTCATCAATTTTTCACTTGACCCAACATTTTTTCAGATGAATGCCTTTTTCATGCATTTAATTAAATTTAATATTCACGCCTGCCAAACAATCAGTAAGGAGCTAAACGTTATGCTTACCAGCTCCGGTGGCACCGGAGCAAGGGACAGCCTTGTCGATTACGGCGACGGATAGGTCCGACCCGATCAGGAACTGCCGGGCTATGCTCAACCCGATTATTCCAGCTCCAATTACCAGAACATCAAATGTTTGGTCGGAATGGGATGCAGGTGCCAGTTCAGAATCGGAAGCCATTGAAACTTCGTTGACTTTCTTCTGTTGATCTGAGTTCAAGCTACAGCTCTGTGAATGAGACTTTTTGAATTCGAACGTTGACTTGAAGCAGAGTGTTCCCTTGAAACGACGTCGTTTTATTTGAAACAGCCGGTGGCGGATCCTTTTATAGAAGCACCAGTCTATATATTAAACTCTGAATCAATGTTACTTATTTAAAGTAATATTTGTTTGTATCAACAAAAAAAAAGGTAATATTTTGTTTTTAGAGGCCTAGAGCAACTCAAAGGGGTAACGTATGCCTTACCACGTCGCCATTCTAGGTAAGGACGGATGAAGTTGGAAACGAGATAAAATGGCCACACTCCCCTCAACCGAGGCAAACATACTTTGCCCCTGCCCCTTGGAGATGCTCTAAGGAACATGTAGAAAGCATACATACGTAGATAATGAGTCCGCTCCACTTGCACTCAAGTTCAAATTCCCCTTGTATAAAATAAAAAAACGAGAAGAAGAAATATACCCGTAACGAAATTGAAGAGAGTTTACCAATTAGAACTTTGTAGTAATATGCATGGTTGCATGGTTATGCATCATAAGCCTTTTTTTGGTTTAAGAGTACATAATCCTGTCTCTTTTTCATTCTACCATATAAAAATTAACCAAAAAATACAAGTGTCTTTGCCAAAACGTGAGATTACCCTCAAAATATAGAGGGCAACGCCATAAAGTCTCTATTTTGGGATGGTAAGCAACAATTCTCTGCCGTACACCGATGAGTTAGAGCAAAACTGATCTCATTTCTAAGACATGGACTTTTACATATTATTACAAGTTGTCAAAATTAATCGTTGAGTCGCTAGACCAATAGATTTCTTTGCAGTTTGCTGCTAAATTAGCTTCCACAAGGCAGTCTGGGTCTTCTAAGGCTCTGTCTAAGGACTCTGCTAAATTTGCTTCCCATAAACCCAACCTGCAGACTCTCTTGTAAGCCTCATAACTCGATGCTCTTAGGCCCTCCGAAACCATCTCCCTTAAAGATCCACAAATCTCTTCACCACTCACGAAATCCAGAAAAGTTTCGGATAAACCAGGTCGCCAGAACACAACAATAGCACAGCTCTTGTCCACTAACCGAACATCAAATTCTTCTGAGAAAACTTCATGTGACTTGTGCAACAAGCTCTTGAGCATCCCCGCAGTCATGCCACTTCTAAATCCCCATAAGAATACCAAATGATGGCAGCTGACTTTTTTCATATTCTTTGTCCAGATTCTGATATCATCATTGATTGATTCTTGGGGGCTGTCAGGGTACGGATTGGATATGTTTGTATACTCTTCAGGGGCTGGAGCCAACAGTGCATTGTTAGATGTCATAGCATTGTCTGGAATTTTCAGAATGGAGCAGAGCTTTGCAAACAGATAACACATCTTCACCACATTATGCCTATGAACTGTGCCTTCTTCATTTTCTGTAATGGACAACCCCAAACATTGTATACATAATAAAAGTGAGGCTTGCTCTGAAGTAAAAGATCATGGCATGATGAAGAGAAATCTCACAAAAAATGAGGTTATTTTATTGAAAACTAGTCAAGCAATCTGCCAAAAAAAATTTTGTTTGTTTGTTTTGTTCTTTTGTTCTTTTGATTTTTGATTTTTGTGTTTTCCCCCCTCCCATATCAAACCTGCCGCAAGAACACCCAGAGGTAAAACCCACAAGAGCAACAAACATGTAGCATTACTGTACTCTCTCTAGAGTGTCTGTGCGTTACATGAAAACTAGGAGAAATGACTACCTTGGGGCAAGTTTTCCATATCAATGGGTGCAAAGTAATGATTATTCAGGTAGGAAATAGCTGCATGTATATTGGTCACCTTCCTCAGAGGGCCAATATTCTTCATCATATGGTTGACATCAAGTAAGTGAGGGAAAACCAAGTGCAAGGAGTCCATGAACTCGTCTACATTAGTCGGCAGGGGGGAGAGAAACTTTGAATGAATAAACGTGAAATCTGCATAAAACAAAATTAAATTATAAGTTAAGAAACTAAGAAAGAACAGAGGCCAAGTCAGGGGTATTAAAGCTCATAGATATTTATTAAATAGAGATACACCATTAAGGGAATTGTGGGAGACAACAGGTTTCTGTGAAGCAGAAATCAAATCGATCACCTCTCGAAATCCCCGAACTCTCTGGTTTTGTTCCTCTTCAAGGTTTTGAAGTTCTCTCTGTAAACATTCAAACCAAATGTTGATTATACTATGCTTGATGATGCAAAACACTAAGAATTGAAAATCTCCTCTACCTCAAACGAGTCCTTGTCCTCCTTAGAACTTGTAAGAACGACACGAACAGCCTGAGTTCCTCCACCCTTTGCTGGGATTATTAAAGGAACAAGTTCATCAGAGAACTCCCTCAACATCTGCAACCAATGACATCAAACATTAAACCAAACAAAACTCTGATTAAGCATATCAGCACCAGAAGACAGGGCTTCAGCCAAAGTATCCGAAAAATCAGATCAACCAACCTCCAATGCAAGCTGTATTTGACGTTCACTGCAAACATCTATATTCATGCATGGCCTTGATCCATAAAGTTCACTCCCCAAGACAAGTTTTTGTAAGGAACTAAGCAGAGCATCTGCAAAATGAAAAATAATACACTTTTTAACAAAATAGATAACAAAATCGAAGGAAAGATAATGGATGTAAATACAATCTATTGCATTTTCAGTCCTAACCATCTTTCTTTGAACTCCTACACGCATTCTTCCAATGCTTGACTCGTGATTTAATTCTTTCAAGAAAAACTGTATCAGCAACGGTATGGGTCGAAGAAGAGTTCATTATATAGGTGCTGGGGCTTGGATTCCCTATCCGCACTTTAGCTGCAGATTCTTGTGCTCTGGACAAGTATGATATACCTGTCTCAAAAGACAAAGAGACAAAAAATCTCAAAACCTCATAAAAGTTACAGACTTGCAAAATCTCAAATTGTACACAACAAGAAAATCAGTCCTTATTTTTTTGTCTCACTTTTCCCCAATACATCATATGTTCTTAACTTTCATATTTCTTCTTATTTTCCTAAAAATATTGACTTGGGTATTATCATATATCATAAACTTGGTGATTAGGAAGTGAAATGATAAATCATTAGGGCAGGCTTACCATTATATATGCAGGCATTAAAATCAAAACCTTCTTGAGCCATGGAAGTCAAATGTGATGTTTGAACTGAAAAGCTATAAGATGGCATCCCCAGCTTCAATTCATCTCTTGGGAACAGTACAAAGTTGTATCTGCATCAAAATCAACAAACCCGCATTACCAATCTCATTCTCTACATGTAATATGTACGTATTTATGCACATATGTATAGTATAAGTGTACGGACGGGTGAGGAGTGAGCTTGGAGGCTCTGAGAGTGAAGGGGCAGGCGGCGAACTGAAGAAGCTGGAACCTTTCTGCGGCGTACTTAGCCTTGCAATACGACGTGTCGGCGGTGTCGAAGGGTTGGGGACGGTGCCATGCCGCAGAAAACGACCCCGTTTTCTGCAGCGAGACGGCTACGAAGTCCGAGCCCGAGAGGTGGTCCTTGAACTCCTCCAGGGACTCCTTGAAATTCAACTTTGTCACTTCCTTCACCGCCCATTTCTTTGGGACATTGGTGCTGGTGCTGAGAAAACGTCGCCGTATCAGTGGAGGCAGAGTCGCCATGGTTTGCCTCCGTCTTCGACACTGCCTGTTAAAAAATGCGTCTTTCAATTTTCTTTACCAGACGACGGGCTTACGACTTGTCGTTGCTTTCCTCCCTTTCGATTTTAGATTTATTTACTTATTTAAAATATAGCATTTGCATGCTATTGACAAAAATACTCTTCCCAAATCCGACATGTGGTCGCCAATTCCATGAAATTTTATGATCATTTTTGTCCAATTAGGTTACCACTTTGAGTTCAAATCATCTACTAATCTCATTAGCATTAATTTGTTGAGCATGTGTGTGAGGGCATTTCCTTCAACGAAAATGAGCTAAAATAGGATACATGCATACAAATGAACTCATGAACAATTTAAACAAAAAGTAATAGCATAATAAAACTATAGGGAGAAACATACAATTAAAAAAAAATATGGGACCATGTGAAATTTAGGTCTGGTTATGGCCTTTTTACTTCTAAGTTAAGGATAAATTCATAATTAGTGCAAACTCAATTCAATAATTTACAATTAATTTATACTCTAACAGAGAATGATGAATCTGTCAATCTAACGACTATAACCGTACTAAAAAAAATCTAATAATGTGAATCAATTTAAAATTTGGAGAATAAAGTAATATAGCGGTGATAATTAATGGGCATTATTGCTATAAGTGCAACCATATATAAGTGTTTATATTTTAGCACCCAATATATATATATATATATATATGTTATAGAATCTCCATTTACTTACGACATGTCGTTGCTTTCCACTTTAGCCCAAACATAACCAGTATTGGGCCCATAAAAACGAACGACATACATGAGGCGGCGGCCCAATAGTATAAATAGTATCAACGAAGGCACGTGACACGTGTTCGATGCAGATCGTGAACATCCCCCAATTGTAATCGATTAGGGCATCCGAGCTTTATATATGTAAAACCACTAAAACCAGACCGAACGAGCGACTGCGTTTCCAGCAAAGTCCGGTAGAGCTTCGATCGTCGTACAAGACTCGAGCTTCTCCGCCAAAAGCTCCATTGCAAGCCCTCATCGCCTTCATTTTCTCAGCTCAAGGTTAGGGTTTGTATTTCGTCGACCTTCATTTTGTTTCTTGTCCATTTCTGTTGAATCGTCTTGTTGTGTTGGTCATTTCCTGGTTGCATGGAATCTGTAGAGTCTTTTTGAGAGGTCAAGTAGCTATGTTTCGGTACCATCAAATATGAAATAACCCAAGAAGTTTTTTTTATTTGTTGATTTTCTTGGTTAATAAAGTAATAATCTTTATTGGAAAACATGGTACTATTATACGGTGGTATCTGGTACTGGTGTGTAATTCATGGAACAAACAGTATGATGTATGTTTTCTAGTTAAATTTATTGAGTTGCGTCTAGAAAATGCCTGTACGTCTGTATGTTGAAGAAGGGTTGGTTTCTCTGTTTGGACCTGTACCACGATTATGATATTCTATACATGTTCAATAGTTTGTGTATCATATTTATTTTGCATAATTTGGTATTGTAGATGTCCTGATTGAAGTTTGCTTTGCTTGTTATTGCAGTGTGGAGATTGTGAGGTGTCAAATTAACTGGGTTCTGAAGTGCAGTGAAGCTTTTTCTTGAGTACAAAATTTGTCATTTTATACAGTTCTTGGCACTGTTGATTTCTTGTAAACGTCATGAATGTCCAATCCAAGTTTCGCCTTATTTCGTACTCGCAAGAGTTGGTTGATGGACAACCGGTCTATGTTTCTTCAAACTGCCTTCCTATCAAGGCTTTGAAGCTTGAACCAGCTGGGCATTCTTTCCATGCTGTGGCACTTAAACTTCTTGGTTGTGTGGAGGAGGAAAAAGATGCTGATGTTCAGAAGGTGGTTAATGATAAGGAGCCGACTTCTATACCATCATTTGATTCGTACAGCAGCAAAGGTAAAAAAAAATCTGGTGCTGAAGGCAAACAACAAGATCACTATGCGTTGTTAGGTTTGAGTCATTTAAGATACCTTGCCACTGAGGAACAGATAAGAAAAAGCTATCGCGAGACTGCCTTGAAATACCATCCTGACAAACAGGCTGCTCTTCTTCTTAATGAGGAAACTGAAGCTGCTAAACAAACAAAGAAGGACGAGATAGAGAGCCACTTTAAGTCCATCCAAGAAGCGTACGAGGCATTAATTGATCCTGTGAAGAGAAGAATCTATGACTCCACTGATGAGTTTGATGATGAAATCCCCACTGATTGTGCCCCACAGGACTTCTTCAAGGTGTTTGGTCCTGCTTTTATGAGGAATGGGCGGTGGTCGGTTAACCAGCCAATCCCATTTTTAGGTGATGAGAATACTCCCCTGAAGGAAGTAGATAGTTTTTATGACTTTTGGTACACCTTCAAGAGCTGGAGAGAGTTCCCACATACCGATGAGTTTGATCTTGAGCAAGCTGAGTCTCGTGACCATAAGAGGTGGATGGAGAGGCAGAATGCAAAGCTTTCAGAAAAGGCTAGGAAGGAGGAGTATGCTAGAATACGTACTCTTGTTGACAATGCGTATAAAAGAGACCCAAGAATTGTGAGGAGAAAGGAAGCAGAGAAAGCTGAGAAGCAAAGGAAAAAGGAGGCCAAGTATCTTGCCAAGAAATTACAGGAGGAGGAAGCAGCCAGGGCTGTAGAAGAGGAGAAGCGACGGAAGGAGGAGGAGGAGAAACGAGCTGCAGAAATAGCTTTGCAGCAGAAGAAGTTGAAAGAGAAAGAGAAGAAACTGCTGCGCAAAGAGCGGAGTCGACTTAGAACACTTTCAGGGCCTGTTATTTCGAACCGTTTACTCAGTCTTGCCGAGGATGATGTGGAAAGTCTCTGTATGTCTCTTGATATTGAGCAGCTTAGGAATATATGTGAGAGGATGGAGGGCAAAGAGGGGCTGGAGCGAGCAGAAGTTCTTAGAGATGCATGTGGATATAAAAATGATTTGGAGGGTAAGAAAGAAGATGAGAAGAAAACTCTACAACAGAATGGTTCCGTGGAGACTAATGGTACTGTGCTGTTAGGCAGCTATGAGAAGAAGGAGAAACCTTGGAGCAGAGAAGAAATTGAGCTTTTGAGAAAAGGAATGCTAAAGTTTCCAAAAGGAACCTCTCGGAGGTGGGAGGTTGTTTCAGATTACATTGGTACTGGAAGATCTGTGGAAGAAATTCTGAAGGCAACCAAAACAGTCCTCCTCCAGAAACCTGATTCTAGCAAAGCTTTTGATTCTTTTCTTGAAAAGAGGAAGCCCACACCATCTATTGCTTCTCCACTTACAACGAGAATTGAAGTAGAAGGGGTATTGACTCCTCCTCAGGGCACTGAAACCCCTGCTGAAAAGGTAGATAAATCAGGAGAGTCGTCAAGCGGAAGCACAAAAGACCAAAATCCTAACGATCCAATTGCTGAAAATGGAGTATCGTCAGGTTCAGAGCAGGATGTATGGTCTGCTGTACAAGAAAGAGCACTGGTTCAGGCCCTGAAAACCTTTCCAAAGGAAGCCAGTCAGCGTTGGGAGCGAGTTGCTGCTGCTGTTCCTGGGAAGACTGTGAATCAATGCAAGAAAAAATTTACTTTGCTGAAGGAAAGCTTTAGAAACAAGAAGAGTTCTGCTTAATTTGCTGGGATTTTCTCAATTGTTGCAGGTGTTTGAGAAAATCTTTCTGGGCATCTCTTACATTTTTAATTCTTTCTAGGCGGAGATTGTGCAAGCTATTTTAGGTTTAGATTGAGAGCAGTTGTTGCTCCGGTCTCTGCCATCTTGATTTTGGTGTAGAGCCAATACAGATCTTTAGCTATTTTGGAAGAGGGATTATATTTTGTATTGTTTTTTCAGACCATGTTTTATTTCAGTGTCGGGGGTTCACTGCACTGAGAGATCTGTGAAAGGTCAGCAGCTGCATGAAAATAGGAAGAGATAATGATTAAGGTTGAGAATAGTTTATGTTTTGCTGTAGCGATCGGTTAAATCTCTTTATTAGACACAATTTGATTCTACTGATAACCAAATTTATATATTTACTTCATTCCAAGCTTGTTAATTGTCTCATGTGGTTGGTAGGAGGATTCTCCTTATGAAATTTTTCTTCAACTATCATCATGGGTCTCTATTTGGTTAGTTGGTCTTATGGATTCTACAGTAGAAGACAAGGAAAAAGAGATACAATCGATGGTTGAAGATTATGCATCGTACTTTTTAGAACGCAAGAATAAAATAGAGCGATTATCAAGTCTTTTGGTATTTGTTTATATATCTCTCGGGTAATTTTATTTTAAGGTTGGCGAGTCAGATATAATGTTTTGAAGTTGATGCAAATGTGGTCGAGCGTTTTTTATGCTGCTGAAAGAACACCAAAAACTGTAAAGAAAAGGAATAGATATTTCCATAATCTTCTTGTTAAATAACATTCTTGACAAACCCTTCATACTACTAATAGATTAGGCCACGCAGATGTGCTTTACATGAACAACTGATTAATTAAAATATTTCCAAGATGGCTAATGAAATAGGGCTAAATCTGCTTTTTACAGTGAATAACTTCAGAAAACCTAGCGTTGTCCAGCTTATATTGCTTCCTCAAGCCGCGCACGTATTGAATCCGGATTTGACATTTTATTAATGCTGCAAGAAGAGAGATGAGATGACATCAAACAATTTGATTGAGTTTCTATCTATTTAATAGAAGGCAATATACGTCTCCAAAACACAGAATTCTGTTTTGCACTGTAGATAAAACTCACTAGATCAAAAGCAAATCTCCTCCAGGTGCTAACTTCTTTTCAGAAATCCATTCTGGAACCAGCTTTAGCAACAAGGTAATCTGCTCTTCAACTTCCTCTGTAAAAAGAACAATAAAAGGGTTAGGTTAACCAAGACCTTTCGCAAATCGTAATAGGAAATTATTTACTTTTATACAATGGCTTACTTCTGTCAACAAAATCACAGTTTATCCAAATTATTTTGTGTACAAGCTCCTCTTTTGTGATAGCAGAAGAGCTCATTGACTGAAATAGGAGATGAATCGTGTTGAAGAGCTTAGGCAGGCTGGAAATCATCTGTCGCTGCCTCTTTGCTTGTGAGACGTCAGGATTTTGCTCCTCTATTTCCTTCCTCTCCTCATCTTCAAGCTGCAAAAGATAAAATGGATACTCATCAGAAATGAAGTCATTATGTTTAAAATCAAGTAGATCAGATGTAAAGACATATGGAATAAGCAAACCTTAAACATTGATACTGAGCTTGATTTTCAACTATAATTTAACATGATTCCAAAAACTTACATAACTAATAGAGCTCAACCAAATACATCGTTGAACAGATCATACGGTTATCCAAACTAAGACACAGAACGAGATTTACACTATATTTCATGTGCCATACTTTCACAAAACCACGTTGTGGGCTTGATGCAGAAAAAGTAATTTACACTACATAATTTAAGCCGAGGCCAGTTTAAGCAAGCTTTCTGGCAATGGGCATATTTTTCCCAGCATATGATGCCATAATTTTTTGGTCTGACAGCTTTCGTAGGGTCATGCAGGTGGATTAAAGTAGGATAGAGTTAGTAAGCTCCAACAGCTTTCATAGAAATATAGACAAAAGACATGACATACCGATTGCAAAAGATCCTCTGGAAGAATATCAGAAAAGCCATTATCAAATGATGCACCGTCCATATCAAGTGCTTCATCCTTGACCTTTTTATTCTTCACAGGAGTGTCAAATTTCAATGACCTGGAGCGTGGAGGTCGCCTAACCAACTTTTCTGGTGAGCTAGTAGAATTATCATCTGGGCTCATATAACAGCGCTTTGGCGGGTGCAATGCAGGTGTAACAGTCATCAACCTGGCTGGAGTTGAAGCAAGCTTTGCTGGAGTAGACTGAATGCAAGCACTTTTTGTGGGCAAACCATTGTCATTTTCTATGAGGCCTATCTCTTTGGTTGGAGTAGCGGGCACTTGGCCATATGATGAAGCAGCAGTACTAGCTGGAGTAGACTGAATGCTAGCACTTTTTGTGGATAAACCATTATCATTTTCTATGGGCCCTATCTCTTCGGTTGGTGTAGCAAGCACTTTGCCATACGATGAAGCAGCAGTACTAGCTTCCTCACCTGAGTAAACTATACTGAGATTGGACTCTGGAACTGAAACATTTCGAGCTTGGAAGGATGGCTTAGAAAAGTGCCGTCGAAAAGATCGAGATAAATGAGCTGTCATTGCTGGTTGCTGCTCTATCGGTGCTTCAAATGATGTCTCAATGGGTAATAATGGGCCGGGAGCTCCACTTATGTTGGAATTCACACCTTCCTTTGACTGATTAGATGGCATTTGATGTGTTTCATCTGGAATTTCATCACCTTGAAGGCAGGTTGTTGATGCTTCTGGTTTTTCAACCGTGTGTAAATCAGTCAACACCTCAGGAGATGGTGACAAGGGAAACTTAATAGTATCTGGATGGATATCTTGCTTTGCACAATTGAATGGCTGGGGCAGAGTTTCTTTTGGAATTTCATAACCCTGAAAGCATATTAATCATTGTTAGGTCACATGCTATTCAAAAAGAAGTTCAAGAAAAACAATGTTAAATCCATAAAAGAACAGCTTGAAGAGCTAAGTAACTTACTTCCCAGCTAGGACAACTGGACAAGTTGCCTTAAGCCTAGCCTAGCCTAATTAATTTAATTAGCGTCTGTTGGGAAAAAAAAATTGAGATACAGATATCCTAGAGCAAGAATAACCCTACAAAACAAAACCATATTTGTAGAATTCCTCTGTTACAAGAGTTAACACACTAATCATTCTAAATCCTAGTGTCATTTACTGTCTATTAGAAAGAAGATAACAAAGCATGCACTCAAGCTTATGCCACTACACTAAATAATTTCTAATATTTTTGGTAAAAGTCAGGTGTGACTCATAGATTTCCCAGTCAAATACAAGATAATTTCACAGATTGCCCTTTACATCCAATGTAGAAAGGGTATACCTCAGGATGGAACTTTGAAATATTTGCAAGCCGATCGCGAAAGGCCCTCCTCAAATGCATATGCCCACCACCTTCAGATTTCAACTCATCATTCTCTACCGCATCAACATTCAAGGTAACATGAAGATCTGGCTTCAAACAATTGGTTTTCTCATTCTTAACAAGCACCTTCTTTATCTCAATTGCCTCAGGAAAAATAAACTTCAGCTGAGCCAAGTGACTATATGTAAACCTCCTAAAACCCAGATAAACAAAAATCAATCACTTTCTATAGTCTAATTTATTTCTTCAGCAACCAAACAACAAATTAAAAAGACCCTTTAAAAAAAATAGTACCTATCTGTCAAACACTTGATTTTTGGGAAAATATTGGAAAAACTCGTCATCAAACCCCTCAACCGCAACAACCGAATCGAAGCATCCAAGCAATCAAAAAATTCACCCAATATCTCATACCTGCCAAAGAAAAACCCACAAAAATTAATACATTAAAATCCACCTAAAATTTCAATACAAACAAATGAAATTTACGAAGCCTTACTTTTCTGGTAGCTTCTCGGTGGCACCAACATGGGTCTTATTTGGGTTTTCGTCGGGCCGATATTCGATCTTTCGTCTAGCAGAGTCGATCTGGACCGTTGGTTGCTTCTGGGTCGACTCGCGGAGGCTTTTATGACGGAAGTGTTGGGGCTTCTCTGGGGTTTTGGCGCTCAGTGAATCGTCGTCTACGACTCGGAGCTTTGGGTTTATATGGGGTTTTTCCGATTTGAAGGTAAGAGAGAGATTGCGTTTAGGGGTCTTTTGGGTTTCTGAGGAACTCATTGCAGAATAAGAGAGAGATTTGGGATCTGGAGTCGATGAAAATGTGAATTTTGATGACCACAGTCTAAGAGAAAAAGCGTTAGCCAATTGGGGGTTTTTGGTTTTTATTATAATCAGGGTTTTCCATGGCGGGAAAAGATGCCCGTTGCTTCCCGCGAAATAGATCCGTTGGATCACTTATTGTCCATTGGCTGCTACTATATTTTAAGAAATATTAATAAAACCAGGTATAGCCGTGCGGCTATACTATTTTTAAGGGAAACACTATACAACCGATTATAGCCGCCGCCGAGCGGCTAGACTATTTTTAAATAAATAAAAAACCGAGTACAAAAATGAAGAGGGTGCTTCATCTATCTCCTTTTCTTTTCTTCTTCTTTACTCGCAGCAAACCACCACAGGAAGAGGGTGCTTCTTTCATTATCGTTACCTCCTTTTCGAACCCTCATTACCCTGTGGGAATTTCTTGATCTGGATTTGGATCTAGTTTGATAAAGTTTTGGGGTGTGGTGGTGTAATTTTGATTGGCTGTTGGCTGAAATTTGGTTGTTTTGTTTTGATTTTTGTTCTTGTTTTGGTGATTGTTTCAATGGTGGCTGTGTGTTCGGAAATATGATGGTTTTGTGTGGTTTGGATGGAGTTGTTATAAATGGAGGATTTCTCAATTTTGGTTAGTGAAGTTGAAGAACATGCTTCTAGTTCCAATTTCTTCTGTAGAGAGAGAGAGAGAGAGAGAGAGAGAGAGAGAGAGTAGTGGGTGGCTGCTTCGGTGGTGTGGCTGTGGCTGAGGCTGTGGGGTGGGGCTAGGGTTTGGGAAGAGGGGGTGGCTGCTTGGAGATGATGGAGTTTTCTTTTTTTATTTTGTGTTTATAATTTTTTTTTATTTTTAATTAGTTTTTTAATGTTTTATTAATAATTTAAGTTTAAAAAGGTGTTTTGATTTGTTTTTTATAAGTTTTAAAAGGTGGGTTCCACGCATGCCACATCAGCAACTAACGGAAATTCTAATGTTAAAACTAACATCAGAACTATATTGAAAAAAATTGAAAAGCTTAGAGTATGTAATCGTTAAAATTGAGAGTGCAAGGGTAAACATGCCTTAAAGATGAGAGTCAAGAGTACTAAATTGAAATTAACCCCTTTTTTATTTTATAAATGAAGTTAGGAAGGGAGAGGGGGTTTTTTTCACAAAGACATTGCTGATGTGCTATGGGGATTTGAATCTGAGACCACTAATCTGTAAACCAATGCCATTTTTCAATCAACTAGATCCCATTAGCACCACATAGATTGGCTTCATTGAGTTATTCTTTGAATTGATATGCTTCATTGGCTATTTAGAAACCACCCAGTTTTTAGGCTTGAGAGATACTTTAAGCCTGTTTTGATTTATATGCAGCAACTAGCCACAGTTTAATTTTAATTAAGCAGTTTACTTGCAATCAATAATCTCCAAGTTAAAATGCAAGGAATCATTCAAATAAAAAAGGATGTTCCTTTAACTCAAGCTTGTTAATTTGCCTCATCTATGTGACCATGGAGGATTGTCTATCTGAAATTTTAATTTAATGTTTCATATAGAAGTAACAATCAAAAGACTGGTTTGATTTAATAGGCAACTACAACACAGTTCATTTGATCATATTGTTTATTCACTATAAGCTTGTACAGCATAGGCAATAAATAGCAGCACTGCTCTCTCTCTTATAGTGGTTGTCCAGCCAAAAACCGGCTAAATAAATCAAACGCCTCCCGCGGTTTGTATTCTGGAACGGTATGTCCTGATCCCTGCACCAATACAATCAAATGGAAGTATGAGAATCAACAATGAAACTGCTCAAAAGCAAAAATGAATGATGCTAGATGCAGTTTCAGTACAGGCTTACAGCCTGAGTAGACTAAGAAAGTTTTCGTGTACTGACCTTTACGGTTAGGAAGGTAAGGTTGTTTTCGTACCCTTGTGTATACCTGCAACCATTAACATACGTTTATTCAATTTCACTACCAAGTACCCGGTGAAAATGGTCTTCCAGGAAATGAGTTCTTTTTTCTTTCTTTTTGAGATTGTGTTGAAGCAAAAGAAAATCATCTATTTCTATTGTGGGTTTGATGAAGTAAAATATGTAATGGTAGGTACCCAGCAACTTGTCCATTGGAAGTCCATGGCCTCCATTCATCCACAACCTTATAACCAAGTGATCTAGTCCATGCTTCACTCCCAGTGAAAGGTACACACATATCATGATCACCACTGCCAGAAATGAAAATTGAATATAAATGCATATCAGTGATAACAGATTGCAAATCAGAATCTGAAATAACCAAGTGAAAGCATGTATGGGTTTTCATTTTTCATTTACCTTCTCCCTTTTTGTGCAATCAAATGGAACATTGTAGCAAAGGCAAAAATAAAATAAAAAGTGGCATTTTCCTTGGAGATTTACCTATATATAAGTGCCCGATAACCCTTTGCAGTGAGGTTCTTGTGGTATTTGATCATACTCCCAGCATCATGAGTAAATCTGATTCCGCTAGTACACAATTCCCAACTAGGTACCAAGCTTTCCTATAGTGCAAAAAGTTCCAAAAAATTTGATGATTTAGGAACCACTAGGACTAGACATCTACAAATTTCAGATTCTGGTTTAAAATATTAATTCAGAGAAACCTTACCCCTGCTGCATGGATTGCCTTTCTAACTGTTTCATTGTTCAACCATGAAGTAGCAACCTCATCATCCTGCAGGAGATATATCAAATCTAAGGGCATCTTGACATTTAAGACAATTCCAATGAAGCCACATCAGGATCAATGTCATGGCAATCAGGACCAAAGGGATGCATTCTATAAATAAATATGAACAGAGGACAGTATTCTAGTATTGAAGTTGAAGAACCATTCATTTAGCCCTTTCCAGGGAAGTACGCTTATTACTATCAACTTGAGAAATCAATGGCTGAAATGGGAAAAGGGATCAAAATATCAAAGTGATAATAATGTTAGCAACTTACAGTACATGGAACGTCTTCGCTATTCATAAGTTCTGGCCAAGTTGGAACAATTCCATCTCTCACAGGAGCTCTAAGAGGCCAGGCACGACCAAACATCCTTTTTCTCACAGCAAGAGGCCTTTCAGTCTCACCCAACCGTCGAAAGCTCGATGGCACTCTACTGTTTGTAGTTGTCTTAATCTTCATTGAATCTGTGCCGTGATAGCATGGTTCTAGAATGTCATATATGTTCAATTCTTCTATGTTCTGGGATTAGTAACAGTCTTAAAGTCAGAACAAAAACATAACATTCCATATTATAGGCAAATTATCAATATTTATATTACCTTGTCAACTTTCTCAAGCTTGCTCCCACAAGCATCATTGACTGGGTAAACGTAGTTTCCTCCACACTCCTTGTTAACCTCCTGGAGCACAAAGATGCATTACCAGAATTACTAGATAGTGGGAGCAAGGGGATGAAATTAGCATTACAAATAATATTGGACATTCTACACAAACCTCATATAGATCATCTGATATCAGTCCCATTCCATGTGCAAATGGAACAAGAGCGTTACCATCGAATTTATCATCCGTAACTCCATTTCCCACCAGATAACCCTGTATTATGCAGTAATTTGAGATTGGAGCCACAGATATTTGAAATTCACAAAAGGACTGCCTGCAGATAAATACCTTGAAGTTGAGAATGGGCTTTACACCGGCATCGATTCCTGCAGAGCTCCACCGTAGCTTTTAGTTTCAACACTTGCAGTTCAAGAATTTGCAGTACCTAAGTACGTTCTAACATTACTATTATAGGATGATTTACCTTTCACCACTTCAGAAGAAAGTGTTGGCACGTAGATTCCAGCATATGACTCACCAGAAATGAAGAATGGGTTGGAGAGGTACTCCGGGTAAAGTTCAAACCACTGGTTGCAGAACAACAAATTGCAGATGCATTAATAGTAGTACTTTGGGAGACATAATAAGCATCACTTCAACAAGGATGGGAACCTTTTCAAGTTTTTTCCTTTCTCACCTTTAGGAGAAACGTATGGCTATCAGAGGCAGTCTTTAGATCACCAGTATAATAGTCAGTTTTGTTTTCTGAGTAAGAAAAACCAACGCCAGCAGGAGAATCCAAATATATAATGTTGGAAACCTAAGATGAGAAGCATAATTATGAGTAATTTGATTTCACATGTGCTAGAAAAAGAAACAATTTCCATCAGATTCACAATTACATCTGCAGAATATTAGTGTAGTTAGTTTTTTCCTTGAGATTCTCAAAGTTCTAACCTTTGACCAGCTGTATGGATTAAAGTGCAGTTGGGGCAGACTTCCCTTGGTCTTGGCTGCTTCAAAATTGAATGGCCCTGAAAAATATGGATGGAACCAATATTTTATAGATTAATAATAAAATTACAGAAAGTGTTAAACTTTATGAGAATTAAGCCCTATCCAGTAAGTTGAAACGAACAAACTACTTCAACTAGTCTCATCTTCCTAGATTCAGCAACCAATAAGTATTGCCCATTTGAAAGTAAGCACCTTTACTTTCAAACCCAGATCCCAGCAGAGTCAGATACTTGAAGACAGTATGTACATTGAGTGGTGTGATTAAAAATGTCATGGCCTTCATTAATTAAATTGAGTGATTCAATTCAAATGAACTATGAAACAATACCATGCTCATAGACAAAGCCATCAAGGCTGGAGCATCCAGGTCCACCATTCAGCCACAGAACCACTGGATCCTCCGACGGCTTCCTTTCGGATTCAATGAAATAGTAAAACAGGTTCCTCCCATGACTTTGGTCAATTGTCACATACCTTCATACAATCAAACCCATAAAGAAATCAACAACCATGCATCCCAGAAATCCATATGTACTTATAGTTTGAGAACAGTCTTGCTTACCCAGAATAGTGTTTTGAAGGAAGAGTGCCGCTGAAGCCAGGAATCTGGGTAATGAGAGCAGACTGAGGAGCTGATTGCGCTGGGAAAAAGCTCAAGAACACATAAATTAATGAAGGCAACAAATATAATACTCTGTGGGAGTCAAGACTAGAACTAGTCCTATCCATGGCCTCTGCCTATGACTTTTGATAAAATTTGTTGGCAATTAGAAAAGCAAGAAGGATGTCATATCAATCAAACACTGTGAAAGAGAATTTATAATGAATTAGTCTGCAGCAACTTGCTATTGTTGTTGTTGTTGCTGCTGTTGCTGTTGCTGCCGCTTACAAGCTAAGAGAGAGGTGCTAAAAAGAGGAAGATAACAAAAGTGAGCCCTCAACTCGAGAAAAAAATACAGGCCACTATTATTACGTACCATAGTGGGAAAACTGGTGCTCTGTGGAAGGCAACAAGCCAGTCATCTTCTGAGAACCTATCAGTGCATGACACGTTCTGACTGGTAGTCAGTCAGATGTTGATGCAACTGAAGGAGAAAAGGTGCTTCATAATTCTCGCGTTAGGTCCGCTTGATATTGGCGCATCAGAGGTATGGGTGGAGTGTACACGGGTGTGACCCTGTGAGTGAGAAAGAGAGAGAAAATTGAGGAATTGGCACAAGAAATGTGTGATGACGTTAGATTTGGACTATGACTTTCAAGCTTTAATTAATCATTACTCAAACTGTTATATTAGAAGATAAATATTTAAAGCTTTAATTTTTAGTAACTCCTCTCAAATTAACTGTAAATTTTTTTCTTATTATCAATTTCTCATATAATTCATTAGTTATTCTATAGTTTTTTTTTATTTTTTATATAAGTAGCATTCTACTTTAATTTAATCTAAATTACGGGGAGTGAAATTCGAACTCGGATACAAAGTAGAAAACACATCCACCCTACCTAACTTGGCTAAATCCATAATTGCCATATGGAATTTTTTTATAGTTGAATGAGTTATTTCATAACATTCATCATGCATGGTAGGCCATATAAGTACTAAAATATACGCACCTTCCATGAAAAGAAACTGTTTTTGTGTGGTGTGGGGTTAGTTTTTAAAGTATTTTGCGTGTGAGGATTCTGAGGTTGGTTTTGTACTTGCATCCTTAAATTTGATAAAAGGCAAAAGTTAGGTTTGGGTTTAATTAATATTTAATGTTGTATTCAATTTCGTGCCCTCTTACTCTTATTTGGGAAAGAACAAAGAAATGAACATGAGGGACAGAAAAGCCAGAAACCCATGACTTAGGTACCATGTCCGAGAATGTTTTGAAATGTTACATCAGACATTTCCATAAAAAAAAATGATGTGTTCATATGATTTTAGAACAATTATTCCAATTGTTTGATTTAATATTATTGTGATATTGGATAATCAGGGCAGTTATATCTTGAATATATTATTTTATCATCTCAAATATATAATTGGGTTGAATATTGGATAATTAAGATAAGTACATATCTTGTGGACTTGATCTGATTTTGGAAGAACCATTCAAAGTTTGAACTTTGAAGGCAACTCTCCACCCACCACCTGCTGCAAACACAATCCCCTCTCTTTAGCATTTTAACTCAAGCTCTTCTAGTTTCAAGCTTCTATAGCTTTAGTTCTAACTCTATGCTTTGCATTCCATTATAATTTCTTAGCTCATCATTCATGCCATTTTAGGCCAAGTGGTGGCACATTTGCACTCAAAAGACTAAAAGCTTTGTTCTTGTTCATGGCGATTCAGGACCTTGCTCCGTGTCAGGCCCCGTGTCGCTGTGTGATTTTTGGATGAACAGTTTGTAGATGGAAGCAGATTACAAAAGAATCCATGCATTACCTTCTAAAATGACCTGCAGCGTTTAAGATACAATGATACACATTGCAATTACAGTTACACATGGTTTACAATGTAAAATTACATTACATGGTACATATTGCAACTATAATGTTACATGGGTTTTAAACCCCAATATCCTGCTCTCATCTCACTCAATATGTTTTTTTTCCAAGCAAAACGAATGAAGCCCTTGTGTTCTACATCCCACCATTCCCTCAAAACCATGTTTGCGTGTTAAACGCCAGTTCAGTGGAAAGAATCACAATGCTTTCTTTGCTTATAGCTGCTCCCAGCTTGATCACCCAATGAAAGCCCCACATGCTATGATCAACATAACCAAAATTGTTGAGCTTGAGCGGGAGATTGATGGTGCGCTAGAAAACTTGACTCTCTGAGCCTGGTCTCTGGAGAAGAAAACAAATAGAATTATGCATTAGCAGAGTTTGGAATGAGAGTTGTTAATCTTTGTGCATTCTAGTTTCTTTTACAAGAATTTTCTGTTAATATAAATTTCAATAAACAAGTAAAAGATAAGTGAATGAAAACTTTCCGCCAAATTTTATCTTACTTCTGTAAAGATGAAAGTAGTCCACAATATATGATATTGTCAGGCAAAGGAGCTTCGGATTGGTCAATCTCAGTATTAACGACACTGACATAAACTTCTTGGCCTAGATACCATGAATCCAGATTCTGTGCACGAAGGTTCCAAATGCCAGAGTTGTCAAGAGGAATCAAAATGGCTGTCCAAGCTCCAGGGAAGACCTGTAGCCATATGAGCATGAAGCAATTAATTCAAAATACAAGATCAACCTAAAACACATTAACAGAGGATCTCTTCCTTTCCATATGCATGTGTAAATGTGCACGACTACCACAATAACAATTAGCAACCACCAAGTAGTGCAACAAGCCTACCAGATAAAATTTTTACGTTTAATGATACTAACACCCTTTCTATTTTGTATCTTTTTGTCCTCACAAAGCTCTCCCATGGAAAATCTACTGACCAACTGATTTGTATAACGCATTTGAGCAAAGGGGGTACCTGTGTAGTGCTGCGAGCAACGCCATCCCATTTGTTGTAAGTGCTTCTGCTATTCTCTGTCCACACTCCAATATCCATACTACAGGGAAACAGGGAATCCTTCAAATGTTTGTACTTTTCCAGTTGCATAATTAGGAATAGAGACAGTAATGATTTCAAAACTAAAAGCTCACCCCACAACAAAAAATGCATAGCCATCCAAATGGTAGTTCTGAACAGTGGTGTCATTGTTCTGAAAGATGATTTCCATGAAACCTTTGAAAGTACCATTAATTAGAGATGTGTCAACTTTGGCAGGTCTGTTCATCAGTTTAGTTGGGAAATCAAGCTTGTAAACTCCTGATATGTTGAACTGCTGGGCGAGCTTAAGGGGTGTTGAAGGTGGTAAATATGAAATACCATTGAGGGTAGTGCGCCACTTCCCATTTATAAGTTCTGGAGGTCTATTGAGGATAACATATACATCTGTGACAGTGATTTCACCATATTTGAAAGATCCTTGTGGGTTTGGACGGGCAGCACCAGCCGAAACATTCCACCTATAATTGCACAAATCATGACGAAAACATAATTAGCCCAGAATTTGAGAACAAAAATACCATTAAAGAAAAGACAAAAATCCAAAAACAAAATGAATTATTAGTGTATGGAATTTCAGGGAAACAAAACAAGATATCAGGCAGATGGAACTTCCCCTAATTGTTTGGATGTAATACTATTCAACCTCCTCATATATAAATAAAACAAAAGGCTATGAAAAGGATTCTTTTTTATTGAAGACTAATGGCTCAGGAAACATTGGAATAAGGGGTAAGCAATCTTATCAAGCATTCTGTCCATATGAAGGCTACCGCCATCATCATAAAAGTTTTTGGAGGAACTGAATGAACTTTTTTTTATTTTTTCAAATATATCTGTTATTAAACCAAAAGAAACATACTGAACTACAACCTTATGGATCTTGCTTGATTCATTGAGAAATATGTGTCGTAATCATTAGGAGGATCAGGGAGAGGACCTGATGCAGGTCCTTGAGAATTGGAGTAGTGCAAGATGGCAACTCCAGTAGCTCTAGCCCATAAAGATGAATTGACAAAACGAGGGCTGGCAACAATGTAGTAATCACTGCTGGCATTTTGATCCATTGTAACCAAGAATGAAAATGACTGACCGACATGAATATCCATATTTGCATAATTCTGCTGAACTGTGTATGATCCTTCAGTCTCCACTAGAAGCAAGTTATGATTTTGTATTCTGAAATTCAAGCTAGTTGAGATACCAACATTGTGCACACGGAAGCGGTATGTTTTTCCTGTTCCAGGAAATTACCAACAACCGGCTCCCGTTAAAAGTGCAAGATAATAAAAGTGCAAGTGTAAATCATATCAGCATAACAATAAGAGCCCCAAAAAGAAACCAACCCAAAAGGCTGTTGGAGAACATCTTAATAAAAATGCCAAGTTTCCAACCCAAATATGCCCTTAGAGCTATGGAGTATGGACCTCTCACTCATTACCCCTCAAACCCAACAAGAAATATGTGAATTGCATCAATATTTTAGAAAGACACTCATTAAACTCTACATTTTATATGATTCTGGATGATTAGAAAGACGCAATCACACTAGAATACAAGAACCAGATAAAAATTTCACAAAGATACCCCAGAAATATACCTTGTTCAACATTTACCGTCAGGAAAGGATTGCCTCCTTTAATAAGTCCCTCGTCAAAGCGAAAGGGACCTATTCCATTGATGAGCACACCATCCGGAATTCCCAGGCTAGTACCACTTTCAACATCTTTCCTTAGTTCCTGTTCCCTTACAAGCATGAGCCATGCCTAAGAAACCCAATAAATAGGTAGTAAAACACAAGCAGCGGCAGAGCACAATTTATACTAACCTTATGACTCTTTGTGTACCAATCAGTAATGAAGAGGGTAATATCTGCATCTGGCACTGCGAAAGGTAGTGCAATAACAGCTCGGTTGTTTATGGTGATTCCGCCATATCCACCTGACGCTCTCTGGAAGTTTAGAGAAGGGAAGTAAAAGAAACTCCCTATCTGATCCTTAACCTGAAATTCGTATGTCCAATTCCATCCAGCTTGAATTGGACAGTTAGTCCCTGATACACCATCTTGCCAAGAGTTTTTCCTATGTTGTATTCCATTCCTGAATTAAACTAAGCAATATTAGCAATGCTATCATCAATACTTACAATTATTTTGTTGCTGATGGGATACGAATAAATTTACCATGTGAGAAGCAATGGCTCGTCCAGGTGATTCTTCACATTGATAACAACATTCCAGTTTGTAGTGACATTAAGAATCGGTCCTGGAAACTCCCCATTAATCCCAATAACCTGAAATAATATTATGAAAGGACGGTAAAGCAATTTGATGATGAAGAATTCATATGACCAACAAATTTAATTATAAAAAAATAACTAACTGGACCAGGCTCCATTTCTGTAATTTTTACTGAACGCACCTCATTCATCAACTCTATACGATACTAATAATCTATTCTGTACTGGATATACACACCATTACACTAATGTGTAATTGAAAAGTTCTTATTCAGTTTGGAATTTAATTGTTCCAAGGTTGAAAATCTAGTTCCCCCTTTTTCCAAAGTTCACAATTTTGGGATAACTCAGCTGGGTTGTGCCTCCTTGGCCCCCTTTTCAGTGAATCTTATGGTTGAGAGGATACACCAGACAATTGAACCATAATCTGTTAAATTTCCGCCCTAAATAAAGTTGCTAACCAGTTGTTGAGCATGATTAGGCATCTCTAAGCCTGCATTACTGAAAAATTACCATACCTAATCAATTAAATCAATGTAAACCAAACTAATTCTCCTCTTAATAAATATACTAATCATAGTGTTTCCTGCTGTACGAGAATTTACTAACTGAAAGCAACCACTATTCATGGAATCATTCCATTTGCAAGACACAGAATTCAAAATTGGAGACATTACTACAAACAGGCGTAGATATTACTCTCAAGTCACAGCTAAATAATTAAAGAGCAAAATAAAGCTTAAAGTTGAGGACCTATAACTTGAAAAGTAGAGAGAAGAGAGTAAAGACAGTTGTTGCAGAGGATAGAAGAAGATAAGATGAGTGAAAGAACCTGCTGCTTAACTCCAAGTGGGGAGGCAGTGATGTAAGAGACAGTCCAGTCAAAGAACACATAAGGGTCACCGCCCAAAGCAACACCCAATGAGCAGAGAAGGATGACAAGGTTGAAGAAACTAGAAGAGGGCATTGGGATTTCTCTATATCCCAATAGAAGAAAAAGAGAGTTTGGGTTATTTGGGTATGTGAATGTTTGGTTTATTGGGAAGGAGGAGGAGCAAAAATGCAAACTTGGAGCGGCAGAGTGGCAGTGAGAGAGTCACATGGGAAAGTGGAAGGCACAGCTTGGGCTCGTCAGAGACAGTTTTTCTGTGGACTGTTTCTGGGTCCCATTTTGTTTCAAATTTTCTAAAGAAAGGAGGCCATCGGAGCCACAGCCACCATGCTTTACACTTGATTTCACCGTGTGGGGGCCTTTGGGTCTACAAGAAAGGTCGCTGAGATGAGAGACCGAGTGCCTGTGCCAAATATTTGGACTGATCGCTTTGGGATCACGACCCTTCTTGTCATTGTCTTTACTTCAACTACCAAATTATTGGCTTCTATTTTTTTCACTTTTTCCAAAGTCATTTTATCATAGGTGGTACATTCTTGTTTTTCCAAAAAGTAAAAAGTTGACTATTTTTCGTAATAATGTTAGTCTTCAAAGAAGCAAATTCTAGCCCTAGCTCCTGGATTGCCTGTACAGTTGTACCTGTAATGTGGTTGACTGGTCTGGACCAGAAAGGGATGATTCTGGCCACCAATATTCATGAAGAAGAAGCCTGGTATAACTTGACGATTTTGATCCAGCCCAATTCTGTGGGCTGCGGGCACATTACCAGAACAAGAAAAATGCGATATCTGATCCGTACTGGCCTCCAAGTATACAAGGAAAGGGGAAATTATATATATCAACCAGTAAATTTGGAGATATGTTGTAGAAAATCTTTAAATATAGCGTCAACAATGATGGTAACCGTCATGACAATTTGACAAAGGTTAGGGGCGATGGTAGCAACAATGACAACAAGAGTAGTGGTAATGACTGCATCAACAAATGCATTCAGGAGTAATGGTCTTTTCCTTCTTATAATTTGTAGGTTATCTGGATATTTGAAGTGTTGCATATCAGCCAGGCTTTAAAACCCTTTTGAGCATGTTTCCATTCATTTATCGTCAATGTATCGATAATTTCCTTGATAATGTAGTTCGAACCCCTCTCCCTTTCCAAGTTCAGAGCAACTTAACCACCACGCTAGTCATCACTTGGTGATAAATACCTATGGAATCTAGTATTTATAACTCTTCCAAGATGTTTCTCAAAACAGAAAATAATTACTTATTGTTTCTATATTGTTGATCAAATATTTAATTACTTAATATAATTTATTTCTTTCCTATTTAATCCATTTAATGTTATTGCTTATTTTATTAGGGAAATTCACTATTATACCCAATATAGGAGCCCAATTTATAAAAATACCTCATATGAAATAAACTTTAGAAACACATCCAAAGCCCATTTAGAACATAACAACGAGACTTTTAACTTCTTATAAATTACAAAACTACCATCAATTTCTTAAAACAAGCTCAACCCTAAAATCTCATAAAAATACCCAAAACACTCAATAGGGCATCAAAGTAATTTAATAATAAATATTAAATTCAATAAGGCCAGTTGTCATTTTTGGATTTTTTTTTGTTCGTTTATAGAAATTCAATGGTGTAGGGTTTATCTATAATATTAGTGCTAAGAATGGGTATATCCAAATTGTTGCTTAATTACTTAAATCTCTATGATATTTTTCTTTATTTCCTATTTAATTCTTCCTTGTATAACTTTATTTATGTTCTTAGTTAATTTTCAATCTTCACTATTATTTTTTAAGTATGGTAAAGTGCTTAATTTTCATGAAAAATTAAGTTGGTTTACATCTTTAATTATTTTTCAAGTTTTAATAAATAATATATATATAAGAACGTATACCATGTCATGTCCAGTGAATAACGTGAAATAAAATTACTCATGTATCTTACCATGCAATTTATAAAGTGTAAAATATTGTAGTAAAAATGATAAATAAATTACTAGAGAGCGTTTAATTTTCTTTCATTAATTACTATAGATTTTCTAAGTCACAGAGTTTGTCAGCTCGCAATATAATCAACTTAAATCACTCAAATCTACTATCCAATGCATTTTCTTCCAATCTTTTTGTGTTAAAAATTTCCAATCTTTACAAAGTTTCATTAAAAATTTCCATATATTTATCACAATTTCTGTGGTTTTTATCCAATTTTTATCGATATCGATATTTTCCCGATATTTCCGTGTTTTTGAACCACTGATATTTCCGAAACCCTCGATATTTAAGACCTTAGTTTTATTAGCCTAAAATTTAATTCAGCCCACCCATGCCTACTAATGATAATCATACCATGCTCACATTCCAAAGGCTCACAGGCTCATCGCTCATCCAACAATATACTCAAGGAAAAGAAGATGAGACAAAATAATTAATTGAAGTCTCTTTGACTATTCCAGGACATTCTTGTGTAGGACATGTCTATAAAGTTCTCTTTAAAATGAAAAGTATTTCCATCTTGTTCTTACTTTTTTAGCCTACAACCAACTTTTATTTATTTATTTATTTATATATATATATATATTATGAACAATCTACTGCTAATTTTTCTTTCACTGATAACCTTTTTCACACATAATCCCTTTAAGTGAAAAAAAATTAAATAAATAAAAGAATGAATTGGTACGTTGTAGTAGCTGCGCCTTTATGTTCCACTCTCAGGTGCGTATATAAGGTAATTTTAGCCTAATTCTGGATCCGTCCCTACTTTTAAGTATTTGACGTTGCCCATCACATTATGAACGTTGGAAATGCTTATAATATAATTAATAAACAAAGTTGTTGAACCAAATAATTCAATGTATACACGTTTGTTCAACTACACTCGCCCCAAATAAAATCACGTCATTAAAGATTTGCTTAGCAGACTTGTCTTAATCACTGAAATAATTATCCATAATTTATGTCAAGACAAAATCATAATCACTCACACCCCAAGCAATATCCATTTTGTTACCTTACGCTACGCATGCTCCTCTTCCTCTCATCTCATCTCATCTTCCCCCTTTGTGTTGTGTGTGACAAAATCGTATTATTTTTCAGACATATCTCTGAACTGTAAAAGTTAAAAATGTTTTTGGCATGCAGTGCAATTTAATAATTATTTTCAATTATTTTCGCACAAGTTGTGGAATTTTAAATTGAGATAAAATGGATGTCAAATCTATACACAGATGGACATGGAGCTAGCTGGGTGACAAGAAACTTGAACCACATGCGAAAGTATTCATAACTATTACTCATTTTTGTCACGACTATCTTAATACCATATATAGTATTTGTACACTAATTCAACATATTTTGTCACAGAAGTCATAATTTTAGACATGAAAGGGGCAAATTATTTCAAGGGAAATGTCACTTCAGAATATACGGATATTTTATATACATATACGTCGACTAATTGTCAATTTATATAAAAAAAATATGTTTGCCAATCGTTAATTACATATTTTTTATATACATTAACGATTAACAGTCGTCCATTTTAATGTTTATCCGGGTGTAAGAGCAATGGATTTGGGTCCATTATGACTTCTGAGACTACGAGGATTCTCACCTATCTGTTGTCTTTTAACTCTTTAACCGACGCCTTGCTGCTCGTGCCGATCACTTCTTCAAAACTCTATCCAAAAATCCCCCAAGCACCTCCCTCCTCCTCCTCCTCCTTCTCCTCCATCTACTACACCTCCTCGCGTCTATCAGATCCACGACAATAAACCCCCTCCAAATTCCCCGCTAATTACACAACTACCACTAGAAGAACCACGTGTCCCTCTCCCATTGGGTACCTGACTACACACAAGAAGTTGCCAATTGTAGCGGATTAAAGCCTACAAAATAGGGGGCCCACTTTCCCACCACCAATAATTGATCATTCTCCTAACCCCCTCTGTACCCAAGCTGGCACCACTGTCTCCTTCCTTCCACACTTCTTCCACTAGATCACTACTTGTACTAATCTCTTCCAAAATCTCAAAAACCCTAACCCTAATCTCCCCCCCCCAACCCCCTCTGTAAATACACCACCACACCATTTTTCTTCACTTAAAAAGAAAAACAAAAACCTATCTCTCTCTCTCTCTTCATCACTTCACCTCCCATGCTTTGACTCAGACAATTCAACAAACACTAAACAAACATGCTGATACACCTGATGTGCTTCCTCCTCCTCTCGTTGCTCTCATTCACCGCGTGCTCCAATTCGTCGCAGCGTTCCGTCTACGACGTGCTGCGGGCCCACGGACTTCCGATGGGCCTGCTGCCCAAGGGCGTAGTCGACTTCGAAGTCGACGACGAGGGCCGGTTCCAGGTGCACCTGGAACAGGCCTGCAATGCCAAATTCGAGAACCAGTTGCATTACGATAGGAACGTCTCGGGGACGCTGAGTTTCGGGCAGATCGGATCCTTGTCGGGTATTTCGGCCCAGGAGCTGTTCCTCTGGTTCCCGGTTAAAGGAATACGGGTAGACGTGCCCAGCTCCGGCATCATTTACTTCGATGTCGGCGTCGTTTATAAGCAATTCTCCTTGTCTCTTTTCGAAACTCCACCGGATTGCACCGCTGCCTCCACCTCCGTTGAAGCCATTGGAACCGTGTTCGAGGTGAATTCCAATCTCAATAAATTGTTGTTATTTGGATTGAAATAAATGAGACCGAAAGAGTGTAATAATGAATTGATGTGCAGGGCGAATCGGGGAAATTGCGGTACAAGCTTGATCATGAACTTGTTGGGAGAGATTTTGTGTAGAGTTTTGGAGGGGAGGAGAGTAGGTGTTTTGAAGGTGTGGTCTGGATTAGTTTTGTTGGTTGGTTGAGTTGTTTTACTTTTAGTGGCCAGTGAATTCGATTGGAACCCAAGATTGGAGGAGGCAAAGTTATTACCAGTCAGTTTTGTGTCACAAAAGAGCAAAAGGTTGAGTGAGGCAGAAGCAATTGATCAGATGAAGCCCAAATCAGGTGATCAATCTGCAACAGGTTTATGTCTTGTGTTGTGGTTTTTTTTTATAAAGTTCATATTGGTATCTTGAAAATTATTGATGGTATAAAAAGCTTCCAATAAAAAAAATAAAAAAACCCTTTGCCTTTTGCATTGCTCTGTTTTAGCTGTTGGTATAATTTGTCAGTTTATGAGTTGTGGGTGGAACAGAGGAGAAGTAGATGAGAGGAAGAGGGCTAACCCAGATAGAATTTATATTTGTCTGATTGTGATCAGGTCTCTAAACTTATATTTAAATTGTTATGATCAGGTCTCTAAACTCTGAACTTGAAGGACTCTGTTTCAATTGTCAGAGAGGGTTTGAGCAGAGGTTTTGATTAGTGATGCTAAAATGAGAGAAAATTCTGCACTTGGTTTGTTGCGTTTCTTCTTTGTCATACCTGAGAGACTTTGTAGATAGTGTATGTGTATTTGTTGATCCTGTTTTTCTTTTTGTTCTTGTAGCTCATAATTTGTTGTTTGGTTCAAATAGTTGAGGTAGACTAACAATGTCGGGAAATTCCTTGATGTCATTATTTTGATTGGAATTTGCCTAAACTTCAGTCTGAAGTCATGTGCACTGGACCACTCTCTCAAGACTGGTCACACCAAACAGAAAAACTTGTATGAAATGGGGATAACTTATTCTCGGCCAATCACAATCTTCCGCACAGAAAAGTTATCACACGTGACATACCGTGATTGACCGGGATAGCAAATAGTGTTATCCCCGTTTCATGTCGGTATTTCTCCAAACCAAAGGCCTTCTGTCAGCACATGCTTGGGCACATGAAATTTGTCTGTATTTTGCATTTGAAATAGGAGATTTCAGGCTTTTTTTCTTTCTTGCCCAACTTTGCTCAAAGGTTTTCAATCATGTCATCAAATCAACCATAAAGGAGCCGATCACATCCCGTGTTTGGTAGTATCTTTCTCATTGTTCTTGATTATTTCCTTTGAGGAGCCCACTTTCTCACTTGACTCTGTTAAACTCTCCCCTAGGCTCTAGGGTTTAGTAAATTCTTAATGATTTAATGCTAATGATGGGAAAATGTTAAGAGCCACAGTGGGTTCGTGTGTGACTTGTTTTTGACCATTGATTCATGTAAGTCTCATTATAAGACCCACATGTAACCACGAACAAAAATAACCAATGCACGGGCGATGTCTGAGGTTTTTATTATGTGGGCCATCCAAGTCAAGGCCCAATAACAAAATCAAACAACATGTTGTTCTCAATCGACTGCACACCCACCCAATCCCCAAAGGACCCAAGTCTTGGCCCAGAAACAAAATGGAAGTAATTATTTGTTCTCAATCCACTGCTTCATAAAATAGAAAGGGAAAGAAAGAAGATGATTGCATGGAATTATAAGCATTTTGGGGCAGGCCATAGACGTCCCCACATGTAGTGGTACCATCCATGTGTGTGGTTTCTATCAACATTCGTGTTGTCCTTGTACATATCTATATCCAATTTCCAAACCCATATAGGATGAGAGATTCGTAGCCCAAATCAATTTATTTATTTATTTAAAATTATCCCAATCAAATTTGATGGCAACCCAATAGTTTTTTTTTATTGGGAATTAAATGAAGGAATTGCAAATTATCCTTGATTTGATTGGCACTTTGAGGTTCAGCTCCTTCCCCAATTCTCAAACCAGCAAGTGAGAATAGTTGCATTGAGATATTTTGATCTTATCATATTAAAAATCAAAGTCAACATCATAAATAGTGACGAGAGGAGGTAGTGCCTTCTTTTCTGTGCTTGGTTTTATGCACTCCATCCATCACAAACTCTCGTAACTGGTGGCGTTTGAGCTTTCAGAAGGGACAAACTTGGGATAGAAACAAAGCCAAACACGGCAGAGTTAGTTTCCATGCATGCACATGCAGGGCCTTGATCACAGTGATCACAGAGAACTCTCAACAGCTGTGTTTAAGGCCGTTGTCCCATTTGCATGGCTTTCTGTCCATCTTCAGAAGATCAGTTCCAGTGTGGCACACCACCACCAATGGTGGTTTTGTTTGAGCACTGGTGCTTGCTTGCCTTTCCCTTCATTACCAATCTTTCTATATAGTTTCATGATTTTCCAAAACTCCCCTACCAATTATAACCAACATAAGAAAAAGATTTCATTTCATATCCATCAACGGGTTTTAGGGTTTTTACACTAGCAAATCACGCACACAACAGTTATTTTCTCATAAAACACAAACGATCTTAAAAAGGGAAATTTGAACACAAGACACGAGTACACGCTCTTAACCAATTACTATAAACACAAAAATACATAACTTTATAAAGGAAAAAAATAATCGAATATGTACAATTACTCACAAATTAACAAGTATTACTTACACTCAGCTCATATAGGATTATTCTTTAGCATCGAATCATTTTTGTGCAGGCTTATTCTTCACCGTAGTTTTATTTGTATTTATTTATTTTGTTTGTTTGTTTGTAATCATCGTAGTTGAGAGAGACATAGGCGGATGCTCACAAAACAATAAAACATGGGGTCCTCAACCGGAAAATGTAAAGAAGGTTGTGGTCCGAAAAACATACAATAAACCGAGGACATTTCTGCAAAATCAAATGCGACTTCGTCTCCTGCCACATTAAGCGGGAAATATACAGTAAACCAGGGACATTTGAGCAAAATCAAATACAATTTATACATCTGCCACGTTAATCTCATCATTACCATCCATTTCTGCGATCCAAGCGCGCCCATTGACCCAGTTCACAAATTCCAGCGACCCATATAACTAACCCGCACCAAAACAGCCCCTTCCCTTTCCTTCTCTCTCTGATTTTTTGCAAATAAAATAAATCAATCAATTCTACAACCTATAAAAATCACTCAGTCTATCACTTCATCTCCTTCACGTTTACGCTCACCACCACCTCTCCTTTTCCTTCCTTCTCTAAATCCTAGCCGGAAACCACCGTTCTCCGGCGAAAGAACCCCTCCCCCCTTTAACCACCGAACCCACCTGCCATGTCCACCACTTCCATCTGCTACTCAATGACCTCAATACCCTTCCTTTCTCTGACACCTCACACCACAACCTCAAAGCTCTTCACAAAACGAAATTCTTACACACCGAGGTCTTCCTTTTCTTCTTCATCTTCTTCCTGTTCGTTTCCCAAAAGGGTATTTAAAAATGGGGTTGGTCTGTGGATAAAAGCTTGCTCTACGTCGCCTTATATAGGGAGAGTCGGGTCACAGTGGAGAGAAGGCAACTCTTCGTTGCTGTCTTTTGGAACAAACCCATCAGCTGCAATTTCCAAAGAGGGTGCGCAGAGTAGCGATGACTCGTCTCAGCTCTTGTCAGCAATGCTTCCCTTTGTTGTTGCTGCTACTGCTGTTGCTGCTCTGGCTCAGCCTTCAACGTTCACTTGGTGGGTCTTGTTTTCTTGAATTGTTATTACCTTTTCAATGCTTTTGCATGTCGAATTCTTGGGGAATTAAGCACTGGGATTCTGTTTTTGTTGTTTCTTGCAAGTCCAAGTTGGATTATTTTATATATATGGATAGAGAAATATTCTTTTTTTGCTTAGCAAGGAGTTCTGAGCGATTAACTTTATAAATTAATACTATTTTTGGATACCCTTTTGTATATGTTAATGTTGTATCATTTTCTATAATCCATCATTTCATTTAACTCTCAATTTCTGAAGCTTTACCTCTGTGGTTTTCAAAACATAAAAGTTAGGAGCTGGGACTGCTTGCATGTGTTTGATTTTAGGCACCAGAGGGACTCTGGGTACCTAGTTTTTCTACTTGAAGATTTTTTTTCAATTTGTTCAGCAGATTACATGCCAAACAGACTGTATTTTCTCAAGTTTTACATCAGCTCAGCAATGTATTAATTCAAAGTTAATACAGGGTATCTAAGGATTTATATGCCCCTGCTCTTGGTGGGATCATGCTCTCTATTGGAATCAAACTTTCCATTGATGATTTTGCTCTTGCATTTAAAAGGTAATATCTTTATTCACCATTGTGTATATATATTCTTCTTACTGTCATTATTCTAGTCTGCTTGTAAGAGTTTGAGTGAGCTGTCCCAATATTCTTTACTTCTCATCTATTGCAGACCTTTACCGCTCTCTATTGGGTTTATGGCACAGTATATGTTGAAACCGATTCTCGGGGTACTGATTGCAAAGGCATTTGGCGTGTCTAGGATTTTCTACGCTGGCTTTGTCCTCACCACTTGTGTTGCAGGGGCTCAGCTATCTAGCTATGCTAGTTTTTTGAGCAAAGGAGATGTGGCCTTGAGCATTCTCCTCACCAGCACCACCACCATTGCCTCAGTGATTGTTACGCCTCTACTAAGTGGCCTTTTAATTGGTTCTGTTGTTCCAGTCGATGCTGTTGCCATGTCAAAGTCAATATTGCAGGTAATTGGGAGTTCAGTAATGCAGGCGTTTTAGCTTCTGCCTCTATTATGCTTAATATGCATTTATTTGACATTCTTATTTTACCTATTAGGTGGTTCTTGTTCCAGTAACCATTGGCCTTGTGCTCAATACTTATGCAAAACCAGTTGTCAATTTCCTTGGACCAGTGATGCCAGTTGTTGCTATGATTTGCACTTCATTGTGCATTGGCAGTCCTCTTGCAATTAATCGGAGCCAAATTCTGTCTGCAGAGGGATTCCGATTGATTTTTCCAGTTATAGCATTTCACGCAGTGGCCTTCACGGTTGGATACTGGGTATCCAAAATTCCAAGTTTGAGGTGAATCTTCCTTTCCCCTAGAATTTTAAAGTTCATTGTTGGAAGTCATATCTTGTCCATGGTGATGAAGATTTGTGGGCCTTGGCATGATATGATAATAAGTATCCATTGCCCTTGTTTTGATGATTTTGATTCCGCCTTGATGATATTGAACTTTATAGTACGCAAGTAATGGCTTATCTTGTCCCTCCATGCTCTTGCAAACAGCATGGATATTTGATAATTATACCCAGGTCCAAAACAAAAATTTTGTTCTTCTTTTTACTTTTGAGTTTTCCATGTTCACTTTGTGATTGACATCTAGTTATAACTCAGGTTTGTATTGACAATGGCTCTGTTTCTACGAATAGTTTCTGGGGTAGTCATTAATCTAGCTGGGGTATTTAACTGCCCTGAGCAGCAGCTTTTGATTCCGCGTGTCCCCTTATAGATGATCTTTATTGTTGTCACAACAGGCAAGAAGAAGAAGTTAGCAGGACACTTTCCTTGTGCACAGGAATGCAAAGCTCCACCCTGGCAGGTCTCCTGGCAAGCCAGTTCCTTGGAAGCAGCCAGGCAGTTCCTCCAGCATGTTCGGTTGTTGCCATGGCTATCGTGGGCCTTTTTCTTGCCTCTTTCTGGGGCACCGGCTCTCAAATCAGAGACCTGCCTTCCCTACTGATGCCTCAAACTGGTTCTACAATGAAGGCTTAGTAGTGAAAGCAACAATCAGAGAATTCACGGGGGCATACGATAACGCTAATTTAGTGCATACCGATGATGGTCAGGGTCAGGGATACTAACGCAGAACATAACGAAGAAGGTAAACTAGAAGAGGGATCGGTAGTGGCCGTGCTGAACCACCTCAACTGAACTGTAAAGCAGTACTGCATACAGAGGATCAGGAGCCAAAATATAGATGGCGGGAAAACAATAGTTTAGGCTAGAATTGTAAAGTTGTTAAGCATTTTATACTATAGGATCTTCTATACTTTGTAAACAATTCAAAAAAATAAAAAAAAAAAAAAAAAAAAAAAAAAAAATAAATTGGGTTGTAGAGTGCATTGTCGTCAACATGCTTGCATTTTACCCCTTTTTTTTGGGGTTACAAGTTGCCCAGAGGCCAATCAATTTGCCTTTTTTTAAGTTACTACTGAAATTTCTTCTCTATATTAAACTTGTGTCGTGCGGTACTGTCAATTTAGTACTTTTTGGAAACACGCGCTGACGGGCTGGTGGGCTAATCAGCAAAAGCTACTTCTCGTGCTGCCCAAGTAACATTCCCAACTTGGGCCCCAAGTCAGAATTGATTTTGGAAAATCAGAATTAGGGCTCTGCAGTGAAAACTAACAAAACCAACCATGGCTTCAGTTTCTTAGCCAGCAGCTGCATTGAAGAACCCTACAATCAACGGCTGACGATGCTAGCTCCATTAAAAAATGGCTTCCATATTACAATACTCGCAAGTGTTTATGAACTGTGCAGAGAAGGGTGACTTGAAAAATGCAAAGAAGAGATGGAATATATTGCTGAAAAGTATGATGAAAGTTACTGAAAACTCAATTTAATCATCATTTTCAGTTAATTAATTTCTGTTGATTTATCTTTTTAAGCAGCCTGTTATTGTTTACATGTATGTTGATACTTGGATAGGGATATATTTTTGAATTGGTTGACATAGTTTTTTTCTTTATAACAAAGAACAAAGAATTTTGTGGTGAAATTGTTAGATATATTGATCAATTTGTCATCTATGATTGGATAGTGGTAAAATGAGAAACTTATTTTCTATTTTAAATATGATGAACATACAAAGGAGAGCCCATCAATGTTTTGAAAGACGAGGTGTAGAGGCGAGGCGTTTTTAGTTGAGTACGGAGAAGCATAAGTCTTGAAGTTTTTAGGCACCTCACGTGGTCTTCTTCTTCCTCTTGCAGATGCCCCTCGCAAAGCCATAAAGCTGCTCTTCACAGCACTTTCCTACACCTCACCGTTGACGCGCACGCTATGCGTGCAAATAGCTAAACAATGAAACGCCTGAGGTGATTTTCTCCCTCCTCGCTTCGACGTGCGCCTATACCTTTGAAAACACTAGAGCTCATGCAGAAAATGTTGTGATCCATGCCTTCAAATTTGATTATAAACTTTTGTATTGCACTTAGCATTAGCTCAATTGGGGGTTAACAACTTATAGTTCGGTATGGCTTGTTTGGTGCCTAGAATTGGACTGAATTGGATAAGTCGCTAAATCTAAGGTATGTTGAAGGAAATGAATTTTTTTTTACCAACTTGCAGGTAGAAGATGGATTACTTATAGATGGATTACTTATAAAGAAAACTTATCCCATCTAATCCCCACAAAATGATATGATTGTAACACCTTATAACTAATCCCTCATACCTTGAAATATAGAGAAGACAAACAATTTGGACAACAGATTTTAACTTAATTGATCAGAAATTAGTAGATCCTTTTTCTTTGGTTAGATATATTAATGAACTAAAATTTGGTAAAAAAACCCATGTTTTGACACAAATTATACAGTTTGTGCTTGTATTTTCAAAGAAGCTTTTACCCACAAGAGAAATGAATAATTCAAGAGTGAGGCAGAAACATATATGGTTAGGATAAAGAAATCATTCTCTGTACATGAAACAATTGGATGACAACCCTCTAAGTAAACATATGGATTACTTGGAGAAATGATCAAAGCATAATCATGATTTACTTGGACTCTTAATCCTCTATCAACACATTTAACAAGATGCTCTCTCTCTCTCTCTCTCTCTCTCTCTCTCTCTCTCTCTCTCTCTCTCTCTCTCATCACAACTCTCTTAATCCAAGTAAACAGATGGATTACTTGGAGAAAACCATAAAACCCATCAGCTTCCCACATAAAAATCAACAACTTCTAGAGCTGTATTACATATTTCTGTTTTCATTTTATTTTGCTTCCATGGTTACACTGCAACTTCATTTTTCATATCATAATTGTTCTCTTTTTGGATGATTGAAATTGTAATTATTATATATAAACCAATCCACACAATTAAGAACATAGCTGATCAATGATCATCAAGCAGCAGAGTAAATATCTGCAATCCTTCTCATCACCTTTACCTGAGTGTTGAGACACTTTATGTAATGGGCAGCCTCATCCAACAAGCTGCAAATATCCATGGCTTCCCCACCTGGCACAAACTTTCGAAGCTCATTCGCCTCACTATTAACACCAATCTCCTCACCATCCTCGCACTTCTTCTTCTTCTTCTTACTGTTATCAATTCTTCTGGCTGAGTACTTATAAACCCGCGGAGCCCCGTGGCTTCGAATCTTCGTAAGCAAAGCTCGGCTCCAAGCTCTTCTAGACCCAACAGCTGAAGCCATGGATGCATCAGCAGCAATCTTAATACTCAAGTATCTCCTACACATCTCCCTAGGAGAAGATACATTTGGTGACCTAGATCTTTGCCCGTGTATTCTCTTCAAGGCTTGAAGAAACCCTTTGGTGAACCTAGATTTCAAACTTGTTTTATGCCTCAAAGACAAGCTCTTTGGATTCATAGTGGCTAAGAAAGAATTAGGATTTTTGGGAAATGGGGTTTTGAAATTGAGAGTTGGGTGTTAGGTATATTGGACCAAAATACCAGCAAACGATTGGAGATATAGATTTTATTCTGACACAAAGGGTCCTCCTTGCTCTCAAAGCTCACAAGGACAAAAGGAGAATCATGTTCTGACACAAATGTCTGTGTGTTTGTGTTTGTGTTTGTGTTTGTGAGAGAAAGAGATAAAATTTGGGGGGTATAAAGAGGAAGAGAGAGACCAAGGAATCAATTCTTTAGGATACTACAAATAATTGCATATTAATTATTCTTAGGTCTTCTCTAGCTTTGGGGTTTTAGGAGGTGAAAAGTGGGTTTTGTGGGGTTGCTAAGAGCCAACCACCATATGAGAGCACATGGTTGCATTACCCCCTTGGATTAATTGTGGGGTCTTAATTTCCATTTCCTCTCTCTTTGTTCTTTTATGGATTGATTATATATACATTTCCTAGTAAATCGTTGCATACCTGTTTACGCCAACTTCGCAACATTTTTAATTTGTGTTTTTGGTCATCAGTGACCTAATGGTGGCGGCATGGGGTGGAATTGGTGATCATCATGCCACGTTCTAGTGACCAAGACTAAGAGCATCCACAATAGGCTCTCTAAACCACATTTTTAGACAAATTTTAGGGAGGAATTGTAAAAATGCAACTCCAACAATGCTCCCTATCCACCTTCTAAAATAGGGAGTCCTCTAGGAGCTCCTAAATCTGAGGAGAGAGAAAGGACTCCTAGTGGCTCCCTATAATTTAATGCTGATTTATTTAATAAGTATTTCAAACATTTATTTAATGCTAACTTTTTATTTTTATTTTTAATAGAGATGGACCAATCAAAAAAGAGTTATAGTATTTATGACTCTTCAAATTATGGAGTATGGTTGGAGTTGAAATTTTTTAGAGAGCTCCTAAAATAGCTTTATTATATTTTTAGCTAAATTTTAGCTAAGAAATAGAGAGCATCATTGTAGATGCTCTAAACGCAGTACTTTAGGGTACTTTATGTTTAAAACAACGTTAATTTAGAGACATAAATTAGGCCAATTGATCAGGATAGTGAGTTCACGTCTTTGCATCCAAATTCGAATCTCCTTCCTCCAAATAACGTTTTCAAGAACATTTACTTATGCATCGAAGACCGGTATTTGATTCTCAACTCCTCTAATATCATTTATATATATAAAACATACATACTAATGCATGAAGGTGTTGATGAAAGGATCACATGGCTCCAATAAGGATCATAAGAAATTAAATAAATCTTGCACGAATGTAGGACCGTTAATTATACAACATGAATCTTATAAAATCGTGATGTAATTAAGAAGGTTGACCGTTGCATAGTAAAAACTACTATAGCTATAAAAAAAACTAATAGTGCATTCCACTTCAATTCCAGCAGGCAGCCATCTATCTCTATTACAAAATCTTGGAGCATGAAAACCAATACATATCTAGTTTTTAATTTCCCCATGAAAGTGATGTTGACATTAATTTAGGGTAATTTATTTCCCTAAGGTCTTTTTTTTTTTAATTACTTTAATCATATGCCAAATTAAAAAGGACCTTAAATAACTTCTAAAGAACAAACTGACAGATATGCATGCATGCCAAAATGCACACTTGATTGGAGCTTTCAACCAAATGATCCACTGCTACACTTCGATCACTAGCAAAAATAAGAACATGGGTGGGCCTAGGTTACATGACATACCCTTCACCAAGCTCTCGAATTAGACTGATTAACTAACTCATAATTAGGCTTAATATTCAAATTTAGTTGGATCAACACATCTGCCTACCTCTCTGAATTAATTAGGGCATTGTTTGGACTTTGGACCACTAATGTGCACGCTGACTCAGTGTTTTGTGTGTGCACCCTCATTGAGCACACACACACACGAATATTTTTTATTATTTTTACTTTTGGTACGAATATTTAATTTTCTCACACAAGAACAAATATGCATTAGGTTGACATATTGCATAGATTAATTTTAATTTTAATTTCCTTCCTTTTGGTGTTGGCCAACAAGTTATAAAACTGGCTTTATTGTTTAATGAGCTTAATTAGACGCCTCCACAAACCACGAGGATCGTTATAAAATACTACAGAAATACGGCTATCTTTCATTACATTTTTAATTGTTGGGTTGTCATCACTTAGTCAAAAGCATATGCTCTATGCTCCTCTGCTTGCCTTTCCAAATGTGTAGAAGCTTCCACAGCTGGCTGTCGGCCATGCAATAGTTCAAAGAACAATATTATGGTTTACATTTATTCAGTCCAAATTAATGGGACATTTGCATTGCAGCAAGCTTATAAGCTAGCTCCAAGTTTGAGAAGTTACTTGAGGCTTAAGCTCCAAGCTTAACATATTTACATTATTTTATCTGACTGTATCTTAATTAACAAACTCTAGGGATTATCATTTTCATTGGCAAACAATATCTTCCTCTACATAACACAAACAAAAGGTCGATTATCGGGATATATGTTTACACTAGTTGAGTTAGCCTTATCATAAACCATCAAGGGAGTGAGCTATAGGTTTGTCTTTGTTATTGATCCAAGGGTTCTTTAATTTGAACAGGGAGCTTATCGCACGCTCAGTCCTTTTTTCTATCTTCCTATATATATTTGTGCACGCCTTATTTAGAGGTAACATATATAGGTTTAGACCTCATCGGATCACCTGAGATGGTCGTGCGTGATGATAATTGATGTAACGAGTACACATTAACTAACTCATTATATGATTAACTATAGTACTAGTATAGTTTAAAAATGTGATTCCCTTTAGCACATTTATTTACTTAAACCAAATTAAGAAGGATAAGCAAGGTTTGAGAGAGTGGGAAGAGAATCCAAATTCAAAACACTTGAGATATCATAACTTTTGTATTCGGCTCTACATCAGTAAGGTAAAGTTTTCATTCTCAAGTGTACACAGAATGCTTAGTTCGAAATATACTCAAACAAATGTATCTTAAAGCTCTCCAAGTCTTCTAGGACCCCAAACTAAAATGTCCGTAGCTATAGTACTAAACAAAACATGAGAGCTACATTTCGAATCGTTGCGAAATCTCCACGACTGAGGCATATGCATGCTATAGCTAAGTTTAAAAAAAAAATTATGATCTTATTTTTTCAGTTAATTTATAAACACATGTGAAGCAAGCAAGGCTGTCTACAAAGTAATAAGATTGATTTGTTTCCGTGACTAGTTTTGATTTGAATCGGGTGGTAGGAGAGGAAGGACATATCGAAAAGATATGAGTACTAATAACTGGACAAAGCAAATCACGGGTCACATGGATTATTTGACCAATCCCATCCTCCTGTACTCATCACGCCCTCTTTTCTTAAAAGAAATAAAGAAATTAGCGTATTATTTGTAGATGTATCTTAATTTGAAATTAGGATCCAGTCAATTTCTGTACCTGTTTATCTGCAATTCCAATCAAGAAATGCAATTTAAGAAGCTCAAAATTGAAATATCAAATAAGAAAAATTAAGATAACTACAAGACGCGATTGAAATATATATATATATATATATATATATATATACACACACACAAAAATATAAGAACAGAAGTAATAATTAACATGACTACATCTCCCCAATTTGACAAATAAGAGTAGTTCTTCATACCTTGTATATCCTCTTTCACTTTTATTTTATTTTACCATATCCAGATCAAGTACATAATAATTATACATCTCTTTTTTTGTATTTTTTGGTGTTCCTGTAAGGGATTTAGGGTCAACACTCAAGTAGTAGAGTAAATTGCCACAATTGTCCTCATCACCTTTACCTGTGTGGTAAGGCACTTCATGTAATGGGCTGTCTCCTCCAACAAGCTCCAAGTATCCATGTCTTCACCGCCCGGTACAACCTTCCGCAGCTCATGGACTCGCCCTAAACCCTCCACAACCGGCTTCTTCTGAGATCTTTTCTTCATGGGGTAGTGAGTACTAGTAGTACTACGACCAATTCTCCTCAAAACTCCGCCATTTCGTGCTTGGTTTCGGATCTTCCAAAGCAACTCCCGGCTCCAAGCTCTTCTTGTCCCTACAGCACAAGCCATGGATGCATATGCAGCAGTCTTAATTCTCCTATATCGTCGCTGGATCTCTCTTGAAGAAGAAGATGATGATCTGGGTTGATGCTTGTTTATTCTGGCTAGGGCTTTGAGCAAGCCTTTGGTGAACCTATACTTCAGTGAATTAGGGTTGGGAGAATTCATGGGATTCTATATATGTATATATATGTTTGTAGGGGGAAACAAAATTAGGGTTTGATGGAAGAGTTCAGTTGGGCTTGGGGGTACTTGAAATTAGAAAGCTAGAGGTGAACTTTTAGGAGGAAAGACAAATGAACAAGATAAGAGATTTTCTTCTGACACAAAGGGGTCCAGTTTGCTCACAAACCACCAGGACAAAGAGGAGAGAATTTAGTTTGAGAACTCTGACAACACTGTCTCTCCTTCAAAACTACCCCAAAACAACAGGAGATCTAGAGAGGGATAATGTGATTGGGCAATTTAAGGAAGAGAGATGATGAGAGGGAAATGGGAAAAGAAAGAGGATTTGAGAGTGAGAGAGAGAGAGAGAGAGAATATTGGAAATGGGAGGTGTAAAGAAGAAGGAGACTTGAAGAATCAACCTTTAATAAAATTAAATATGAATATTATTAATTAAATTAGGGATGGGGAGAGATAATGGAATTGAATAATAAGTTTATAGCCTCTTTCATTTTCAACATGAGTTTTGGAGGTGAAAAGGAGGCTTCGTGGGGCTACAAAAGGACCAACCAGCATATGAGCGCACATGGTTCCATTTACCCACTTGGTTATGGGGCCTTTTAATTTTTTTTTCTCTCTTCATTTTGTTCTGTTATGCATCTTTCTCTCACTAACTTGATGTTTATATCCCTCTCTCGGTATTATATTCGAACTTGTCTCCTTTTGGTTTATAAGCCAATGACATGATATACATATTTAGTGCATAGTGATGGTTGGTTAGCTATATATTGTGGTGGACGTATATGACATGATAGCAATGGCCGGCGGCCGACATGTAATGTTATGTGCCTTGTATGTCAAGTGTCACTTTAATTTTCTTCACATTGGAAGACAGCCGTAGATGTCGTTGAGGCTTCTAGTTTTAGTGGTAGAGTATTTTAACTCATAATATAATGTTGTTGAAAGAATTCAGACTCCTAAAACTAGAATGAATTCTTTCAACGGCATTATATTATAAGTTAAAATTCTATATTAAAAGTTTCTATATAGGAAAAGAGAACACGAACAACTCCTAATATAGGATTTGAACTAAATGAAATGACAACATGCTTATTGAACATTTCCCCTCATAAGTTTCAACTTTTCACTAAGATCCCATAAAAAGGGGAGCTAGCTACTGGTGTAAAAGTGTACTGCTTTGAATTTGATGATAAAGTATAGGTTTTCCGTTGATCATGTGAAGTGACAATATTTATGAGGAAAGTGAGAATTTGCAAATCGATGTAAGTTTTAGTATTATTTTATAACAATTTTAAAATCTAATTCGTTATGACTGCTGGTGACAAAAGTAACATTCAAAATTTGATCTTTTATTTTTTATAAATTAAAATTTTAATTTTATATTATAACTTATACATCATTGTTGAGTACCTAAGTTTTTTAAGTCCCTATGTGTGTGTGTGTGTGTGAGAGAGAGAGAGAGAGAGAGAGAGAGAGAGAGAGAGAGAGAGGCAGGTGAATTTGTACGTATAGCTCAGAGTGACCCCATAGCTAATAACACCTTCGCCACCCTAAGGGCTAGTTCGCCTAATATACGAATATGCTTGTGGTTGATTGAACCACCACGAATAACACCAGATGAAATTGATTGATCACATTTTATAATTATATTACCAATAATAATAATGCGATTCTTGATGCTTCGATTAATTATTAAGGGCGAAATCATGAATTTTTAATGAAGGCGTAAATTATAATTTTCTTTTTCACTTGAGGAACTATTGGGGTGAAGTTGACTAATTGCGCAATGGAATAACTAATTGCTGTTATTCTAAATATTTGTAAAGGATTGGAGTCCACTCTACTTTAAGGGCGGTTCCGCCCTACGTTTGTCATAATAATTGATAAAACATGTAAATATAAAGGGTCAGCCGTATTAAAAAGGCCTTGACAAGTGGTTTTACGTTTAAATCTCCATAACACCTTGACACTATATGTGCGAGAAAACCCCTTTCCCGTTCTTAACTATTGGCAACAACAAAAATGTTGACATAAATAGTTCATATGAACAGTTACATATTGGAAGATGCTGAATTACACTGTTCTCTGTGAGAAAGCAAGAAATTAAGGAGCGAAAATGGTGATCGATGTCTGTTTTGTGTGCCCCTCTCACGTCTCAACACGTTGAAAAGTTATGTCTTTTGTTTAATTTGTCCTTTGGGTCTCATGAAAATCCCACGGGACAACTGAAGATAGTTTAATTTTAATTTTAATGGCATGGCTTATTTTCCCCTGGAAAATAGAAAATATATGTATGCTCAAGTGAGTGATTGACAGAGATGCAAAACAAAAGGCAATGCACAGAGCAAACATGGAGTTTCTGTTTTGGCCTTCAATGGCAAAGCTTGAGGAATTAATATGGGGTGGGCCTGGCTTGCCTTCAAATGGCCATACACAAACCAAAGCTTTAGTATTAGACTTTAACAAACTCATAATTAAGCTGTGTGTGTTGAGATAATAAGCAGGATTATCCACATGTTGGTTATTTATGCATCTTCAATTTGCCATAGTCAGGACCACCACTGCCTTGTGATGAGTCACTCACAGGTGTCATCGTGGCTTCTACGAACAACAAATTTTATTCACTAAATGACGTAACAGTGTCTAATTGATGGTTTTTTTTATTCACCAAATGACGTAACAGTGTTTAGTTGATGTTCTATAATGACAAATAGACAATGACCCCATAGAAAATTTTGAGAACTAACATATTGAATTAGATCATGAACCATTTTGAGTTAATCCACTATCAAAGAAGGAGTATGAAAGCTTACCAAACCAAACAGAAACAAGTCCATGGATCTTATTTGTGATTGCTAAAAATAAAAAAAATAAAAACCTAACAGAAAATCCACTACAAGACTAAGACAGAAGAACATGACATGTCATGTCAAGTCAAGTGGCATTAGGTTGACCCCAAAAGGGCTTCTGTACAGCAAGATTTTCCACCTTTGTATCTTTGGCCAAAAAAAGAAATATAATATTCATCAAAGGCCATCAAACTGGTTGGTTATATTATTTGTTGCCAGATTAATATACAATTGCATTTTGAGCCTTAACCATATTGGTTGAAAGAAATGCTACAACAACAGAGGACCAGATAATCAAAATGTCATTTAAATAATACAAATGGGTAGGCTATTCACATATGCTGCCTGAACAAAATTTGGTTTGAGAAAACACTTCAATTCCTACTATTACATATATTGATTATTGCAATCAATTTTGCAATCAATTTTAACAGAAAAAATAAAAATAAAGGGAAGAGAAAACTCATGAGCTTAAAAATAGAAACTTGGTAAGAGTTTCCCAATCCTAGCATGTTTATAAATTTCCATGCTCCTCCATTGATGACTCAGAAGCAGAGTCATCAGTTGTGGAATTGGAGATTGTCTCCAGTTGGCTGGAACCCTCACTATCTGAAATCCCAGATGGTCTGTCCTCAACAGGTTGTTTCAAGAACCAGTACATTATGCTTGCAGTTAATGTAAGGATCATCTTTTGATTCACCTGACGAAACGAAAACAAAATTGTTCATCAGAAAAAGGAATTTATGAAAAGTTTAGTAGTTTAAAACAAAGCCAAGGTAATGATCCCAAAAGTACCTCAGTTATGTCTTCAGGAAGCAAAAATATTGAACATCCCAGCTTCCTTGCAATACTGATGATGTAGGTCGCATTCATCTTTTTCTCATCATCTATATTGTTCAGAAATTAAAGAAAACAACATAAGGCATCAAAGCAACAGACGAACTTGAAGAACTTAAATTTTTTACCACATGAAAATAAGAGGGAAACATACCAGTTACTCCTTTGGTAACAAGGCTCCAATTTACCACTCTAGGCTGCACAGCGCTCAGCAATTCAAGGAAGAAAGTGCCATCTGACAAACTCTTATCCTGTAAGATTGAAACAGTAACTTATGAAGAAATATATTCCTACTGTTTCATGCCAATGATTGGAAATATCAGGCAAAAGAAGTGCATTTTGTTTTTCTACTTCTTTTTTCATCACTATTATACATGAAATACAAATGGTACCTTAAAACTATTCATGCGGCTATTGCTTCTTGTGCTACTAACTTTGGTGTTGGCCCATTCCAGAATATCAGCATCAGTGATTTCCTTCCCATGAGAGTGAAATCTCAAGTTCTTTAGTAGTTGTAGGATGTTGTACCGCATCAATTGCCACAAATAAGCTGAAAAGTAAAAGCATATAATAAGCATACCAATAGTTTCCTGTGTTTTGAATGCACTAGCCATAAGCATTCCAGCGGACTTACCAAGTATTAACTTTTTATTCCCCTGCACAATATCATTTCCAGCAATATTTACCAAAGAAAACTTCAATTGTTTCCCGATTTTTACGACCTGATTGCAGTTTTCTACTTTTCTGAATGGCATTTTGATTGGAGGCTTGTTTGCAATCTTCCAATTGACAATGCCTGGTGAAATCTTGTCCAGGGACTCCAGAAGTGCCCACCTGCAGAGGACCAATTTCACTTCAGCTCCAGATGAAATTAAAGATCAATCAGTTTGAATAGCTAGCAATGTCTAACTGTGGAAGCACTTGAATTTAGTTTACATCAATTATGACATTTAAACAATTATCTCAATGTTTTTAGAAAATTTTAAAGTTTGGAATTTTGGTTTTGTTGTGATGTGAAGATACAAGCCGCCAGGTGCAAAACTATAATAAGTTGATCAGAATATGAATAACTTAGGTTCAGGAGGATAGACAAACACAGCGATATTAACCATTTATTATCATAAAAGTTCAAAACAAAATGAGTTTTTACCCGTTTCTGAGGTCTTCAAAGACATTATTGATATATGTCGAATTTCCGAGACTATTCATCCAGAAGCGAAATGCCCTCTCTTCTCTGGAAATTTGAGTGTCATCTGCCAAATTTTCAAGGAAAGATATCTGCTTTGTTTGGGTTGAGAGCCCATTCCTACAAGTGAATGAGTAGAACTTAGCTTTTTTACCACTATGAAAGTAGCCATTCTATAAGACTATAAGGAATACATTGCTCAAGTAGGGTTAATTCTCAATTCTCACCTATGCTGGAAAATATGTGCAACAAAAGCAAGGTTAAGGTTTGGGGATCCTTCAACAATATCTTTTGCAGTCAAGTATCTCTTGCATCCCATCCTATCTGCATGTTCAAGAACTAACTTTGCTCTTTCCAAAGGATTCTTTGCAGCCAATGCAGATGGATTACCGTGCTCAGGTGCCAGAACATTTAAGAGGTGAGCATAGGCCTCTGCATCCTGCAAGACAGACATATCTCATACCCTCAAACACAAGCAATATCCTTGCAATGTATGTCAAATCTATGTGACTGCACCTTTCCTATTTGCTTCTCTAAATAAACAAGGAATGCTTTGTCCATCAACCTTGACAAAGTATTAACTTATTCTCATACCTTGACATCAGAGGAGAAGTTTGTGACTATCTTTTTATATCCTGCTTTCTTCAGTTGGAAATTCATCCACCTCAGTAATATCTTCTCTGGTGGTAGACTCATCAACTCCTCCACATCCTGTTGATTTTGAAGATAAGAAGACATTAGACAATTTGTTGGCTTAAAACCTAGCCACTATCTTTTATGAATTAGGACGCTATCACCTTACTATCATCAACCAACTCCACCAATTGAGGTGTTTTCTTCAAGTTGAGGTCTGCCAGTAATTGTATCTATAGAGCATGACATTGGGAAACCGATGGCTCAGATATAGTTCATGAAATTTTACAAAATCAAATTTCATGCTGATGAACTTTATATCCAAACAAACTTAAATAAACATGAAAATCATACCTTGATAATCTGAGAAATCACTCCAAGAACAAGATGACGCTGAAAAGCAAACAATGAGGACAATATTGGTCAGTATCCATTGCAACTATGTATGGTTAAAACACTCCATTCAATTAAGCAGTAGCACAACATGTGCCAATTGTATAATGTACATGAAAAGGCATGTATGCATACCCTTCCTTCAATGAAATCCTGAGTCCCTATATTGACCACAGTGCATCCAACAGCTTTAGCTGAGTTGAGGCACAGAGTGTGATTTTCATTTCTCTCCCACGGATTGAGTACTCTCTTTGTATTGATAGCCCGTTCGTCGATTGTCCCAGGCACTGCCACATTGATCAGCTTACTGCATCCAAAGAAACACATCCCTCAAAATCCAATCCACAATTCCACAAACAAGTAACTCAACAACAAGATACCAAAAGTGGCAGTAATGAATGAACAATCAATCACCATAGAAGTACTCCATCCTTGACGATCTCGAATAAATCATTGGTTGATGGATCAATAGGAAGGTATTTCTTTAGGAAATCATCCTGTGCAAGGTAGTTATTGATATGGGCAACATAAGAAGCCTTCTCCGATTCGCTGATTGTATGAAGCAAAGTGGTGGTTGCAGCCTTGAGAAAAGCAGATGAGGAGTTGTTCTTTCCACCACTTCCTGTTGTAGCAGTGGCATGAGCTTGGAGTTTCAAATAAACCTGCCATTTTTGCAAACTTATAAAACCACATTTTCGAATTCAACCAAGATGAAGATGGGTCTTAAAATCAATAACTTGAGCTTCAGTTTCTTCAACAGTTCAAATTTATATGCATTATCTAATCAATAAACATATAATAAACAGGGCATTCAGCATTATTTAGTTGATTGATTGCCAATTGGGTTTGAACTTCGAAATTAAAGGGTAGAAACAGACCCTGAGGAAGAATTCAAAATCGACATCTTCATCAAGGTTGGGATGCAAATCTTGAATGAAAGAAGTCCTGTCTTGGTCAGTGAGATTCTCTGATCCCACAACTTTGAGCCTTGACATCTTGGCAGGCAAGTCTCCAAGTGTGAGCTTTCCACTGTCCCTCTTCATGCTCACAAACTTCATCACCATCATCACACATTTCCAACAACAAAAATTGTCAATAAAAAATAAAATAAAATACCAAATGCTGAAAGACAGGGACAATGAACATACATGGGATTTTAAGCTGCGGAGCTCGACTTGGGTGAACTGGTTCTGTAGCCATGGATCTGAAACCAGAATGCCAACATAACCCGACATTTTTGGAGCTACCCAGAAGAAAAAGATGAAGGATTGAGCTGAGCTTAGCTGAAAGCTGAAATCTTTCACTCTTTCTCTTTGATATCCCCACGAACCCAAGTTTTATTTAATCGATTTATGGCTTTTAATTATTTGAAGTTTGAAACTTTAGAGCAGAGGAAGCAGTACAAGTAGGAGGAGGAGGCTCAAATGAGGGTGGCCAAACACTCAACACAGTTGGGTCGAGGCAGAGCTGTCACACTTCAAAGTTGCTTCCTTTGAATGAAGATAGAGAATTCAAAATAATGACCATCATGTCCAACTATGGAGGAAAGGAGAGGGGACCCACAAACACATTGTCGTTGGAGAATTCAAATTATGACCAAAATGTCCTCATCCTCGTCATCCTACTACAGTTGGTGTTACAGTTTCAAGTTTCAACCGTTACAAAGTTCAAGTTTTGAACTTTGATTAATAAACAATTAGGCCAACATGAACATTAAACAATTTTAATTAGCAAAGTTTGATACAGCTTAGAGCTAGCTCAGTTGGGCTTTCAGTTGTTTTACTGTTTCATTAGTTATTAGTGATTGCTCAAAACTGCAACAGCTCAAGCTGGGAATTGAATTAAATATTATTATTAATGTGGTCGATCGTTTATTTGAAGATATATATACATGGATGATATAGGCATTTGCCAAATTAGGGGACCACTCACACCACTTGGATATAAAAGTTGGTTTGCCTTTTAAAAAAGCAGAGCTGATAAGACAATGGCTGTGTGGATATTCATATTTGACAGGGCTCAAGCATTCTCAAATTCTCAGTGAACTTGTCAAAAAGATTATAAAAAAAATGCCAAACAGAGCACATGAGGTAATTGTTGTAGGAAGGTGACCCTTGTGTGAGTGTGAGAGGGCAAGAACAAGAGGAGTTCATTAATTTGCAAGCTACATGTTGGGTAAGATGTATGTGATGACTTTGAGGTGTTAAATGTGATGTGATGCATTTGGACAAACAACCCTTGAGATTTATTTTTTATTTTTTATTTTCTGCGTTCCCTTTGTTAGATTATTGTATCCAATTTTCAAATATGCGTCAAGAATTTTATCGCTTATTTATTCGTTTATTACAATAGAAGAAAATCGAACTCTTTACCTAAACACAGTTGGACCACCCCCCAAGAGCTTCACCATTTTAGCTTACGTTGATACATGCTTCCGACAAGGTAGTCATTTCACCAATTAATTGGTGATTTATAAAGTTTGTATGAAAAGGAAACAAGAACAATAACTTTTTATCTTTTGAACCTTCTTTAGTTGTTAACCGAAAAATGAACAGGCCATGTTTCAAAAAGGCAGGAAGAAAGGTACGCACCTTCCTCCAAAACATTAACACAATGCCTCACTTGGTTGGTTGGTTCACTTGTAATCCCTTTTTTTGTTTGTGATGAAATTTACTTGTAATCTTAGGACATGACAAATGATAAGGTTCCACCTTTTCTTTATTTTCCTTCTCTCAACCAAATTTTTCTTCGACCAAAAATCAAAACCAAATGATAAGTTTCCACTTTTTATTTCTTTATTCATGTACCCGAGTTCAATAGTATAGATTAGATTATATTAAAGTAGAACATCTTTTATTGTATCAATAAGAATTATGACTACATAAAGGAGATTTTTCGAAGACATAATGATGCACCGCCGTTGAATTTTTATCTTTATGGGTTCTGGTACTAGAAAGAAGTAGTAAAACCAACTTCAATTCTCGTCATGAATTACCTCATAGTCATAGGTCAGAGTAACTAGTATATACCTTCTCCTTTCGAGTCTTAAAATATGGTGAAAACCCATTTAAATTAAGCATGTGAAATGAAGTACAAAAAATTCATCCAGAGAGCATAGTCATATTTGGCTTTTCATTCATAATCATTAAGCAGCTCAATAATCACCATATAATTAATCAAATACTCCTAATTCAGTCTCTTATAGGGAGCATATACTAAAGTGTAATCAGATTCGTGGGTCATAAACTTCCATATTTCGTATAGTTTTGAGGCACCAATCTGCAAAGACGGTGCAGGTGGGCAACTCTGCTTTTTATAATCCAAGCTAATCCCATGAACAAAAACAAAGAGATTTTGCAAACAAGAGAGCATGGGGGAGGGCCAAGATTGGTAGGCGTGGTGCCAAATCCAAGTGGGTAGAAAAGTGTATATACATTTCATATCATATTTGCTTTACACAAAAGGCAAATAAAATTCAAAAAAATAAAAATAAAAAAGGGCATGAAGAGGGCATGGGAAATAGCTTTTTAAAGAATAGGGGGGAATGTGGATCAATCCTTGCTGTGTTTGCTTCTACTTCTCAAGGCATATGAATGATTACCAAGGAGGTCCACTGATGTGTGCACTGATGCAAGTATCAAAATCCATACTTGTGGGGCCTTACCACACATGGTGTTGCACTAGTGTATGTTTATTGGACTCTTGAATCTTCATCATAAGTTTTTCTGATTCTGGGTACTTTCCTTTCAACAAAGTATGATTTCAGGCATACTTGTGTTTGATTCCTATTATCATTGGCAACAGATTGGAAAAAAGAATTAGTTTTATGAATTTCACTAGGAAAGATTGGTAATTTCTAGACTGAAGCTAAATAAAATTCTCCGTTCAAATGGCGCGTGATTAGGAAAAAAACGGAGATGGTGCACCTACCATAAAAAGTTCAAAATGCTATCTCCTGAAGAGCTTCAAGTGTCTTCTGATGAACCTGTATGTGAGACAAGGGAACAAAATGAATTGATTTTCCGGAAGAATGTGGGATAACATGGCTATAAAGTGAAGGAAATGATTGTGGGAAATGATATGGCAAGCTATTTCCACACCATGACTTCCTCAAGCAAGCTACGACATATCTTACAAATAACTTCTACGACTTCTTCAAAATAATAATTAGATAGAAAACTTTCGAATAAAATTGAAGACAGTAATTCTTTTGCAGTAGAATTAAAAGCACAACTTTTTTAAGCTTTTGAAAGAAGAAGAAACTTTACCCATTCTAGATGTTGTGCGGTGATACCAGAGACATTTCCTGCATATATACCACCTAAGACCTGGCAAGTTCAAGTCCAAGCATGAATCAGGAATTTAGAGTGAGATTGCTGCATATGTCAACTCAATCAGAGTGGCTCAAGCCCATTTAATCTCATAGATGCTCCAGAGGGTATGAAGTATCTTTTAGATTAGAAGCACCAAATATAGATATTGTCCTGAAATGTAACGTTACCCAACTCGACCACACCATGGTCGTTAGACATCCTCAGGTCCAGAGGGCTTGAAATGAATGTGTTACAAGTTAAATAGGTGAATCAAGTAATTCTTACCTTGGAGACAGTCTCAAGAAACATGCCAGGGCGCACAGGAAGGGCTTTTCGTCCTGTAACGCTTTCCTGGGAATGATGATGAATGAGTCAACATAATATGAAACCGAAAACTATTTTGACACGTGTCGGTGTGTGGGTTTGCACACGCAGTTCCCTGTTGAAACAGACTTGCCAACATACACACATTCTAGTTATGGACTGTATTATACCCACCCTTCCTGCAATTCCACTCGTTCTACCAGTGGTATCTTCCTCATCACTGCTAGCATCATCAGCACCTTCATTTTTTCCTTCCATTACATTTTTTATCATCTCCTGGACGGTCTTCCCCGGTTTCAAAGCTACAAGTTTGGTTAAGAAGTTCACCTGCATTGACAGGAATCTTAATCATGCCAAACCAATGACAGAGGATGATGGTAACAACTTAAAATAAAATTTTCCAAACAAAGATATGGGCCAATGAATCAACCAGGTATCCTGTAATCTTTTTATAATTGCACAAATACAGACCTCGGATTCTGGAAGAGTGTTAAAGCCACGATCATTTCTCTCATCTAGTAATCCACCTCCCATCATATTCCGAGCTTCCTCTCTGATTAAAACAAGTCTTGCAAGCAGTTTTCGATCTGGAACTACAGCCCGAGTTTCCATTGTCTTCCAAAAATGAAAATAGGTTTATATTAACTTGAATTATTAATAAAACAAAGTACAAATACACACTTCACGAAACAAAATAAGACATTAAAGCATGAAAAGACCATAGTTAGTGCTAATGAATATCATTACATATTACAAGTATAGTGTCTGTAAGCTAAAATTACTATTTCTTCGTTCCAACATTTTAGAGCAGTTCCAACAATCCCAAGTAAACCAAATGACAGAACACAACCCTAAAGAGGGGGAAATTTGCTGCTAGTGCCCAGAATGATATGCAATCATCAATAACCAAAAAAGCATTTATGCAGAAGATAGCATTTTCAGTGACTACCTCCAGTATATCGTCAGCCTGGTTAGCAATATCATTAAGATTTGCAGCTGGAACATGAACTTTTATGTCATTCTTACTTTTGAACACACCACCACCTGCAGCCACTCTGCGTAGTAATTCCTGTCTGCTTTCTTTCTGAGGAGTTCTACAGAGCAGGCCAACCACTTGAACCTAGAAATAAATAATATAAAAAAGTAAAGTAAAAGAAACTAGAATCCAATAACCACAATTCCCTAGACTAGCCATTACTCTGAAGCAATAATCAGAAATTTGCTTTAAAGAAAAATCCTTACATGTGGGGGGCATTTTTTCGTAAGATAGGATAATACGGTCTCCTTGATAACCTCCAATAATGACTTGCGCTGAACATTGACGATCAAAACAGTCCTTGAGTAAATAATCCATAGCTAAGTTTGGTCACAAGAGATTAAATCATACGACGACATGGTGTATTTGAATGTTTGACCAAAAAGCAGCCAGCTTTACGTCGGCTAGATTTTACCTAAAAAACAAAACTATTGCAAAATTCAAACTGCAGCAGGGCTAAAAAGTGCGTGTAAGTTGCCACAAAAGCTCGTGTACTGAAATTGAAGCTTGCAGCCATGAATAGTATCATAGCTGCTGCTGCGATGAATTATGAAGAGGTTCAGTTTCCAGCATAACGTGGCAACAATGGGCACGAAAACCAGCTTTTAGATAGTCTTCAGCCACCAAGACCCATACATACCACAAAACCTAAACTTATGTTACCTCCTCTCTCCTGCCCTCTTCCCCACAAAAAGAAAATGCATCATTCATCATTCTTAGCATTATATTACAGAAACTAATTAGTGGTGCCAATAAAAAGGAAGCCAGAAAAACATGTATCGTCAAATGAAGGTACACATACAATATCAAATGTTGGAACATTAGTATAGTGCAAGAGACCAAAGATCACATCGATGTGCATGCCGAAAAAAAGTACAGAAATGATAGGATGTGGTTGACTAAAACTTGATAAAAATAACGGTTAGCGTGTGTTCATTGCTCAATCTTGTCAGATCAATCTAAGTTGGGGCAGATTAGCTCACATTAAAGCTAGTGTGATATGTAAAGTTGAAATAGAACCTTATCATCTTGGTCATTCTCAGCAAGTTGGATCATGTAATCTAGCGCCATCATGAAACCCGACTCCATCTCATCAACTCTCTTCCCTAGGACCCCTTGTGCAGCTATTTCCACTGCCACCTCTTCAGATGCCTCATCCATGTTCATATCTTCCAACTGTACATGTACAAAACTAGTAATCAGTAAAATGAAGCATCAGTACGCTCGTGATTTCAAAACAAAGAGCAAAAAGAGATATGTGCAGATGAAACGCAAGCAACCTCCAGATAGTAAACAGCTGCATAATCCAATTTCCGCAAAATTAGCCAACAGGGCAGTTGATGCATAGCAAAATATATCATCATTTTGATGAAAACCATATGAATTCCACATTTACAATAGGTATTTAAATTAACTGAAAATAATACAAAATTTGACTCAACTAAGCCTTATACCAAATTATCCATCATTTCCTTCTCTACCAATTTCTCAGCAACCAATCTACAGAGAGAGAGAGAGAGAGAGAGAGAGAGAGAGAGAGAGGAGCAAAAACTTACAAGGGTGATCATCTCTTCAAGAACAGAAGTGACTTGGTCACCACCTTTGAGAAGAGCTTCATACTGGGCAGTGTCCAATTTTGAGTTGCCTTGCTCTTGGGTAGTTCTACTCTTCTCTTGCCCACCCAATTCCTCATCTGGGTAGCCTCCACCCACCTCATAAGTCCCACAGAATCGCAGCATCTGCCTCTTCTTCTTCTTGTTGGGTTGCTTTGCTTGAAACTGAGGTTGGGGCAAATTGTTGTGGCGAGAGCACACTGTGGTGAATGAAAATGAAGGGAAAGATAGGAGAGAAGGAGAATTAATGATTGGGTTTAGAGTATGTGCAGATGGGTATGAACAACCGGGAAACATGTTGCTGCTCTGCAACATTTTTTCTTCTTGTTTGGATTCTATGGTTTTGGGGTTTTGGATGGGTTTTTGTGTTAGAACCAGAGATGTGATAAAAAAAATAAAGCCAAAATAATAAACTCGCCGTCTGTGGGAATCGAACCCACGACCACACGGTTAAAAGCCGTGCGCTCTACCGGCTGAGCTAAGACGGCTCTTGTTATTTTGTCTGCTTGTGAAAAATATGAATAGTTTAATGTTCTTTTGGTGCGCTGGCATCATATGAAATTCCAAATGACGTTCATCCTCATATGCTTCAATATAAATAAACCATGCAAGAGGTAAAAGAAGACGGAAGAATCTGAAAGTAGAGGAAATAAAATCATATTGCCATATTGGACATGCATTATAAGCCTAGGCAACAAGTTTTGGAGCAAACCATGTGGCATGGTTTGGGCTTATACTGGCAACTTGGCAAGAAAATGGAACAAACTTGCATATCAAATCATTTGCTTCTTCAACTAAGCTTCCGTCCATGGCCAGCCCTACTCACTTTTCGGCATCGGTTTTATTAGTAGTGAGAGCTTAGAAGAAAGATAGAAATGCACCAATGCAGCATTGTACTATGTATTTTTGTTTTCACTTGTATTTTGATTTGTGTCTTGTTTTCATGCATCATTTGTCACTTTCATGTAATTGATGGTGTTGATGTCAAAATTTGATCCTCGTTCTTGAAACCGTAAGTGGATAATCATTCAGAGAAGATAGGTACAAAGTTCACCTAAGTCAGACTGCATTCACGACCAGTGATTTTATATCCGATGTCGAAATTTACATGAGAAATGAGAGAGTCATAAATGAGAAAGAGAACTTCTTCAAAATGAACGAGCCATCTAATTTTTGGGCTTCAATATTGGATTTGAGCTCACCCCAATTAGTTAGGCCAACCACACAAATAGATTGAAACCCAATGGGCCAAATTACAGCTAGTTCTGAATAGTACTAATAATATACATATTTCGGGGTTTAATTAGACCATTAGAGTAATTAGCCCAATGATTAACTGTTAGAAGCTTTTTAATCACCTCCCAGAAATAACCATGAAGTAACGTTTGATGGGTTGTCTCTAGTTGAGAACTTGCGAATCTGTATGGGAGCTTACCCTGCGCTGCCAAAAGGTGAAGGCATCAGTGGTAATAATGAGTAGTTGGACAGTGGTGAAAAGGTAAAAAGTAAAACCACCCAAAGCCCGGATAAAAGTGAAGGAGGCATCAGAGCATGTATGTATCATGAGTTTTCATGACCCTACCCCTGCCCAATATTATTATTTTAATTATGCGAAAACCCATGAGAAACTAGTCAGAAATCCTTAACCAGACAGTTTGTCAGAGAGGCCTGGGAGGGGAGGACGGAACGGGACCAACATGCATATATTAACACATAAAAAATACTCAACAATTGCCGACATACAACATTCTTCTTCAAACTAAACAAAAAACCAAAAACGCATATGGAGAGTGTACAAATTAACAATTGAATGTATATTAGTTGTGATCATCACATCGTCATGTGTTGTTATTAATATATTCATATTGGAATACATTTATTTATATATTAATAGTATATGTTTACCCGATTGTGTGATTATATTGTTTGGTGACTCGACTTGGACTTAATTGAAATTGAGTCCAAGCTAGTTTTACTGAGTATTACTCTTCTTAATGAAACTTGTAAGACACAATATGTTGGATTGTTGTATAATTTCAACCTACCAAAAAATAATCGGCACTTCTCAAATTTAATTGAAATAGTCTAATTCAATCCAACACATCAAATGTGGAATACCTAAGCTAAGACTATTTCACATTTTGGTGAAGGGGTCAACGAGCATAATAAAATAACCAAAATGTGACCCTTTTGTTTTGGGCCTTTGCTCCCATAGTTCCTTCTTGAGACCCAAAATATAAAACGTTAAAAGGGCAAGGATAGAAGGTACGGATTTTAGGCACAGCGTGGACGATTATTTTTATTTTATTAAGGTCTCCATAAATATATGATCTTTTTGTATTTACCCCAAAGGTCATGAGAAACTGAACAGACGGAGAGAGACGGTCGATATCCTAATCCAACGGTCCAAACACACGTGAAACCAAAATGCAAATCCTTTTGAATACGCGACACGCCAAGGGGTAAAAATCCGTAATTTACCTCCACATTCAAGGGTAACGTCGTTCCCGAACAATTGTTTAATACCCGATGTATCCTCACCCCAACGCTTGCGCTTCCCCGCTTCTATAAATTACCTGCCCCACTCCATACCCAGACCCCACGCCTTTTTCATTTTCATCCATTCTTCTCTCTGGTCTTCTTCTTCGTCTTCTTCTCTCCTAGGGTTAGGGTTTTCTCTGTCCTTTTCTTCTCAGCTTTTGCTTTTTCACTCTCTGAGCTTCAATGGCACAGCAAGACGTCCAGAACGGAGAAAGCGAGAAGGTCGCGTCAGCTGTTGAGATCAAGGCGGTGCTGACTCAGCTGGTGGTTCCCAAGGCCGACGACGCTGTTAAGTTCTACAAGGCTGCTTTCGGTGCTGTGGAGCTCGAGCGCTCAACTCACCCCAAGCGCAAGGCAGAGCAAGAGCGCCCGCTTATCCTTTCTGCTCAGCTCAAGCTCGGCTCCTCCACATTTCTCGTCTCTGACAACACTGAAGACTCCGGCGAGCCGTACGTCTCTCTTTCCCTCTGCTTCCTTTACGCTATGTTTGAAATACTTGTGCTGTGCTGTAGTATTAGATCCTTTTAGATCCACATGATATGATAAGCTGAAATAGCATTTAAATGAGTTAACACATACTATTTCATTGTGTTCTATTATTTTTTTTGTATTTGTATTTTTATGTTATTTTCTTTTATTTTTCTCTAATTTTTAAATAATATTTTCTCGTATTTCTACTTGTGTTTTCATTTTTATTTTCTGTTATATTTTATCTTAACCATTCTTAAAATATTTATCAAATAACATTGAGATGCTATTTTTCTTCTGTGTGTGTTGTTGTAACCAACTTGTGGTCTGCAAAAATTAGCTAAAATGATAGATCTAACTATTTATACTCTAGTTCTTGATTTTAGCTCGAGTCGTCTGTGGTGCTTGTGGAATTTTTGTTGAGTTTTAGCCAAGATATTTTATTTCCAGATTTTAAGATGTATAATAATTTATTTTTGTTCAAACAGCGTGAATGTTGTGGGTTCTGGTGCCATTGCTCTCTGGCTTGAGACGCCTGACATCGGAGCTGCTGTAGCCAAAGCCGTGCTGGCCGGAGCTGTCTCTGAGGGAGAGATAACAACTGGCGTTTTCTCTGACCCGGAGCAGCCTGTGGGGAAGGTCAGGGACCCTTTCGGCTTTCTCTGGTTCTTCACCAGCCCGGTTGCCAAGAAGGCCGCAGCTGAGTCGGAAGCTCCGGTAACCGTCTGATCTGATCTGAAGTTGACCCAATCTCATGAAGATCCACGGTTCTGGTGTAGTCTTTTGGTTTTTTCTTTGGTTTAATCAAGTTGTGGGACCCTTAGCTGTTAGGTTTAGGCTGATCCTAGGCGTAGCGTAGCTTGCCTTCAATATTTTGAACGATTAATCATGGTCTCGGGTTATTTTGAACAAAGGAAATATGATATGATCAGTATTATCTTATGACTTCTAATTTGTTTTTTATTTTATTGTAAGTATTAATTTAGTTTATGCTAATTATTATGAACATGCTTCATTTTCCATTTTCTTGTTTAGTGACTGACTGTTCATTGTAATGGCAGTGTTCATGGGTGGGTAGGTCTTTGCAGTTATTACGCCGTTGACAGGGATAGGGGTAGTTGTGACATTTCTGTTGATCTTCTGTGGATATTGGTTAGCTTTGTCTTCATATTATTATACTCGATTATTCAATACGTCGTTGGGCGAATGAGAAACGAGGGCTCTGTCGCATTCGCTTAGGGTTAGTACTGTTTTCAGAGAAAAGGAAGTTGGGTGGGGCTTGTGGCTAGACGACGACCTTCATGCTGGTCGTACGGCAAACCATTGTGTCGTTTGCCACGTGTCTGTAGAATACAACTTTAGGTATTTTTATAATTTTTTGTGTAGAGCTAGAGTAGTGTGTGTTTGTTGGGGGATTGAAAAATCTGGTTGGGCATGGCGGTTGGATAAGAGTGAGTCCCAGTGGTGGTCCCGGAGAGAGAGGCTTGGGAAATCGGAACAACATGTAGCAAATGAGCAATTGGTATGGCTGGAAGCCATCCATGTTCGGAGTCTCGTAAGTCGTGAGGCCAATCCCTTGGGTAATCATTTTTTCTTTGGTAAATTGATAGTATAGTGGTAAATTGGAAGTATAGTGGTAAATTGAAAGGGACGTGAAATTATAATATTATTAACGTTATGTTGGTAATAATTATCAATTAAAAATTGGGGAAGTTGGTACTTCATAAATTCTGGTCACGTATATTATAAATTTATTTTTAGTTATAATATGTTTGGTCGACATCTCATTTAGGTTAGTGCGTATTAAGAGAGAGCTCTAAAGTTCAGGCTTTTACCTTTATATTGTTTGTAATTTGCAATCCTTTACTCGAATAATAACGCTACGAGCACCAACTTGTTTATTCACTTATAAATATCAACACTTGTGACACATGATATCAACAGTACGAGCACCAACTTGTTTATTCACTTATAAATATCAACACATGTGGCACATGATATCGCAGTCTATATTATCTGCCAAATAAGAGCCCCTGCATTTCCTAATGGAGCCCATATGGGCTTGAATTGAACCTTATCCGCAGTTAGGTTTTTTAATTCCTTTTGTAACCCAAATGGCCCACAACCTAAAAGTGATCAATCAGGTCATGCTTAAATAGAAACTACGGTATGGTCATAGTTTAAAGCCTATACTTTCTCATTCATTCCCATAGGCCGAGAAAGAGTTTGATATAACCAGTAGATGCATTGCTCGTCTATACCCCAAAGTTTAAAGTAGAGAGTATGAATAACAAGAAGTGCCCTAGTTAAGTAGGTCATGATCCATGCTCCATGATCTTAAGGATAGGCGTGTTGCTTCCACACTTCACATTCATTTTCTTAAACAAAATATAGAATTCATTAGACAAACCAATTACACTTGAAAAAAAGAAAAACAAAGATACAGACAAGCTTAAACCACACCACAACACGAACACACACACACACACAAAAGATTGAAAACAAATATTTGATGTGGATGATTAGCTTAGCTCCTAGCAATCGGCAGGAGGGGTGAGGTTGCACTTAGGAGGAAGAGCCATGGCAAGGACAGGGTCGATGCCCAAAGAAGGCAAAAGAAACGAGTTCTTATATCCACACAGGCATTTCAAGTCAGCTCCTTCGAGAGCCTTACAGCACTCGGGAGTTGGCTTCTCTGGGTTTGGCTTCTCGGGAGTTGCCTTTGCCACCGCTGGCTTGCAAGAAGCTAAGCCTTCATCGCTCATATTGCACAAACCCAACACTCTCGACCCTTCGAGCAACACAGCCATTGCCACCACCAAAACAAAAACCAACTTGAAATTTCTACCCATCGTGAACTTAAGATAGTACTGCCAATATTAATTAGGTTTAAGAAGTTAAGTGTAAAGCTCACTCTTTCTGGGTGTCTTATTTATAGAGAACGTGAGGAGTTTTTGAAGCCACAAAATTTGAAGCCCGTGAAGGAATTTTGGCTGTTTTCTGAGTCACGGGGAGGTTCGTCTTCCACATAGTTTAGTTTTTTTTGTGTGGGGGGGGGGGGGGGGTGTGGTTTGGGTTGTCATCTGTGGGTCGAGGGGAGCACACAGACTGGTTTAAGTGGGCTCGTGATTGGCTTTTTTAAGATATGCAGGGGAATAATTAGGGTTGTCTTTTTGTATTTTGTGTTGGTTGAAACTTGGAAATTATGAGATGGGTCAATATTCTTGGTTTGATGCTCCTATTGGTGACCCTAGTTAACATGATCAATTCTATAATTTGTTACTATATATAATCATATGCATGGTTGCAGTTTATTATATACTCAAATTTTCACTATCGAGAGTTGTCTTGAAGTGGCATGATTGGAAACGCTTATGTGTGTGATCATCTCTCTTCAACGAACTTTCAGAAAACAAGAGTTTTTTATTTTGGTTGAAAAAAAAGGGGTAGTTAGACTTCCTTCTTCAAAATCTGGTTGATTTTTTATATTAATTCTTTGATTGGGTAATTGAGTTTTGATATTGAATAATTCTTTGATTACATATATTGTTTAGAATCTTTTTTAATTAACTAGAGTTGAGGTTTCGAACTTAGAACATCTTTTAACATTGAAAAGAGAAATACCACTAAACTGAGAGCTAGTTGGTACGTGTATTATTTAGAACAAATACATATACTGTAATTGGCCACTCGTGTGGGTTAACTTTCATTTTTAAAGTCATCATGGAAAAATTCACTCAAAACGAAATGTGTTTACTCATCTAATTAGTTACCAATTAACAAAAAGGATGTAGAGTCTTCAATAAACAAGGAAAAGTTCATGAAAATAATCAAATATCTAAATAATTTTTTATTTTGATAAATAATGAAGATTTCTTATCATGACATTAAACTGTGGAGTTGACCCAAACAAGTAGTTGTCGTTGTATTAACATATACTAACTTGTTTAACGCTTGAGCGCTATTCTAGTATATGCATGTGTACAAAATTATAGATATCAATGAGTATATCAATAGGTATACCAATGTACCTACGTATATAATGTGCCTGCAATTTCGTATTTACAGATATTTTCAAACCTAATTAAAAAGACTATAATAAAAGTTTAAGCTAAAACCCAACTTTCATAATAGAAAATCATCTTATTTAAGGACGAAAGTCTAATTTTTCTAATGAAATTGAGTATAAGCTTGACGACCCAAAAGAAAACAACTTTTGAAGAACTTCAGTAATTGGGCCTAAGTTGTATGCATTCGCAGTTATTTTAGTTCCATATTTGGGCCGTCTTAGTCGTTCGGCCGTTTCTTAGTGCATCAAACGAACATCTGTTCGAACCACTGTGTGCAATTTTCTGTCCTGTGCTTCTGCAAGCTGCAAACTGAGTTGCAATTTTCTCTCTTTAAAAAAAAAAAAATAGAAATAAAAATGTGGACCATTTCTCTCTTCTGAAGTCGAATTAACACTTTTTTATTTTCGAAATGTAACATTTTCTTTTGGGAAAGGGTTAAACTCGACAAACAAAGACTAAGTAGATACTAATCTAGGTCAAGCAACTCTACAACCATCATAGAAAAATTAATTGATTCACACCATAGAATGTTGAAGAATGTAAAATGTCACACCGAAAAATTAATATATAAGTGAGCGGCTCCATTAGAGCATTTTCATCTCAGCAATCTAGCCCAAGTAAAAAAATTGGAAAATATCAATGTAACTTTTATATAAAAAAATTTAAAAAAATTCAGAAATATTTTTTTATACATACCTAGCAATTTTTATTTATTTATATTAATCTCATACATATATATAAATCTAATGGGTGAAAAAGCAAAATAAAAAAGAGTAGGCCAATCACTATTCACATGAATAATGTCTGCCTTTACTCATCATTGCCCTTTGTCATGGCAATGGCACCATGCCACCATGGGTGAAAGTGCTCTTACGAATAATACTAATGCCTTTTGTGATAAAACTCACATATATTGGATTATACAAATGATTTAGATAGAAACAATATCGTTGTTGAATCAACTAGTAGTGAGTCATCCATCCGTGCCTATCATACCTTAACATTCTAGTGTAATGAGCATTTATTTGGGATGAACAATATTACCATGAAGCTTTAAAGTAGACAGAGCGCGTTTGAACCCAAAAAAAAAAAATAGACAGAGCGCTTCAGCGTGGATGAGTCGTGGGGTACATAGAAATTTGAACTGCAAAATTTAATAGGTTAGGCTAGTATTAAATTGCATCCACCGTTCGAGAGTTTGATGGAAATGCATTTAATGATGAGGTTTCATTTATAATTGCAGGAAGAAAAGCAGTATTCACGCATATGATTTGAAAACTAAATGCATATGATGGGTAAAATTCAAGTAGGTTTGATGAATAATTGCATGAAGTAGTTTGCAGAAAATGCATCTAGCAGTTAAAGTTGTGAATGAAATTTGAAAAATGAACAACAAATAATATAAAATGTGTAGCACTGTTAGTTTTTTATATATAAAAAATACAAGCGATAGTAAACTATAAGGGGAGGAGGTTTTGTAACACACAACAACTAGTAAGGTGCCATAAGGGTTCGAACATGAGATTACTGATCTACAAGTCAATGTTATTTTTCACTCGACACATATTTATAAATAAATGAATAAAATAGATTTGTGGATTTGTGAGTGGTTTTCTTCGAAGAAAACAAAAGCAACAAACAACTTGGAATTAATCAGATTCCCCCAAAATCAAATTGGATCAACTGGCTAATGATTAGCAGACCAGTAATGAGACATTAGCTCATCAACTTGATGGCCTGCCTAATCAATGCTTTCTATATAAATACATTCAATTAGAATGTTGCCTTTGTAGTGGTGTTTAATTAAACCCCAATTATATAAACATGGCTGACTAATCACACAATTAACAAACGAGAACGATAATGAATAAAAAGGAGTAAAAGAAAGGGACGGGGAATAATTTTTTCATTTCTGGAACACTGCAAAAACCGCTTTCTTCAGGACACGAAGATACAGGGATCTAAAGAGAGGGCCCTCAGCATATACATAGAGCTCCCTTTTGATCTGTATTTTGTGGTGGTGATTCTTGCGACGCACGTAACCCAGATTGGATATATAGATTCTCCATGACAATTATTGGTTCAATCCAATTGAACAAGTTTCCTGACTGTTGTTTTTCCATCAGGTCACAGCTTGGAATTGCAAGTTCCAAACCAAAAAAAAATAGTAAAAAAATATTAAAAACAAAAGAGCAAAAGGCAAATACCACCAAATGCATGAAAGTCCAAAATTTTTAGAGACTTGAGTTAAAAAGCCTATAATAAGCCACACCCTCTCCCCCAACTGTTTCATATTTGCCTGTTCCCTAGGCTAGGCTAGGCCAGGCTATATAGATTTCTTATTATTTGCTGCAATAAAATTCATTATCCTGATCAGCTTGTCTGCTCTGCATCTGCAAGTTTGAAACTTTAAGACTGCAATTTCAACATGCTGATGCCACTGCTTAATGTTTGACCTCAGAGCACTGACAAATGTACACCCACTGACTTGTCTTAAATCAAAACCAAAAACATATTTAAATTCATTTACTTTGCTTTTGATTTAACCTTGGTGACTTCGGTTGGAGCACCAAAGTTGAAAGGCACAGAGCACCAAGTTCACCCTGGTACGCGTGTGGGGTTGAAAAAACACAAAGGAAAGCCAAAGTGCCCAAAGCCTATTGGCATGGGATTAAACAAATCAACCCAATTGAAAAAAAAAAGGGAACTAAAAACAGAAGCAAAGACTCTTTATCAGGCTTTGGAATATGCAACAGATGAGATCAGAGACAGACTAGGCAAGGCAAAGCAAAGCAAGCAAGGCCCTGAGAAAAGTTAAAGAGGGCAGAATTTAAAAAGAAATCAAAACAGGGTAAAGCTTACCATCCATTCCTCTCATATATTACCTCTCTGTCTCTCTGTCTGCTCTTGTGAAACTTCGTTATCTATCCATTCTCTCTATTGGGTTCACTTTACTTTCATTTTTTACTAGTGCCCTATACTATTTGTGTATTTTTCTCTGCCTTTGGATCCCCATACCCCTACTTTATTGCCCCCCTCTCTCTCTCTCTCTCTCTTCCCATCTTTCCTTTTAAATAGGTTATCATAAACCCACGCTTACATTCACAGCAAAGCAAAATAAGAGAAAGAGGCAGAGAAAGACAACGCATTTTGAAAACCCTTTGAGGCTCTGAGGTAAAAAATCTTCCGTTTCTTCGAAGTTGCGAACTTTAAGCTCAAATGGATCAAGTAAGTCCTGTTTTCCCATTACACTACTTGCAAATTTCATTCCCCTTTGGGTTTGATCTTCTTCTTGTTTATTATCATCTCATTTGACGTTGTGGGTTTCTGTAAATTTCAGGACTTTAGGATGATGAGAAGCCAAGTGCCAGCCTTTGGGAGCTGGGATTGGAACCAAGACCTCCCATTTACTCAGTGCTTTGAGTCAGCAACGCAAGCTGGGCTTCTGCGCTACACCAGTTACTCTGATGAGGATCGTGATTTATATGTTGCTGGCGATTTGTATGAGAACGACGTCGTCACACCTGCCATGATTGTTGTTCCTCGCAGAAGGGTAAACTTCAAATCCATCCCTTTTTTATTTATCCACCACTTGTTTTTCCAAGTCCAAATTTTGCTTCAAAAATGCCACATTGATTATAAAATCTTATGTTGTTGGTGACAAATTGCAGAACAAAAGTCGTCAGTCAAATGTGAAAGAAGCAAAAGAGCAAAGTTGGGTGGTGAGTGATGTGAAGGAGCCACCAAGCCCTCCTCCCAGGCACAGGCCTACCCCCAAGCCTGTGGATGAAGACTTGTACAAAATCTCACCAGAGACTCTCTATGCTAAAACCAGAAAGGTAAAGCTCCAAATTTATAATAAGTCTCTTCCCTTTTGATAAAATTTCATGTGCCTCTGAATCAAATTGCCTATCAGCCAACTTTTGTTCCAACCTCTTTTTGACCTTCACTTACAATAAATCTTTCTTTTCTCTTCAACTTTTTGCTTGCAGAAGAGAGGGTTTGGCTTCTTTTCAAGCTGCTTGCTGCCAACATGTGTTGCGTGAAGCAATGAACAAGTTTACATCAGACTTGTTAGTGAACATATGAGAGAGAAAAAAAAAGTAAAGTCGTCTAGTGGTTTATGTAAAAGTGTTTGTAGCTTAATATTACGAACATATATATGGTTTGTCTGAGAATTCCTCACTCATGTGATGTGAGTATGAGGAAGACGGTGGGTTCATATTTAGTTAACTACTGAGGGATTATTTTGTCTTTCTCCTCGGCAGTGGATTTGGGGAGTTTGTAACTTTGTTTTTTACGATTATTTAATATAAATATCTTTTTAGAAAATACTTCTCTACTATATAGGAGCTCTTACCTTAGCACTGTGACGTGTGTTTTTTTGATGTGTTTTTGATGAATTATTTTTGCATATGTGTGTGTCAAATCGTGATTTGTAAAAAGAATTAATATCTCCTTATCGAGAATGAGGCAGACAATATACATTATTCAGTATAAATTTCATTGTGAAAGGAAAGGAGGCAGGAGAACAGTGTCGGAACTTGCAATTCATAACTGGTTGTAAAAAGAAAAAAAGGTTTTTTTTTAATGTGGGGTTTAATTTGTTTTTTGGTCAGATATGTGGGGTTTAATATTTGAATATTCCATCTCATGAAAAAAAAAAGGGGGTGAGTGAAGGGTGTGTTTGGGTTGGATGCAAAGACTTTTGCAAAGGAGAAAAGGTATATCACATGTGGGGTATTGAATATTTCATTTTGATGATAAAAGGAAAAGGAAAAGGAAAAGAAAAGAAAAAGAAAAATAGGAGGCACTATATAACACCCACCCAGAACAGTGATTGATGATACCAAAGATACCCAATACACGTAACTTGGGATAAACTTTAGGTGTGGGAAATTGAAATGGTCATGAAATTATTTGATGGAGACTAGAGATTTTAGATGCGATTTTGTTTTAGATGAATAGATTAGATAGGCGTGATTTCTTCTCATCATGGTTGCTTTATTTCTTTTCTAAAGTAGGAGGCATGTGGGGATGGAGAAAAAAAGATGAACTGTTCAAATTATAAAAGTAGACCTTCCATCTGAATGTGTGAAAAGAAAAACAGAGACGATTAGGTAGCCTTGTTTTTATTATTAAAGAATGAAAAATTATCGATATTGTCGAAAATGTATCGATAATATGTCGTTATGTTTCGTTGGCGATGTAGAGAATTACTTGACTACACTTAAACAAGATTGGTCAACCTTTGGTAAACTAATTAACCACCCCAACAATCTTAAACATACACATGATTGGCATATGTCGTTGTTTTAGTTCAAAATCTTAGCAACCCAACGGCTCTAAACATGGAGGATTATGTAATGTTGACGTATCTTGTCAGCAATGGAAAATCAATGGAGGGGTGATATGATATAAACATTTAGAGCATAATCCAGTAGATTGACATATCGTGTGGGCCACATTAATATTATTTACAGTTTTATAAATGTTTCAAACCAATTAATTTCTGAAGAGTTGCTATTGGACCATGCCAATGTGATTTTTCACTATATTCCAAATGAGAGCCTTGTGAGGCAAACATGTGTTACGTCTCTCTGCTTTGCATGCATGATCGTGTTGCTCTCTGATTGGCTCATCACACACACACACGCACACTCTCCATGCTCTTTCCAGAAACCCAATCCAAATCCTCTGATACAACTCAGAAATCCCATCTCTATGACAAGGCCCAGCCATCAGTCTTCTACAAATCTTATCCTTGAGGCATTTTTGGTAAGATCCGTCTTTGAAATCTTTCTTGGGTTTTCAAGAAAAAGTCTTGATCTTTCCAAATTCAATTCGATTTGATGCAATAACAATGCTGGCTGAGGTGAAGAATTTGCAAAACAACGACTCCAAATCCATCACTCTTTGGTATGTTGTTGCTATTTTTGTGTCTTTTATATCTGTAATTTTGATGGGTATTTGCATCCACCTCTTAGTTAAGTTGCCCTTGTTCTGTGCTGACCAAAAAATAAAAAATAAAAAAATAAACTTTGCTCTGTTTCTGTGATCAGTGTAAGAAAAGATTCAATCAGAACTGCATCGCTTTCAAATTTTGAAAGTTGTCATTTTTAAAGATTGGAAGCCAATTTGGGAAATTGGATAATTTTTATGATCCCATCTATGGATGGATTTACAGGTTAATTAGTCTACTAATTATGCATACTTGTTATCCTTGTCATGGATAAATCCCTATTCCCACATGTCATGTGTATGATTTACTATTACCAGGCTTAACAAAACCAAGGGTACTCTGCCTCATGAAGAAGATGAATTAGCCAAGGCAATACAAAAGAAGATTGCGAGGAAGAACATGGCAGAAAGCAAACCAGCTAAAAATGCCACTCCCAACAAGACTTGCATATGTTCTCCGACCAACCACGCAGGGTCGTTTAGGTGCCACTTCCATCGGATCAGCGTTGCGTGGTCGGTAGAAGACAGTCGTAGCAGATCAAAGCTGCAATGCAAAGCAAACTTCAATGCCAATGCCAAGAATGGTCTTCATGATGTGGTTGAGAAACAGCCGAAGCGATCGAGATTCGGAAGGGCTGCCTCTGCAAGAAGTTGCCGTGAAAACCTTCCTTTCACAATGGCTGAGCAAGTTAATTGATCTGTTCTGCAAGGTTTTAGTTATGGTTCCTCCAGTTGTTGTAATTTGTAAATGACAATAGTTTTAGAAACTTTTGCAAGTAGTTTTTCGTGTATTTTGGTTTTCCTTCTTCTTCTTATGATCAGCAGCGTCTCCAATTTCAATGGATTTTCATGTTTCTGATTCTTAAGAGGAGTGTTTCATGATTTTGAGTTTCATTAATGGATAGATATTCAGCAAAAAGGATCAAAATTTGGATGAAGATGATGATCAAACAAAACAAGGGTCATGAAACATGAAACAGAACAATCCATATGATATTTTCGTAATTAAACAAATATTCTTTTCAACCTTGTCTTATGCTTTCCTATGTTATCGCTTTATAAAATAAAAAAGAATTATGTGACACATTTTCAATCGGGTGGACGCACATAAACATCAGTATGAGAAGGTGGGCCCATTTGTGCACCCCACGGGCTTCCCCAGAAGAAAAGCCCTAAGAAATAAACCCTAGAAGAACCAAGTATATATATAGCATATATAAACATAAATCGGCCAAACTCTTGTGCAGGGAAATTGATAAACTTTGATGATGGCCTCTAACCTGAAAACAATGGTGGCTGACTGTGACTGGTCGGATCTTCCTCAAGAACTTGTTATCTCCATTGCCAACCGGATAGTTTTGATGGAGGATTTTACTGCTTTTGGTGCGGTTTGCAAATCATGGAGATCAGCCGCCACCAAGGAAATCTTCACCAGTCGATTAACACATCAGGTTCCATTCATTATGCACCCAGTGAAAGATGCAGCTGGCATGCTTGAGTTTTACAGCTTCAAAAAAGATAAGTTTCTCATGATCAATCTGCCAGAAGGTGAGGACGAAGTATGCGGTTCTTGTTTAGGATGGCTGATCACTAAACGAGGAGATTCGAAATTTAATCTGTTGCATCCTTTAAATCATTCCCGCATTAAGTTTCCAAGTTTTAGAGATTCTAAGGAAAACCTTTCACCCTTAATAATCATGTCAAATTTTGATTTCAAAAAGAGATTTGTCTTATCATCAAGCCCTTCTTGGACATGTGATTATACAATCATGGTTCAATCTAACTCTAGACTCTTGGCATTTTGCAAACCAACTGAACATAAATATTGGACAAGTATAGTTTTAGAGGAAGAGGCAAGGGACATAATTTGTTATAAGGGACGATTTTATGCCGTGAGCGGTGATGGGAGCGTTTGGGTTTGCGACACCGAAAACCCTAAGCAAGCAAAGGCAAAGGTCGTTGTTCCAGCGGTGCCAGGGGAAGTTCTGCCTTCAGCTCTTAGAAGGGTAAAACTGGTGGAATCAGCAGGCGACTTATTAGTGGTTTTCACTAACGGATTCAGAGACGACCTTCCAAGCCCTAAGTTTAGGGTTTTCAAGGTGCCTTTGAGGGATGGCAAGTGGCACTTAGACTTGGAAGTGAAGGACTTGGGTAACAGAACCCTATTTTTGGGTCGTGATAGTCCTTCATTCTCTATTGTCAGCTCGGACTGCTCCGGATTCAAGCCCAATTGCATATACTTTTCATTCGTATTATATGGGGTTTTCGGTGTTTTTCATATGGAAGATGGAAGAGATGAGGAACATTTTTGGTCCCATTACTGGCGGCAACCGTCTTACTGGATTCAACCGAGTTTCTAAGGGGAAATCCTTATCGTTAAAGGCTTTTTCTTTTGTATGAACTACAAAGAGCATGGCCAGCAGAATTCACCATGGTCGGTTGAAAACGGTAGCAGAAAGCTGCAATGCAAAGCAAACATCCGAAGCTATCCAGATTTGGCAGGGTGCCTCTGCAAGAACTTGCCATCAAAACCTTCCTTTTCACAATGGCGCTGAGCAAGTTCATTGATCTGTTAGGTTTTGATGTTCCTCTTGTTCTTATGTGGAATAATCCCAAAGGGTTCCATCTCCAATTTCAATGGATTTTCATGTTCCTGAAAGTTGGAATTTTTGTCCACAACCTCTGAAAAGGAGTGCTTCAGCATTTTGAGTTTAATTAACGGGCAGCTTTTCAGCCAAAGTATCAAAATTTGGATGAACTTGAACAACAATTTTGGTTCTCATGACCAAATTGAACAAGGGTCGTGTAACAGAAAGCATCTCCACTATATTTGGCCTCCATGGTATTTTCGTAATTAAACAATATTCCTACGATTCCTACCAACATGGAGAGATTTGGTTGTTTGATACTGCAATTGCTTTCATATTTTTGTTTTGTTGAAATCCCCTAATCCCCTTATAAAATATAAAATAAAGATTGTTTGCAGCTTGGCCTGGCCTAGGAGTTTTTATTTTATTTTATTTTTTTATAATTAAAAAAAAAGGATAAGCTTCATTAGATAAATTTTTTATTTTTTATTTGGCTGCTCCTTCTTATGACTAGTATAGTTTGAAAGGATTTTCATGTTTCTGAAAGTTGTAAATGAGTGTTTCAGAACAAAGAAGAAACCATTGTAAATGAGTATAGCCGTTCGGCTCTACTACTTCTCTTTTAAAAAAATTAAAAACCTGGTATAGCCGACCGGCTATACTATTCCTTTTAAAAATACTAGAAAAAATAGAGTGCTGCCGCGCGGCTATACTATTTGTTAAAATTTTTTTTTCTTGAAAAATTGAGTATAGCAGCCCAGCTATACTATTTCTTTAAAAACTATTTTAAAAGCCGAGTATAGCGGACCGGCTATACTATCCCTTAAAAAAAATTAAAAAATCGAGTATAGCCGTACGGCGATACTATTTCTTTTAAACTTTTTAAAAACCAAGTATAGTCAACCGGCTATACTGATTATGAACTTACCGTTTCCTTGAGAACAAGGCGAGTGCGGCGTATGAATTGTTCTTTGAGCTTGTTGGGGATGTTATCTTTGGGAATGACAACCCGCTCACGTGGAGGTACGTGATCACTGATCTCGTGGATTTCGACGTCGATTATCAACCACTCGGACTTCTCCTTCGACTTCCTCATAGCCTGGGCCAGAGACTTGTGCCTTTGTTGGCACTAGCATCCCTAGGGCTTGCCACTGCAGCCATGGCCCCGTCTGTACTGTTAACATGGACTGGTGAGCAAAAAGCAAAACACCTCCTTTTTTTTTTCCTTTATTAATTTCTAATTCGAACTTTACTTTTCTCCTAGGGCGTCGCCGGGGTTGAATTTGCATGTTGTTCCTAGAGAAGACGAAACAGAGGGCAACGACGTTATTGATCATTGTATGAAATGGGGGCTAATCCCTAGTTTCATCAAGAAAACAGAGAAGCCTGATCACTATAAGATGGTAATAGCAATTACTTTCGTGGCTGATCCCTAGTTTAAATTTGTTGTCTTTCTTAAAATTTCATTCTTGATTTTCCATATAAGCAAGCTTGGGTTGCGTTGAGATGTGATTTATGTTTGATAAAAATCGAGTATATCTGCGCAGCTATACTATTCCTTTAAAGAATATACAACCTCGTATAGCCGGGCGGCTATACTATTTATACTATTCCTTTAAAAAAGTTAGAAAACCGGAGTATAGCCGGGCGGCTATACTATGCCGTTAAAAAAGAAAACCGGAGTCTAGCCGTTCGGCTATACTATTTCTTTAACAAAAATTAAAAAAGAACTGCGTATAGCCGCTCGGCTATAATATTCCTTTAAAAAATAGATTTTTTAGGTTTTAGACATAAAAAATTTTTCACTTTTGGAAAAAGCCAAAGCTTTTTCAAAAAAGAAAAAAAAACAGCTCAACTTTCAAATAAAAAACATGCAAATGTATTGAATTCCTTAAGAAATCTAAAAATAAATAAGGGCATTTTTGTCCATTTTTGCTTCTTTTAAAATTTTTCTCTCTCCTTTTGCTTTTTCCAAAATGTCCCTTAAAAAATTTGAAAACCGGAGTATAGCCGTGCGGCTATACGATTCCATTTAAAAATGTTAAAAGCGGCTATACTATTCCTTTTAAAATTATTTAAAACCGAGTATAATCGCCCGGCTACACTATTTCTAATAAAAAAAAAAAAAAAAAAAAAAATTTATTAACTTAAAAAATAAATTAGTCCAAAAAATAAGATATTGAAAAAAAAACTTCTTCGTCTTCCTCTCACTCTCGTCCTCCCCCAATTTACCGTCAGACCACAACCAACAACCAACCCAAAGCCACCGACCACCACCGCTCCAACCCCAATCCCATCTAATCCCCAACTCGGACAGCCACTCTCTCTCTCTCTGTGAGACAATCCAAGGCAAGCCTAGTCGTCATTCGCATCACCACCACCATCTTCATTTCTCTCCTCTTGCCGTCTCTATGCCTCTCTCTCATTAAAGAACAAGTAAGATTTGGTTCTTAGGGTTTTCTTCTAATGATGGATTTTCCAATATTATCTTGTATTGCTGACCCGGCAGTGGATCTGATATAGGACAACCTCTCAAATTTTCCTTTTTCGACGAATTTGATTTTCTTTTGCCATCTTGATTAGATTCTCAAAATCCTTTTCTTTTTCCTTTTCTTTGTAGCCTCAATTCTCATTCACGTTTTCATAAGCAGAGAGTTGTGTAGGGGAATTGACAAACTTTGATGATGGCCTGTAACCCGAAAACCACGGTGGCTGACTGGTCGGGTCTTCCTCAAGAACTTGTCGTCTCCATTGCCAAACAGATAGCATTCTTGGAGGATTTTATTGCTTTTGGTGCAGTCTGCAAATCATGGAGATCAGCCGCGCCCAAGGAAAACTTTACCAGTCGATTAAAACATCAAGGCCCATTTCTTATGCTCCCACAGGAACATGGAGCTGCCATCCGTAAGATTTACAGCTTCACAGACTATAAGGTTCGCGATCTCAATCTGCCAGAAGCTGAGGGCAAAGTATGTTGTTCTTGTTCAGGATGGCTAATCACTTTACAAGGTTTGCAATTTAATCTGCTGCATCCTTTAAATCGTTCACAAATTAAGTTGCCTGCTTTTAGAGATTTTAGTGCAAAACTTTCGCCAGTAAGCATGACAGATTTTCATGCCATAAAGAAATTTGTCCTCTCATCAAACCCTGCTTGGACATCAGATTATACAATCATGCTTCTTTATGACTGTAAACAATTGGCATTTTGCAAACCAAGACAGGATCGATATTGGACAAGTATGGATTTAGGTTCACATCCAGTTGACATAACTTGTTACAAGGGACGATTTTATGCCGTGAGCCATAATGGGAGGGTTTCGGTTTTCGACATTGAAAACCCTACAAAGGAAGCAAAAACTGAGGTTGTTGTTCCACGGATGCCTAGGGAACTACTTGTACATATTTCTCCTGGTAGAGTGAAGTATTTGGTGGAGTCAGCAGGGGACTTATTAGTAGTTTCGGCTCACGAAGAAGGTTACGAATCAGCTCCTACGTTTAGGGTTTTCAAGGTGCCTTTGAGGGATGGCAATTGGCAGTTAGACTCGGAAGTGAAGGACTTGGGTAATAGAACCCTATTTTTGGGAGATAATAATACTTCATTCTCTGTTTTGGCCTCGGACTACTCTGGATGCGAGCCGAATTGCATATACTTTTTTTCATACATATCTCAGCAGTACATATATTCCCGGCAGCCTCATAACTATCTCTTACCTTCAAGAGAGAACATAGATATTGGTATTTTTCATATGAAAAATGGAAGAATTCAGGAACACTTTTATTGGGAACAAAGACGTTTCCCTACCTTTGGGACACCTTGTTTGTGGATTCAACCGAAATTTTTGGAGGGAAATTCTTGCTTTGCGCCAACTGCCAACAAAGTTACAGGGAGTTACAGGAAAAAACGAAGTCGAATGTGCTTAAGCCCTTGGGTTTAGTCCATATGGTGAGTGAGGAAATTTATTATTATTTTTTTTTGGAAAGTTACTTTACTCTTTGTAATGAAGAATATCAGTGGAATTCTGCTGCTTCTGATTGGATTAAGGCTAATAGTGATTCTGTTAAGGAGGCTGATAGAGTGCAGGCTTTTTTTGCTTGGAACCCTCCTGAACTTGGCCAATTAAAACTGAATGTGGAATGGCTCTGGGAAGAGTGCCTCAGGTCTTATTGGAGCAGGAGGGGTTATTCGCGATTCCTCTGGTGTTTGGATTGCTGGCTTTGCTGTGAACTTGGGTCAAGGCCAGATTTTGGAGGTTGAGGTTTGGGGATTATATTTTGGGCTTTAGTTGGCCTTGGACAAAGGTATCTATAATCTTCTTGTTGAGATGGATGCTGCAATCGCTGTGTCTCTTGTTCAGCAAATTGGTACATTGAATTGTCACCCTCTTGCTGTGTTGGTGGATAGCTGTTGTGTTCTTATGAGGCGTATTGGCCACTGTCACCTTGCTTATGTTTACAGAGATAGAATTTTGTAGCAGATTGTATATGGCTAACTGGAGCTCCAATTTAGACCTAGGAGTTTGCTATTTTGATGATGCTCCTGCCCGGGTTACCTCATTCTTGGTGGATGATATGTGGCCTTGCTAAACCCTTGCTAGGCCTCGTTTGATTTGTATTAGTTAGTTAGTTGTTTCTTTTTGGGGGTTTTTCCCTCCTTATTTCATCCAAAAAAATGAAAAAAAAGAATATCAATGGAATTCCAAAAAGTTACACCAAACAGCTAAAAAATTCTTGCTTTGTATTATATTTGCTACCCTCTTGTAACAGTTGAAACTGATATTCTAACGGGTATGAACCAGAGAAAAGTGCGTCGTTAATGAAAACACAATCACACATTCGCTGAAATTCTCTAGAGGTCTGCCTTCTGATCTATTTTTGCCTGCAACCTCGCGTCCTTTGCATTTGTGTTAAAAGAAGATGCCTCTTTCACCTGTTTCTTTATTGAAACTGTGCATTTTTGTGTGAAAAGGAATAAAAGTCACCCTTTTTTATTCTTCCACTTTAAAAATATGTATCTGAGTTTTAATCTTTGTTCCGTAGTTTAGATTAAATTAAAGTAAAATATGTGTAAAAAAAAGAAATTATTTCTCATGTGACGCACCCTTTCACAATCGGGCTGGACCCACAAGCACATCTGACCCGAACACGGGAGGGTGGGCCTATAAGACTGCTTCACACCAGAGTTTTTCTACCACGAGTCCGTGCCCAAAAGAAAAATCCAACCCTAGCAGCATATATAAAGTCCTCACTATAGAATTCTTGATAAACATAAATCGGCCAGTGGGAAAGTATATATACAGCAGCACCATATAAAAACATAAATCGGCCAAACCCTTGCGTTGCAAGCCTCTCCTCTCTTCTGCACGTAGTGCTCCATTAAGTCTTCTCTTTGTAAGTACACCATGTTTTCAATCAACATTGAGTTGTGCAGGGAAATTGGTAAGTTTTGAAGATGGCCTGTAACCGAAAAAGAAAAACCCTGATGGGGCCTGACTGGTCTGATCTTCCTCAAGAACTTGTTATCTCCATCGCCAACCGGATAGCTTTCATGGAGGATTTTGCTGCTTTTGGTGCAGTTTGCAAACCATGGAGATTGGTCGCAACGAAGGAAAACTTTACTGGTCGATTATCACATCCATTCCTTATGCTCCCTGGGGAAGATGGAGCTGCCATCCGTGAGTTCTACAGCTTCACAAAAGATAAGGTTCAGAAGGTCAATCTGCCAGAAGCCGAGGGCAAACTATTGTGTTATTGCTCAGGATGGCTGATCACTTTAGAAGGTTTGAAATTTACTCTGTTGCATCCTTTCAATCGAGCCCAAATAAAGTTGCCTGATTTTAGAGATTCTGAAGGACGACTTTCACCAACAAACATGTCACACTTTCATACGGTAAAGAAATTTGTCTTATCATCAAACCCTTCTTGGACATCAGATTTTGCAATCATGGTTCTTTATGACCATAAAAATTTGGCATTTTGCAAACCAAGAGAACATAAATATTGGACAAGTATGGTTTTAGAGGAACATCCACTGGATATAACTTGTTATAAGGGACGATTTTATGCCATGTGCTATAATGAGGTTTTGGTTTTCGACATTGAAAACCCTAAGCAAGCAAAGACAAGGGTGGTTGTTCAAGCGTCGCTACGTCGACGTGTACATGGTTCTTTTGGCACAAAGACATATATGGTGGAATCAGCAGGGGACTTATTAGTAGTTTTCTCTTACGGAGATATATACCGACAAGCTCCTAGTTTTAGGGTTTCTAAGGTGTTGAGGGATGGGAAGAGGCCGTCAAAATTGGAAGTGAAGGACTTGGGTAACAGAACCCTATTTTTGGGAGATAATAATTCTTCATTCTCTGTTATGGCCTCGGACTATGGATGCAAGCCGAATTGCATATACTTTTTTTCATGTATATATCGCCAGTACATATATCTCGAGTGGGGTGATTGGCTCGTACGTTCAAAAGAGAACATAAACATGGGTATTTTTCATATGGAAGATGGAAGATTTGAGCAGCATTTTGGCTCCCCTAGTTTTGCTTTGAAAGAAGCAAAATTCCCTACCTTTGGGACACCGTGTTTCTGGATTCAGCCGAGTTCCAGAAGGAGAAATCCTCTGGCAACTCTCAAGAATAAAGCTGTAAATCCTTAAGCTTGGGTTTGTCCAAATGGCGAGGGAATGTGTTGAAATGAGTTAGGATTATGACAGGTTTGTGGCATATTTTCTTTTCGTTTTTCTTGTTCTTGTATTTGTTTGTTTAACTTAACTGATTTAATTATTTGGCTACTTCTTCCCCTTCTAGCTATTTTCTTAAATTTTAACGGTTGTAGTTATTTGAAGGTTAACATTTGAATTCCAAAATGGTACACCAAACCCTCAAAATTCTTGCTTTGTATTATAACTGCTACCCTCTTGTAACAATTGAAAATGATATTTGAACTGATGTTAACAAGAGAAAAGTGCATCGTTGATGAAAACACAAGTCAATATTCATACATGGCTTGATTTTGATTTATTAAAAAAAAACACTTCTAATTCTCTGAACAATTTATCATCAGACTATCAAACCTCGTACATTTCCAACCCAATAATATTCATGGTCAGCCATTTCATCGACAAAATGTCGAAACTAATGCTCAAACCCAACCTTAGAAGTAAATTTTTCTTAGCTATGGCTGAAAGGGGTCTCCTTTTTTCTTTTTCTTTTTTGGGTTTGTTTCTTTTATTAATTTTAAGCTTAATCTAACTGGTATGAACAAGAGAAAAGGTGCATCGTTAATGTTGAACAAGAAAAGAAAAGAGATATTTAGTGATATACCCATTCTTAGCACTAATATTATTGATAAACCCTCCACCATTGAATTTCTATAAACAAACAAAAAAAAACCCAAAAAAATGACAGCTAGCCTTATTGAATTTAAGTTCGATTATTAAATTACTATGATACCCTATTGAGTATTTTGGGGTTTTTATGAGGTTTTGGAGTTGGGCTTGTTTTAAGAAATTGATGACAATTTTGTAATTTATAATAAGTTACAAACCTCTTTGTTATGTTGTAAATGGACTTTGGGTGTGTTTTTAAAGTCCGCTTCATATATTGTATTTTTATAATTTGGACCCCTCTATTGAGTATAATAGTGAATCTCCCAAAAAATATGCACAATCACACATTCATAGGCATGGAATAATGGATTTGAGGACAAAGGCACCAACCTCTCTCTCTCTCTCTCTCACACACACAGGCAGAGACAATGTGTATATATATGTACATATACAAGAATTATGAAACCTGCAAAGCTCTGACACGTGCAGTTAGCTCCCGAACTTGACTCCTCAGACGCTCAGGATTACAGAAGAAATCAACAAAGACACCCCGTTGAAGCCCGATTTCCTTGGCGTGATGTTTTACAATCTGCATGCCATATACCATTACGTTACATGTGAGTAGTTTATATCACCGATAACAGGATCGAGGTCCGGAAAGAGTTAAAACTCAACCAAACTATGGGTCTGTGTCTGACGGCGATTTCAAATCTGTAGCTAATTCAGTTGTATAACTTAAATAGAATATTAGTTAGGGAGCAACTAGAAAGATAACTTCGTTAATTTGTGTGTAAAAATTAGCCAAATTCTAATCATGTACGTGTTTGTATGTTTTCACCACATTTAACACCGAGTCTTGATCTTGAAAGCCTACAGCAAGACCTCATTTGTGCTCACAGTGCAAAATCATACTCCAATCAGGAGACAGACAGAGAGAAACATATGAACAAAGCTCACCTCATTTTTCTTGCGATGCTCCAGTGTCACCTCTTCAACTGCAGCGGAGAGTTTTGCATTTATCTTCTCCATTTCATCAAGCTCTTTCATCAATGGCTGGAAGAAAAAGAAAAATATATAACCTTCGCATAGGAACAAAGGCAAGAACAGAAAATAAAGTGTAATGGTGAGGTCATACCCGAGGGGTCAGTATCGGTTGTGCGGTTGTTGAAGATGCAAATAGCAATTGCTGCAAACTTTGAATTAGAGTGCACCTAATACAAATTACAAAGAAATGAGATGCTTTCCCATAAAAAAGGGATGAAGAACACAACACAAATTCATCATAGATACTTCTGTGCACAAAGCAGACAAAATTGGCAGCCAGAAAGAGTATTGAAATGTACTCCAGACAATACAAGGTATGTTAATTCATTTTCACACGCCTATTTAAAGGCCTAGTCAATAATTGTTAGACTAATACTCTTGATGATTAAGAAAAACTGGAGTAACTCACAGCTCATTGACACATCTATTTCTGTCCTCTGGAAGAGAGTTCTCAAGATCAGACTGAAGGGTCATCAAGTCTGAATGAAGACTAGATATCTGCTGAACAATACCCGGAGCTGATACATATGTTGATAGCCCAACTTGAGCATCTAATGAAAAGTGCAGATAAGCAAAAGAAAAAGGAGTAATAGGATTAATAGAAAATCTAACAAACGTTTACATTTATCCAAATTTAATGTGCTGTGTCATTACTTGAATGGATACTTAAAAGATCTCTGACACCATGCAAAAAGTGATCCTGATCATCCACTCCTCCCTGTTCTTGTACATCAGATGCAGCTTGAATTAGTGCCAGGCAACGACCCTATAATGATAACAAAGGAACATCATCAGCCATTGTTAGGGGAAAAAATGAAGGATTGAAGCATGCCACCAAAAGCAAGGTTTCCCAAATAATATGAAGCATAATCACTACCCAGTTCTGAGCAAATTCATAACAGTATTCCATTAAGATGTCTTATCACTTAAGTTTTGGGTGCATCTAGATTTTCATTTAACAGTAAAATGCACGATCTTATGACCAATAAACTATTTGCTTTAATTCCTTCAGTGAATAAGAAGGAAGAGAGGAGATATAGTGGGAAAATAACTAAAATCTAAGAGATAAGAGAGAATAATTTATAAAGGTGATAGATGGAT